CACGAGTTCAAAATCAAATATTTGAACAGTTCGTACGTTCACGAAAGCAACGTAACAAAGGGTCTTGTTTTTTGGTTTCAACGGGTTTTGTGGTCAAGTTTTGTTTTGTTTATTTGTACCCAAACTGATAAAGAAACTTTAAATTAGACGTTTAAAGATGATGATAGTAAGACAGCAAAGATTGGGCTTAAGTTTTGAGACAAACATGTTTTGGAATTTAAGGAAATGCTTAAAATTTCAATGCTGATTAATTAAAAATAAAAAAAAATTAAAAATTGAAAATAATATTTAAAAATTAAAAAATGAAAAGAAAAGATTCTGAATCAATTTTATGATTAATTTGTCTATACTAATATTTATTCATAGCGACACAAAGATCAATGATATTATCATAAGTTTTTAAAAATTTTAATAATTTTTTTGTTTTTTAAATGAAAAAAAAATCGTGTTCACAAAACCAGTATTCATATTGAAGCATAAGTACAAGTAAACTCAAATTAATCAAAATTAAAACTTTTTTCAAAGCAATAAAATTTTACTTCACATTTTTGATGTAATGTCTGCGTGCAAACAGTCAAAATAATATTATTGTGTACGTGAAAATCTTCAAAATATTTTTTGTTATGAAGCTTTTTTTGAAGTAACATAATCGATGACAGATCGTAAAAACTAGTTTTTAACAAAGGCTAATTAATTTGAGTTAATATAGGGATTAAATGGCATAAACGTACTACATAGTATGATTATTTGATACAAAAGCTTATTACAGGGTGCGCAAAAAGTTCTGTTACAAAACAACAGTATCTTGGGTTGTCAATTTACGAATGACCAAAGAAAATTTTTTTTTATAAAAAGTTGAATTCGATTATCCTTCTTGTCAATTCAATTCATGAAAAACAAAAAATGGAAAAAAATGCACCTCCCCTCCCAAACGAAAAATGTTTTACCCCCCTCCTCCCTTCTCCTCATCCCTTCGCCTATCGAATCCTAAAAAGACCTGCCAAAGTTGTAATACTAATCCACTAACAACTAACATCCCCTCCCCATTCGTAAAAACAACTAACATCCCCTCCCTATTCGTAAAAACAACTATCATCCCCTCCCCATTCGTAAAAACAACTATCAAGCCTAAACACGAATCAACAACTAGATAAGTATTATAAAAAGCCAACTGCCGTCCCCAAAATGACCAACTGGTCGGTCCACTTGCACTCAAAAAATGCCCACTTTCCTTATAAATATTGTCGCAATTACGAAAACAACCGAATGATTTCGAAACAGCCTGGACAAATGAAGAAATCTCTCGAAAACAAAAGGAAAGATACGACGAAGCGACTCGTATAATAAGAGTGCGATAGGTATAATGAGAGTGCGATACGAACCCACAAAACTGTTAGGCGGCGATACGATACCAGACAAAGATTAGAGTGCGACATGAAATGACACACGTATCAGAGACGAAATGAAAGATATATAATGCCCGTGATACGAACCGAAAACGAACCACGAAACGAGAAGGTTCGCGAAAACGCGTTCTCTCCTTGTGTTTCTCTCTGCCCATCGTTTAATCGCTTCGTATTTGATTTATCAGTCCTAATGAGATACGATAAAGAAATGAGTTTCGTATTTGATAAAACGATCGGCGTAAACAGAAGAAAAATTCTTTTGAATTTGAAAAACATAAAATCAACTCAATTTCATAAACTTAAGCTGTAGACAGATGCACCAAACCTAAAAGAATTAATAAAATTTTTAAATTCATGTGCCTAATTTGGCATTAAAACGTTTTTTTTTGAAACCAAAAGGCCTTGACGTAGTTATATTTTAAGCTTCCTAATAATAGGCCTGCAAAGCGTAAGCCATCTTAAAACTAAGCTTACTAAGTCTAGGCTTACAAAATACAATATTACTAAGCATAAGGCTACTAAGTTTAAGGTTAATATACCAAATTTTTCTAAGCCTAAACCTGTTATCCATTTACTTGTTAAATCCGAGCGTGATAAGCCTAAGGTTTTAAGCTTACTTTACTTATAGGCACCAACATAAAGAGCCGGCATACTTTGCCTGTAATTTCTTGTAAAAGATGGCGGGCGCTTTATGTTGGCACCTAATAAACCCCAAACTAGCAAACCAATTCCTACTAAACCTAATCCTAAGGCTACCAAGCTTACGTATAATAAATCTCAGCCTACTGACTCCAAGAATACAAAGGCCTAAGCCTACAATGCCCAGGCCTACTAAACCTTAACCTACCAAGCTTGAAACTTGGTAGGTTAAGCTACCAAGCTTGAAACTTGGTAGTTAAAAACTTAAGAATAATCACCCAAAGCCTACTAACCCAACTTCTTTCCCAACTGTCAACCGAAATGTGTCAAGATCAACCAAACATATTCCACGATTGTCTTTTTATACGCATCGACTTTCAACATTGTCATGTACTTTCTTCATAGTCATTTCAGTACAAAGTCTGCAGTAAACACTACCATTATTTCTTCAGTTTCGAAATTTTATCATCAACAATGTCAATTAAATTCTTCGCTACGTCACATTTCTTCATTGTTTTCGCGGTTACAACGTGAGTTATGAGCTGATATACAACAAAATTTAACGTACGGGATTGGTGGCTAATTCGTAATCAAAGTCAAAGTTGTTTTTGTATTTTGATGATTTATTTGTGTTGTAATAGAAGCTTGAAAAATAGAAAAATAACTTTTAACATAGATTTTTGAGATCTAAATCAAAATAGCGTTAGGTGTACCAGCTTTTTATAAACAGGTTAGTTTAAAACGATGTAACTTGTGATACTGTAGTAAAATACGAAAATAAAACTGCAGATTTGTAAAAATATACACATTTGTTGATAAACAGTATCTGTTTTCACTGTAAATTCTTTTAGCAGAACCTTTATTGACTGCAAATTACTATTAGTAAATTATTGTTGTAAACATGCCTAAAATAGAAATTTTAATAAATTTTTTATAACAGGGCTCCTAATACAAGAAAACGACCGATAAATTTTTGTAACAGAACTTTTGACGAACCCTGTATAACCAACAAATCTTAAAATGACAGTTTTGCAAAATCCTCTAGCTACAATTAATTAGGTCGTATTTCTCAATTTCTCAACCCATTCTCTGCAAAACCAGTAAACACTTTTTTGATATGGAAATGTACTTTGTTATCGAATGCGATAAAAGTGTTGAAACGTCTAACAATTATTTCTTATTTAGCTCGAAGTACAAAAAGTCGAGTTTTTAACATGTCACGAGTTGGGAAACACCGTGATTGGTTATCTAACTTAACATTATTTTTTTACAGGTTCCTTTCAATAAAATGAAGCATATCTTCAATGCTTACTAGTTGCTGGGCTCAATTTAAGCTGGTTCAAAATTAGTTTGGTCTGATTTATTAGGCCTACGCACAATAAAAAAAGGTTTACCAAATTAGCCTTAATAAAAGTAGGCTTGCGGAACTCAAGAAGTAAGAAAATGAAAAAAAGAGTATGCAATATGTGCTATCATTACTACTTTAGCAGTAACATCAAGCACTGGCCAACCTCTAATCACCCTGAGTCTCGGAACAAAACAAAACAACTCTTACATTCCGCAACAGCAAGTACAATACGACAGATGACGTGGTTGTAGAGATCAATTGACACTGACACGGAGAGTAGAGAATACTCACAACACTTACTTGCAAGTTGAATCCTTACTTTCTCTTCGTTATATTCTTATATCGCTTATCAAAAAAAAATTCATTGTATATTGCTTACATACTTTTTTATAGTAAATAGTTTTACATTGTATTCTCGGGCCGTTGAGGAGACTTCATTAAAGACCTGTAGGACCTGAATAGCCAATATAAGCTTAGGTTTAATAAAGCTTAGAATTAATACTTTTTTTTTAAATTAATATGTAGATCAATGTGTTGACTTCAAAAAACGCGTTTAAATTCCCAATTAGTCACGTGAATTTACGAATACAATTTCGTTATCTTCCTTCTCAAACATATTGTTATTTCCCATCAAATTTCATTGAAATAAGAAGGGGTTATACTTGTTAACTAATTGATGCGCGAGAACTAAAAATAAAAAAGAATTGAAAAAAGTGGGCAAATTCCGTACACCTTGTGTAAAAATGAATTTTTACAGCGTAACTTTAAAATGATTGAAATATTCATAAGTATAAAACGTCATGGGAAAAATAGTCAGGTACAATTTTTTTATATTATAGTTATTCACAATTGACAAAACTGATCAATGAAAAACTGAACGGGCTTGGGTATGAAGTTCTTCACAATCCTTCTCACCAGACTTAGCACCTATGGTTAACCACATTTTCAAACAGTGAACAGCATTCAAACGTGGCCACAATTAGGGGTGAGAAACGGGCCGTCTAGGCCCGGCCCGGCCCTACGATCGGGCCGGGCCGGCTTTGAGCTAAAATTGAAACGGGCCGGGCCCAAAGGTTAGGCCTGACCCGCGGGCCGGGCTTGAAAATTGGGCTCGGGCCCGAAAAAAAAATTTTTTATTTTAATCCCCGTTGATGTTTTTTGATTTTGTTGGGTACCATGATACATAAATGATCTAAAAGAACAATGCAAAGCCAAATTTCCGTTTATTTTTTAAGTTTTAAAATTTTTAAGAGAGAAAATTGAAAACGGGCCGGGCCTAAACGTTGGGCCCCGGGCCTGGGCCGGGCCTAAAAAGTGGGCCCGGCCCGGCCCGTTTCTCACCCCTAGCCACAATTCCCTAGAAACGAGAATGTCAGAGAAATCATAAAAATTTTCGTTGGTTCCAGAATTTTTGAATTCTGTATTACTGGTACAAAAAAGTTTGATAAATGTTATACAGATTGTGTTAATGTAATTATTCTGGTAATTATTTTTTGTGTTTATTTAAAAATTCATGCACATGTAAAATTTTTAATACGTTCAATGTGAAGTCGGTTTTCTTAAGCAACGAAGTACTTGTTGCTTAAGTATTTTACAAATACAGTAAGTTAAGCCTTGCACAATCCATCGTTGCACGATTTACTGTTACAAGCAGAACAAGCTTCACCGCTCTTGTAGATATCTTGGCTTAAGTAGTTACCAGCAGACATATAGTCACATACAGTGAAAGTCCAATTGTCTACGCCGAACAATTCTTGACCATTTGTACAGTTTTGAATGGCACAACCAATTTTGCTTGTAGCTGCCCAAGCAACCTTAAAAATAATGTTTTTATAAAGCTGCAGTAACATTTATATCTTGAAAAAGTAATGTATTTTTTAGTATTTAAAGTTTAAAGTAAAAGCACTGAATATTAATTAACCTTACTTGAGTAAAATGCCCAGTGTTTATGCCAAAAGTGAAGGTCACGTTAGCCGGGTATTCGTCCTTTTCATTCCACCAATCGCTAACAGCTCCTTGAAGAGCTTCATCAGCAGATATTGGAGGATCAACAGCGTTAAGATTTTGACCGTATTTTATAGTTGACGGATGATTAAAATTGCAGGCTTGAGCCCACTGGTCGGCTTTGGTTTCTAAATCAGTGTCCCAGACTAATTCATGCATATTGGCAGCAGCTGGAAAGGTACCATTATTCTGACCCGTGGCTTGGCCTTTAGCCAAAGTACGACGATAGTCATTGTAGGCCTTTAGTATGGCTTGTTGTTGCTCGGCAGTAAACTTTGCTGCATCGAGTTAGTAAACCAACAAACATACAATCAGTACTTTCGTCAACATTTTGCCACAAATATTAGTGTTTTCAAATTAGTGCAGTGTAAATATAGTATTTAAATACAAAAGTAGAATTATTGTATCAAAAAATACAGTAATATTAAAAAGATACTTGGAATGTAATGATATTCAAATTTTGATACGATTATTTATACTCTACCACTGTTTACACAAGACATTGTCATTTGAATTGGATTACAATAATTTGTCATTATTAACTTTGAAGCCACCATCTATTGTTATGATGATTTGTTTGCATTCATCTAGCATTTTTTTTGTTATTGTATGTAGTTTTTAAAGTATACAACACTATAATTTGTGATACTAATGCATCTAGACATATTGGCTTTGTCATATTGATTTTAATTGTATTTAAATTGATAGTATTTTAAGAAACACAATAGCGCCAAATTTAATGCAAAAATTTATAATTGAAAATTTTTTTTGTTGTTTAAACTTATCCTGACAAGTAGAATAATACCAAAATTCTGGTGAATGACAGTAAAACGTTAGAAAATAATAGTAAAGCACAATAAGCAAATTGCTTCAAATATTGCGTTTCATGATATAGTCTAAGCCGTGGACATCTCTACTATAACAAGCTACAATAAATGAAAAAAAATAAAAGTTACAATGTATTTATCAAATAGATGTGAATTTTTAAACAAATTCATCTTTAAAGAAAATTGTTAATATGAATGAGAAAATGGAAGCAGTATATTATCTATCATGATCTGAATAACACGATGAGAGACCACACTGTACCATTTGGACTGATTGGGCTTACAAACAATAATGTATTGACAACCATAGTGCTACATGGGCTTTAATTTTAATCAATCTTAATCTAAGTGGTTATGGCAACGAGCTTTTGTATAAGCCCGGATCCGTGCGCTTCTTGTAAATCCGAGAGTTGCAACAATGATCTATGCTAAGGTTGGCCGCATAATGAGCCAAACTAAACCCTGGCTGCCGACAAGAAGTAAAAATATTTGTAAATGTGCAAGTATAGTATTTTTAACAATACGATCTTAGCTATATATACTATGTATCAAAGATGTTAGTATAAATATTGTGTGAGGGAGTGAGGAGCAGAACATAAAACATACATTTTTTGTTTAGTTTCTACTTGTAATCATACTTTATTTTTTTTCAAACCGGTTTTTTTTCCAAGGAAGGACCTTGATTTATATATATATGTATATATAGTATGTCAAAGTCGACAAAATGTGCTGTTGTATAAGTTTATTTTAATAAAATTCATGCACATTTTCATATTAAATTTGAGCTCGGTATTCTACTAGTAATAACCACAAAAAAATGTAGTTTAGTCACAGATTATTTTTTAAGTAAGTCAAGCCTTGCACAATCCATCGTCGCAAGATCCACCGCTACAGGCTGAACAGGCTTCACCACTCTTGTATATGTCTTGGTTCTGGTAGTTGCCAGGACTAAGATAGTCACATACGGTAAAGGTCCAGTCTGAGGTGCCAAACAAGCTTTGACCATTGGTACAGTTTTGGACAGCACAGCCAACTTTGCTTGTTGCGGCCCAGGCAACCTTAAAGAAAAAATATATATAAGGAGACTACTGGCACACTCCTAACATTATGGGGGTCGTTACCGCCGGGTTGCACTGCCATCGAGAGCATCCGTAGCAAAAAAGCCGACTTTTCGCTACTGCGAGAATTGTAACACTTACTTGAGTAAAATGTCCAGTACTTGAACCAAAAGTGAACGCAACTCCAGCCGGGTAGTTCTTACCCTCACCCCACCATTCGTCAACGGCGGATTTAAGAGCATCATCGGCAGACGAGAAAGGAGAAGCAGCTGCCAGGTTTTGACCGTAGCCAGGGTTCGATGGATGTTCGAAATTGCAGGCTTGAGCCCACTGGTCGGCTTTGGTTTCTAGATCAGTGTCCCATACCAATTCATTCATATTGGCAGCAGCCGGAAAGGTACCACCATTTTGACCCTTGGCTTGACCTTTGGCCAACGTACGACGATAGTCATTGTGGGCCTTTAATATGGCTTGTTGTTGCTCGGCGGTAAACTTTGTGGCCTCAAGTTGGTAACCCAACAAACATACGATTAGTATGGTCAACATATTGGCACAAATAGTACTGTTTTAAACTTAGTACGGTTTAAATTGTACAATAGACTTACTGTATCAAGGATAATACGGTAGCATTAAATTGATACTTAAAATGTAATGCTATTTAAATTTTCATACGATTATTTATACTCTACTACTGTTTACACAAGGCATTGTTATTTGAATTGGATCACAATAACTTACCATTATTAAATTGAAACCACCAGCTATTGTTATGATAATTTATTTGCATATAAAATGTCATAGAATCAGACTTTGCTATTGTACTTGAGCTCAAAGATACATACAACACTATAATTTGTGGTACTAATGTATTATATCTAGACAAATTGATTTTGTCATATTGATCTGAATTGTATTTGAATTGATATCGTTATAAGTAACACAATAGAGCCAATTTCAATGCGAAAATTTGAATATAAAAATTTATTAAATAAAAAGAATTTTTTTTTGCTTAGTTCGACTCTGAGTACATTATTTATTTTATTATAAGAAGAGTGGCAAACTACGGAGGGTCATACTAAAGAATATCACTAAATATCGCATACTACTGCCGTCCAACCGCCGGGAAGCTTTCCGCCGTGGCAGTAATTGTAAGAACAGCCGAGAAAGATGGCTCTGGAGTACGATAACTATAAATTTTAAAATTTGTAAAGAAAATTAACGCCAACTATAAATTTTAAAATATTATACTGGACTTATTCATTATATATATTACGATATCTACTGCCCATCAATTTTAGTTTACTACATTAAAAATGTGTTAAAACGTTAAAAATCTGTATCATCTGAATCTTCTAAATCCGAAGATTTAAAAGGCTTTTCCTCTGAATCTTTTGAATCTTCTGAACCACTTGTATCTTCTGAAGCTTCTGAATCTTGTGACTTTGACGGTTTTGAACCATTTCCCTCTGAAGCTTGCGATTCACCATTTTTGCACAATCCATTATTACAAGTGTCACAATCAGAACAAGACGATCCGGCTTTGTAAATATCTTGTTTGCGGAGGTTACCCCGGGGCAGGTAGTTACAGACAGTAAAAGTCCAATCACTAGTACCAAACAAGTCTTGGCCGTTCGTGCAGTTGTGCACTGCACAACCAATTTTCTTAGAGTTGGCCCAGGCCATCTTAAATTAACATTGAAAGTAACATAAATCAGAATTATAATAGGTTACTGCTTGACATTTTCAATATGTTATTTCATACTCGAAAATACTAATAAATACAGTACTATATTATACTAAAAGATACAACATGACCTACCTGAGTAAAGTGCCCAGTATCCATGCTAAAAGTAAATTTAACGTCGGCTGGATAAGTCTCATATTCTCCCCACCATTCTTTAAAGATGGTGGGGAGAATATGAGACTTATCGGTAAGCGCTTCATTTGGTGAATAATACGGAGAAGCACCAGCCAGATTTTGACCGTAATCCATGTGTTCAGGATTGTCAAATTTACAGTTTTTCGACCACTCTTCTGCTTCTTCTTCTAATTCACTGTTCCATACCTACAAATTGAATTTTTTAAAAAGAGTTTTGGATTGGCTGATTTTAGTTTTAGGGTAGAGCTTACACTTTGGTAAGGTTTAGGGTCAGATAGTGGATAGTGCCTAAATAGTAGTGCTTAAGATAAGGCTTAGAGAAAGGTAGGGCCTAGGGCAAGGTAAGCCTAAGGTACGGTATAGCCTAGAGCATGGTATGGCATAGGGTACGATACGGCCTATCGTGGGGTACAATAGCGGCTTAGGGACAATAGAACTTATGATACGGTAGGGGTTACAGTAGACCGTTGGGTACACAAATTCATAAAGAAAGGTATATGTTAGAGTACGATAAGACCTGTGGTAAAATAAATTATAAGCTACGGTCTAGCCTCTTATACGATAAAGTCTAAGATACCGTATACCCTAAGGTACGGTAAAATTTAATATAAGTAGCGTTTCGAGTACGGTAAGAACTGCTGTAAAATAAAGCATAGTTAGAAGTAAAATAAATCTTAGAATACGACAGAACCGTACGGTAATGCCTAAATACGGTAGTGTCTAAGGAACGATAAAGGCAAGGGTTGGTTTAGGCTGGCAGCATACTTACCAACTCATTCATGTTAGCAGCTTCAGGAAACGAGGCATCATCTTTACCTCTGACCTGACCTTTAGCTAAAGTACGGCGAAAGTCGTTGTGAGCCTTAACTATACTCTGTTGTTGTTCAGCACTAAATTTATCTGCTTCAATTTGCTGACTTAACAAACATAAAATTAGGGCTTTAGTCAACATTTTGAAGCTAGTAAAACCGTAAATTCTGCTCTAATAACAGTCCTTCAAGGTAAAGTAGTATAAATTGTATCGTTCTGTTAAATTGATATGTGACAAGTTACAGTACTTATGAAAAACGGAAAACTGACATCACCGTTAGATTGGAAATAAAATGAGATGTAAATTAACCAAAATGTTTTTATACGGAATGTAAATTGTGTTGAAACGACGATCATATAGGAAATCATAAGAACACGATTAAAAAACAGAAAATTACATGTTAACTTTAACTATTATGTAAATTTATTTAACAAGAATTTTTTTCATAAAATGTAACAATTTTAGAATTCTACGGTTAGGGTTCTGAGCAAGGGCTCTGGGCTAGGGCTCTGGGCTAGGGCTCTGGGCTAGGGCTCTGGGCTAGGGCTCTGGGCTAGGGCTCTGGGCTAGGGCTCTGGGCTAGGGCTCTGGGCTAGGGCTCTGGGCTAGGGCTCTGGGCTAGGGCTCTGGGCTAGGGCTCTGGGCTAGGGCTCTGGGCTAGGGCTCTGGGCTAGGGCTCTGGGCTAGGGCTCTGGGCTAGGGCTCTGGGCTAGGGCTCTGGGCTAGGGCTCTGGGCTAGGGCTCTGGGCTAGGGCTCTGGACTAGGGCTCTGGGCTAGGGCTCTGGGCTAGGGCTCTGGGCTAGGGCTCTGGGCTAGGGCTCTGGGCTAGGGCTCTGGGCTAGGGCTCTGGGCTAGGGCTCTGGGCTAGGGCTCTGGGCTAGGGCTCTGGGCTAGGGCTCTGGGCTAGGGCTCTGGGCTAGGGCTCTGGGCTAGGGCTCTGGGCCAGGGCTCTGGGCTAGAGTTAAGACTTTGGGGTATGGCTAGAGCTAGGGCTAAAGCTATTAGAAATGTCGTAACAATTTTTTGTATTATTTATTACTTTAAATATTAGACTTATTATTATATACTACTAGTATAATACTATAGAACACTAGAGTAATAAGATGGCAATTTGTTTGCTTTACGGAGCACACAAGCTATTGTGACAGCCGGCTTCACATTCAGAACAAGGTTCTCCGCTGATGTAGATGTCTTTTCTCCTCATATTTCCTTTTGGATAGTAATTACAGACGGTGAACGACCAATCATCAAATCCTGCTGGTCCTCCTTCAGTACACGTTTGGACAGCACAGCCAATTCTGGTGGTTAGAGCCCATGCCATCTGAAATATAGGTATATGCATATCTACGTGTAAGGTAGGGTAGGGTAGGGTAGGGTAGGGTAGGGTAGGGTAGGGTAGGGTAGGGTAGGGTAGGGTAGGGTAGGGTAGGGTAGGGTATATTCAGTACTCACCTGTGTAAAATGGCCAGTGCCACTAATATGTTCATAAGCTGTTTCAGCTGGGTAGTACGCAATTTCACTCCACCAGCTTACCATGGCTTTATTGGCAGCTTTAGACGATGATATGGCTGGAGCCTGTGAAGCAATGTTCTGTCCGTAATCTGATTCATCTGGATGTCTGAATTCGCATTGTTGAGCCCAGGTTTGAGCTTCTGCTTCTAGGTCGTCGTCCCATACCTAAAAACACATTTTTTTTTAAATTTTGTGAAAGGGTCCCTTTAAAAAAAGATACCTTTTAGAAAAAGAGTTTAAAAAAGTATATAATCAAATTTTGAATCACATACCAACTCATTCATATTAGCAGCTTCAGGCATAGTGCCATCAGAAGCTTCAGAGCCTCCGGTAGCCAAGGTACGGCGTAGATCATTGTGGGCCTTTACTATGGCCTTCTTTTGAGAAGAACTAAGCCTAGCAGCTTTGACTTCAACGGCTGACAGTAATAAAACGAGAAGAACAATACAATGCTTCATACTGTTTTGGTACGGTAGAATACAGTGGTAATACTATGTCTTACTGTACTAAAACGGTACTGTAAAGAAGTAGCTTAATACTAATTGTAGCTGCCTTAAAACAGGTAGAGCTCAATAGAAGAAGTAGTCAAACTGATATGTTTTTCAACTTCAGCCATAGCTATTTATACTGTTTTTGTTTGCTTAACGCATTGTCATACCAATTTGATTACAATAACATACCATTTTCGGATTAGTAAAGCCACTGGCCATTTCAGTGTGATTTCTTTTGTTTTTTTCAAATGTTATGCTGTTATATTGCTTTATCTATTGCTTTATAGTGTGATAACATTATAAACCTAAACATTAAAGAGGTCTTGACATTTGAGGGCAGACAGACTAAAGTTTTATATTATTGTAGGTAAAGGTCACTATATAGAGTATTATAGTAGTAATAACCTAAAAAATGTCATAATATCTTGACTTCTGATATAAAATGTCATCAAATTCTCATTTCTTATGAAAAATGTCATAAAATCCTCATTTCTAAAGAAAAATGTCATAAATGTAAAATGTCAACAATCTTTCTTATAAATAGAACAACAGTACTTAATTTCGAACATATTAACATTGTTGACGAAATAGACCTATAATCGAATAATGATTTACGATCTTATAATTAAACTTTATTGTCATATAAAAAGACCAACTCTACTTTTGAACCTATGATAACATAATGCATAAAAATAAACAGTTATGTATCCTACTATCACTTTGTGTTCTTCTACTATGTTCAGCACAAAAGAATCTGTACAAAGCAATTGATCCAGAGGATGAGATTGTTCAGGTACTTTTAAATTTTGCAAAATTAGTTTTGTTTTGATTTTTAAAAATTTTTCTACATTTATATTTTCAATTTTTTAAAAATTTTACAACATTTTCGAAAATTTTTATTAGTAGAGGGTAGGGTAAAGAACAAGGCAAGGTTGAAGGTAAAGCAATAGACTAGATAAGGATAAAAAAGAACGCTAGGAGAAAAAATTAAAGAGCAGGGTGAAGGCTAAGGTATAGAGCAAGACAAATGAGAGATAAACCAAGAAGAGTAGATTAAAGCGTAGACTAGGGTCGAAGTAACAATAAGATGAGTAAGGTAAAGTTGGGCTTTAAAAATAAGATTCCTAGTTAGGAAAGAAAAGTGGTTCTATTAAGTGCCGACATAAAAAAATCCGCCATTCTTTTCCTGTAATTTCCTGCAAAAAAATGGCTGGTTCTTTATGTTGGCACCTAATATTTTTTTCTTTTAACGGTGAGAGAAGGGGAATTTAAACCTAAAAAACAACTTCTTTGGCGTTGCTTGTTTGTCAATGCCAGGTTTATATACTTTTGCGCAATACAGAAGCGGAACTTCTGTATTGCGAAACTTTTGGGGATTTTAAATTTGTTCTTTGTGAAGGCGTTTATGTATACAAGAATCTTAAAGGACCCGTTCGGAGGTCGTTTGAAATCTCGTCGTAAAGTTGGTTCGGCCGTGTTTTTGGCGTTTTGTTTCAACGAAGTTATCGAGAAAAAATATTTATTTTTATTTTTTTTCATGGATAATATCCGCAAATGGTCGATATTCTATGTTTTCTGGTGTAAAAGTGGTTTATATTTCCTAAAATATTATTGTCCTGCTGAAGTTCTCCAAGTTTTATTGAATTATACACTTTTATATTGATATAGTGTGTAGTTCGATACCATTTTGCGAACTTTTGCAAGATCTAAGCTAAAATAATGTGGATTGGTAAGTAGTTTAACTTGTTTTTTTTTTGTTTTAGGCAGAAGACTATTCGGTTTAACAAATTGGTAACTTTCCTTTGTGTTTCAACAGTTATTTGCTCGGAATAACGTCTTGACATTGTTTTAGTCTTCTATTTGGGTAACAATTGAAGATATGAACATGGTTTTTGCTTAAAAACAAGGAGGATCGATGGGGATAAGCTTTTGCAACGTTTTTTAGTGGTTTATCTAATGTCGGTTCGTAAAAGTACTAAAAAGCGTTATTTTGGATATTGTTTTAGACAAAGTTTCAAAAAAGGTTTACGATTGAAGTATTCGTGAACGAATTTGTATTTACATTGATTTATACTCTATTAACTTGATCTTCAAAGTAAAAATATTAATTTCATAAGTAAATTATAAGGCAATATATCCACGAAATGGTTTAATATCTACCTTAAGTATTATATAAAGATAAAAATGGAGTTCACGTTTTTCATTCGCTGAAACTTCAATCTTTGAAAAACTTTAGACAACACCTTTTTTTATCGATTCTCCTTGTTTTTAAACAAAAACCATGTTCACATCTTCAATTGTTACCCAAACAGAAAGCTAAAACAGTGTCAAGACGTTTTTCCGAGCAAATAACTGTAGAAACACGACGGAAATTTACCAATTTGTTAAACCAGATAATCTTCTACCTAAAACAACAAAAAGAAAAAAATTTAAACTACTTACCAATTGACGATGGACATTATTTTAGCTTAGATCTTGCAAAAGTTCGCAAAATGGTATCGAACTACACACTATATCAACATAAAAGTGTATAATTCAATAAAACTTGGAGAACTTCAGCAGGACAATAATATTTTAGGAAATATAAACCACTTTTACACCAGAAAACATAGAATATCGACCATTTGCGGATATTATCCATGAAAAAAAATAAAAATAAATATTTTTTCTCGATAACTTCGTTGAAACAAAACGCCAAAAACACGGCCGAACCAACTTTACGACGAGAATTCAAACACCAATTTTTCGAGGGTGAACGGGTCCTTTAAAAGCTCTCTGTAGTGTTAGCTGGTGACTTGAAAGTTGTAGTTACATGAGATTTTTTTATATAAGTTTGTTATACAAGCTTTACTGTAGTATGTTTTGCATATATAAGCGTTTTTAATGCAAAGAGCTTTGAAAAGTTTAACAGCGTGCATTTTGGTGATTAGAACTACAGTGACGTAAGGTACGGTAAAGTTTTGTATAACGGCTCGTTGGGGATTCTAAATTTGTTCTTTATAAAGAAGTTTTCAAGAGTTTTAAATGTACTGTAAAAAAGATAATCAAAAGAAATGTGTTACTCAAGGTTTTTGTTATATAGGAGTTTGTGATACGATAGTTCAACTGTAATTTTAAATATAAAAAAAATTCAAAATTTTTGTGTTTTCTAACACAACATCTATAACTTATCAAAAAACCTTTTTTTAATTTTTGCCATTCTAGAAATACACACGAATAGCAGCCAAGATCTACGGTAAAAAGTTCCACAAAACTCTGATAAAACTGTATGTAAACAAAGTTTTGTACGCCAAGAAACACAAAGAGCAAGACAATAACTACCGGATTGGATTTGACTATAGGTACAGCACAAAAGGGCCTTTGTACTGTATTGAAGTCAAATACATAGCACGAGGCAGAGATGCTGGGCCGAAAGTGGCGTACTACGAATGTTTGAAGAAAAATTGAGCTTTTTGGCAATAAATCTATCTTTACGTTGGTGTAGTTTACCTTATGTTTTTGATGCTTTAGTTTAGCTTATCTTTATGTTAGTGTATTTTAACTTATCTTTATGTTGTTTTAGTTTTAGATGGTTATTATGACCGCATTTTAATTTATTTGATTCTAAAATGGCACAGCTTCTTTTTTTAAAATGATAAGGAAGTTAAAAAGTTTTGTCGTTTTTTCTATTGTAAGGCAATGGAAATCAACGACAAGACTTTTTTTTGTCATTTTAGTGACTTTGAAAGTTAAAAAAATAATATAATTTTAATTAAAATTTTTTTGAAATTTCATAATTTTTCGAAAAAATTTTTTCAAAAATTAAATTTTTCATTTTTTTCATTTCAAAGTCGAATCGCCCAAATATTAATCAGCTTATAAGCCCCTATTAGAACGCCATCTCATTATAAACGAACGTTCCTTTTTAAAATATTATGACAAAGAAACAATACCAAATTTTGAATTATGAACCTTATTATAGCCGAACTGAACACATTATTCCACCAAATATATTATCCTTTAGAGACTACAATCAATATAGAACAGTGAGCACATTATAATAATGTCATTCATAATAGCATGTTAATGCTGATTTTTAGTCAACTAATTAAGCTTTCTTATATAACAATCGATCTGTGATGGTATCGTCGCAAAATGACCTTTAAAGAAGTCTTTCTAGTATTTGTGATTGTACTTGTTGTACATGCTGGCTCGGACTATGAGGTCACCAATCCTTTCACTAAGGAAATTAAAATAGGTTTTAGAGAATGACTAAGATTTAGGTAAGGTATAGAATAGACTATGCTATATCATAGAGTCTTGTATTGTACAGGGAATGGCAAAGCTTAGAATACGGTAAAGCTTAGAGTACGGTAGGGCGTAGGGTACAGTAGGATCTAAGGTACAGTAGGGCCTACGGTACAGTAGGGCCTAGAGTACAGTAGAACCTAGGATACGGTAAGGCCTAAGGTATGGTAGGGCCTAGGGTAAGGTAGTGCCTAAGGAACGATAAGGCCTAGAGTACGGTAGAGCCTTGGGTACGGTAGACCCTAGGGTACGGTAAGGCCTAGGGTACGGTAGGGCCTAGAGTACGGTAGGGCCTAGGGTACGGTAGGGCCTAGGGTACGATAAGGTATCTGTACTGACAAAACTACATTTTAGGGTCATGCCAAATACGCCTTGACAAACTTTGCCGTGATTCACGGTAAACATGTTTATGTGTTGAAGAAAGTACGGTACGCCAAGAAGCAACAAAACAAGAAAAATTATATTCTGGGCATTGAGTACAGTCACAAAAAGAATGGCGTGGTCTTGTGCATTGAAGCCAAAATGGAATACAAAAAGAACAGTGCTCGACCAACCACTTCCTTCAAGGCTTGTGCTACTGAAGGAGAGGTTTATGGATAAAAATAGGTTGAGTAATATTTTTATTGACCGAAATTTTGAATTCTTGATGTTCTGACTGCTTTCTTACTATTTCAATAAATTTGTGTGTTTTATTATGGCAGTTTTGCTAATTGTTTTATCCTAGCCCTAAATCTAGCCAAACCTTTAACCCTAGCCTAGAGCCCTAGCCCAAAACCCTAGCCCAGACCCCTAGCACAGCTCAGATGCTTAGCCCAAAGCCGCAGCTCTAGCCTTAGTCGTAAATCGTAAAACGACTTCTATTAAATCGTTCAAATAATTCTGTGCCTTCTTTTTTGCTAACTTTTAGGGTTAAAAAACGCAGAATTATTTGAACAACCTGATAACAACCCACGTATAGACATAGGAAACGGGCCCTTGAGCAAAATTTATGTTGGGCCGGGCCCGGAAGTTCCGAAAAAGCTTGGCCCGACTCGAAAAACTCGGCTTGTTTACTAGTTAAAAAAAATTTGGGCTGGCCTGGGCCGAGCCTGAAAAAAACTCAGATTGAGCCGGGACTACCATCGGACGGGCTTGATCTAAACTTCGATGCGCCAGGCCTGAAAATTGGGCCCGGCCCGGTCCGTTCCTCATGTCTACCTAAGTAACCCAATTCGTATTTGCTGATACTACTGCTCCTTTCATCAATACGACGTTGTAAAAGCGTACACATTACAACGAGAGTGATAGTGAAGGATAGTTTCGCCAATGTTTCTAAACATAAAAACAATATTACACTGCCTTCGACTTGTTGACAGGCAGCCTTTCGCACCCCAAAATTATTATAAAGTTTTTGCTTTCAAATTAATGCACTTTTTACTGTCTGGTCGAGAGTTTCTCGGGGTTGTTACTTAGGCAATTATAATATTATTGGTATCGCCAAAGAATCATAGACATTGGTAGTCTAGGCTTGTCTTTAATTTTCATTCTTTAGGGTAGGGTGGGATAGGGTAGGGTAGGGTAGGGTAGGGTAGGGTAGGGTAGGGTAGGGTAGGGTAGGGTAGGGTAGGGTAGGGTAGGGTAGGGTAGGGTAGGGTAGGGTAGGGTAGGGTAGGGTAGGGTAGGGTAGGGTAGGGTAGGGTAGGGTAGGGGGTAGGGTAACTAAAATTAAGTTCAAAAAGACAAATTTAGTACAAAATACGTACGCCATGAACTATAAGTTATAAACAAATTGTTATGTCTTGTTTTATTAACGTTAAGTAGCATTTCGTAAACAATTTTCGTTGTTTACGTTCTATAACTGACCTCAAAATACAGTTAGGAACTACAGAAGGTTTGTGGTTTAAGTTTGGGGGGAGGGGGGGGAGGAAACAAAACTAAAAATTTCGAAAAAAGTTGAACTTGGTCCCCCCCCCCTGTGGATTTTTGGAAAAATTTTTTTGCAAAAATCGGCTGGTAGCTAACTATCTGTGCCGATTTTTTCGACCCCCGCCCCCAGATCAAATGTTTCCAATAGGCCCTGTACCCTACCTTACCATTTAAATTTTTAATTTCAAGTTAAAAGGGTCCACTTTTAACTTTTTTTCATACAAATATTTGGAGTGGAAAGGAGGGTATTTAAAAGAAGTGAAAGGAGGTGTTATATCTCCATCATTTCTTTAACACTTGTCCACAGTAAGAAATCTCAATTTTTAATCAATAAAAAGACAAAAATTTTAATTTTTTAATCTTCACTGACCAACGAAAACATTATTTTTACCTCGCTCCAGACATTTCTTTCCTTCTCGCTGGTCAGTTCATATCTTTGATCTGACTAATGTTGGAATAACGAGAAAACAAGTTACTTTTTGTTAAAACATCACTTTTTCAATAATCAATCTTAAAAGTTTTTTAAAATCTTTTCTTGAATTTAACTTATTTTAAAAATTTTTGAAATTCGTAATCAATTTATTCAAATTTTTAATCATTGAGTAAATTTTTAAATTTCAAAGTAAGTTTTCTAAATTTAATAGTGCGCCAAAAATTCTGTTACAAAACTTTACCCGTCGTTTTCTCTATGTTGCGGTTAAATTACATAAAGGTACAGTAAATGTACTGTAACGTCATTTTTATTGATATTTAAGTAATAGGTCTCCTTCAAAAATCTTGTCGTTTTGTCTCATCATTTTCAATATAAAATAGCGACAAGACTTTTTGTGGCGCGATGATATGCCTTTTATTGTTGTTTACAATCCCAACTCAGTATATAGACTTGTTTACAATTACAACTCAGTATATATGGTTGTTTACAAACTCAGTAATAAACGTACATGTTCATTTATATAGCCGTCGCCTTTCTTTTAACAGTGTTGCTTACATTACTCAGCCACGCGTGAACCCACTTCTTTATGAGTAACGTAGTAAAACGATACGTTTTACGTTTTTTAAAAAGAAAAGACGCATTTTTTAAAAGTTGGTAATACAGTTAGACCTTTAAAGGGGCTCGGCCCAACTTTTAGCTCGATTTTTTCAAATTAGCTTTGGCCCGGGCTTACAAGGAAGGTACCCGACATGCAACGCTCTGATTGGCTTCAAACTTTTTATATAGAAAGATCATGTAAATACTAGATCTTCAGGAAAGTACTAAATCGTGCTTTCCAGAAAATTTCGAGAAAATTAAGATCAAAAAATGACCATTTGAATTTCCCGCCAAATTGGCATTGCGTTTCAAGCTTATAACTGTCATTTTTTGACTTTTAACTATTTTCCTTTAATATAATGATAGAAAAGCTTCAAATGAACTTCCAATTTTAAATTTGTAAGCCTATCTTGTCTGAAACATCAAAAAAAAACGGTTGCAACACAATGCCAAATTTGCCAAATTGGCGGGAAACCCAAATAATTTAAATTTAAAACTCAAAAGCTAAAATGAGCTAAAATTTTTTATGGGTACTATAGGTAGTACAAGGAATTCATATAAAAATTTTGAGCAGATTCTGAGAGTTGCAGGTTGGGTACTTTCATTGTTAGTGAACCCCCTTTAACTTCTAGTACAGCTTCTTAACTTGCGGGCTTAAATATTCAAAAAAACCGTCATTTGTTGTGAAAAAAACTTTTTTTTAGTTAAAAAAATTGAATTTTGGCTAATAAGCCTATAACATCTCTGACCCTGACAACTTTTTATCTACATTGCCATTATGAGTTGGAAAATGATAACCTTATTACTAATAATGATACTTTTTGATGTGGCTACAGCTGGAGAGTGGCTGGGTACGTTTTTTGCTACATATTAGGTTTAACCAAAAGTGGCGGGACGCTTTTAACTTTTTAGTTCATTTTTTAGAGCCAAGAATGGACTTCTCACCAGGAACAGAAGCCTATTATTCTAGGTTTACGAATGATCTCACATCCGCTGAAACCGAAGTATTTTTGGAAATGGTTAGCAATGAACACGGCAAATCAGACAAAATGGTCCATGAAGCTGTGGTTGATCCAAAAATAGTACGAAAAGTGATTCGACTTCAAACTGAAAACTTCAGACGTCAGGGAATGAGCGAGAGGCTCATTGCTGTTTATATGGAGGTGAGCTTTGATTTTTTTTATTTTTAACTTTTCTTGCCATGCCTTGCGTTACCTTGCCTTGCCTTGGGCCTTGCCTTAGGCATTGCCTTGGGTCTTGCATTGGGCCTTGCCTTGCCCCTCGCCTTGCCTTCTTTTGTCCCTCGCTTTGCCTTTGGCATTGCCTTGCTTTGTCTTGGTCCTTGCCTTTCTTTGCCTTGCCTGGTGCCTTGCCTTGGGCCTTGCCTTGGGCCTTGCCTTGCCTGGCATTGCCTTGACTTATCTTGCTTTGCTTTGCTTTGCATAGCTTTAGTATTACTCTTAGCCTTACAATTTTTAGTCTTATTTTAAATATCAATCACAAAATAAATTTTAAAACCCTTATTGTAGATGGTCCGACAAGGATCTGGACTCCTCCACTCTCGATACCCACAAACCTGGAGAGAGCAAGCAGTTTGGGAACAAGCTTTAAGAAAGGTCTACGACAAATTCGACCGGTTGACTCCAACTGAAAAGTCCTTTTTACGGTGGCAAAATCCAAGTTGGTACACTATACTAGAACAACGTAAACCTGTACCACTGTTTAGAGCTCGGCGGAGGAGCAAAGTTAGAAAAGCTCATCGAAAGTCCAGACCATGACACTTAAATGTTGGATTTTGGTATATTATATAATATAATATGAAATTTAAGAAATATATATATTATATTATATATGTTAGCGTTATTGTATTATATTATAATAGAGAATTGACAAATAAACGGGTATATTAAAGAAATTCGTTGGTGTAAATTTTTTGATGGACAAAAATCAAAGCTAAATTTGATCAAACAGTAAAAAAATAATAACATTTTACAGTTTTTATTCATTTTTATTATACAGGGTGTCCAGAGAAAAGTGGAAGAAAGTCCAGGCTTCGTTCTCAAAAACTAGAAGTCCAAATTGGCTGATTCTTTTTTTGTTAAGCTTCTAATAGCATGCGGATTTGTTCTGTATGATTTTTTTGATCATTCGGCGGAGGTTCGGCGAAGACCGGCGGACGGTATTTTTACTGTTTTCATGGTTATTCCAACCTGTTTCGTATTGCTACTCATGTTTTGGCCATTTTTCAATTCAATTTTAAAATTTTCTTAAAATTTGGTACCATCGGCGGAGAAACCCGGCGAACGCCATAACTCAGCCAAGTATTGATATTTTTTTTCCAAACAAAAACTAACATTTTCCATGTTTCTTTGCCCTAAAAGGGGACTAAATTTGGTCCTTTTTAAACGTGTGCACAAAAATCGGCGGAGAGCACGTTTATCGGCGGAGGCCATAACTCTGTTCAAAGTCAATATTTTGACTTCAAACAAAAATAATCATGTTTGTATGAAAATCTTCTTTAAAATGATAGAGTTTGACAAAATTTAAACAAAAGTTAAAGAATCGGCGGAGACCCTGTTTATCGGCGGAGGCCATAACTCTGTTCAAAGTCAATATTTTGACTTCAATCAAAGAACATTATGCTTGTATGGGAATCTTCTTTCAATTAACAAATTTTAATAAAATTTAAACAAAAATTAAAGAATCGGCGGAGACCCTGTTTATCGGCGGAGGCCATAACTCTGTTCGAAGTCAATATTTTGAATTCAATCAAAAAACATTATGCTTGTATTAAAACCTTCTTTAAAATGATAGAGTTTGACAAAATTTAAACAAAAATTAAAGAATCGGCGGAGGGTAGGTTTATCGGCGGAGGCCATAACTTCGTTCAAAGTCAATACTTGAACTTGAAGCAAAAACTATTACGTTCGTATACCAATTGTCTTGGTACATATTAGTTAAGTTAGTAAATTTTTACAAAAAATATCTTGTTGATACAAATAAGGTTGCGGTCTCTTGACGTTAAAAGCAAATGTGTAACAAAATTTCTTTATGTTAAAGAAGTATCACATACAAACACACTGTTTTTTGTTTGAAATAAAAATATTGACTTTCAACAAATTTATGGCCTTCGCCGATAAACATACTCTCCGCCGATTTCTCAGTTTTTATTTGAAGACAATCAAATTTTATTATTTTAGAGGATATTCACATACAAACATGATTATTTTTGTTTGAAGTCAAAATATTGACTTTGAACGAAGTTATGCCCTCCGCCGATAAACGGGGTCTCCGCCGATTCTTCCGTTTTTGTTTAAAATTTGTAAAAATTTTTTAATCTAAAGAAGATCTTCATAAAAACATAATGGTTTTTGTTTCAAGTCAAAATATGGACTTTGAACAATGTTATGGCCTCCGCCGATAAACAGAGTCTCCGCCGATTCTTTAATTTTTGTTTAAATTTTGTCAAACTCTATCATTTTAAAGAAGATTTTCATACAAACATGATTATTTTTGTTTGAAGTCAAAATATTGATTTTGAACAGAGTTATGGCCTCCGCCGATAAACGTGCTCTCCGCCGATTTTTGTGCACACGTTTAAAAAGGACCAAATTTAGTCCACTTTTAGGGCAAAGAAACATGGAAAATGTTAGTTTTTGTTTGGAAAAAAAATATCAATACTTGGCTGAGTTATGGCGTTCGCCGGGTTTCTCCGCCGATGGTACCAAATTTTAAGAAAATTTTAAAATTGAATTGAAAAATGGCCAAAACATGAGTAGCAATACGAAACAGGTTGGAATAACCATGAAAACAGTAAAAATACCGTCCGCCGGTCTTCGCCGAACCTCCGCCGAATGATCAAAAAAATCATACAGAACAAATCCGCATGCTATTAGAAGCTTAACAAAAAAAGAATCAGCCAATTGGACTTCTAGTTTTTGAGAACGAAGCCTGGACTTTCTTCCACTTTTCTCTGGACACCCTGTACAACACTTACCGGCTAATGGGTCCCAACACGAAAACTAAGCTTTTGGCATTCTGATATATTAATTATTTTATTCGCGAAAGTGCGTCTTTTTGTCGTATTATAGAATAACTACGTAAATTAACTTACATCTTTATATTTTTAAACAAACAGCTACAATCTAATTATTTTTTTATTTACTTGTAAATTATGTTACACTAGATAGAGCTATAACTATTATTCTGGTCGAAAATGCAAGCTGATCTCTTACAAGAACGTACCAATTCGACTGGTGAGGAATACTATGATGATGGCTTGTATCCGGAGATGGATGAGGGTTATAACAACCGATATCCATTGCCTGAGGTAAGAGTTTTTGGGTTTTTCTTTTTTAGGTGTTGTTTGATGGAAATGGATAAGATGGAGGTGGTTTTAAAGGTTTTGAGCAGGAATTTTTACTGGAGAATGTGCTTAAGATTTAGGAGAAACCTTTAAAAGTGTTTTTGCAAAGTTTGAGGTTATTTGGACATTAACTTTGTATCATATAATGAATAACATCAACCCAACCTAAAAAAATATTCTTTTCAGGTGCCGGACGACAACAATCCTGAGTCAAAACCATTGTCGTTTATTTTAGAACAAGCTGTGAACTATACTTATGAAGAATTTTTGAGTATAACTCAAAAACAAGGAATCAATCAGATTGAATTCCTCAAATATTCACATTCAACAAGATGCAAGTTTGTCAAACTGTATGCATTGGTGAAATGGATCAAATCTTGGCAGAAATTCGACCAGTTGAACAAAATAAATTACTTTTTGGACGACATATCAGCTCAGTTTGTTGATACAACCGAGTTCTTGTTGTTTATGGATCAAATCGAGATGCCGTTTCTTGGGTAAGGGTAGTGTAATATAAAATTGGTTTTGATGGTAACTGGGGATTGATTTAGAAGGGATGTGTTGTAAAAAGTGTAGGAAAGTGTAAAGAGTAATATAACAAAGATTTTTGGAGTTTAATTTGTCTTATCTGTTAAGAGATTTATGATTTATATTAACTTACATTTTCAGAATTGGCCGATTTGATGTAGACGCTGCCATTGATGTACTGGTGAACCATGGTTTGAGTAGGCTGCCAAGAACGATTGCAGTAAGTCTTTGAGTTATTATTTTCATTATTTTAGGCATCAAAACAGCATTTGTGGCATGAGATGATCAAGAAAACTAAAGTTATGTCTAATATAAAGGCCGCATCAAAAAGAATGAATGTTTTTCTTAAATAAATGACACGTAAAATGGTCAATTCTTTATGACGCGGTTTAACATGTTATAACTTCTTACGACAATGCTTAAAATTACTTTGATTTTAGATATTTTAGTTGTTTTAGAACGTATTAATTATAACTTGGATCATTTTAGACATCTTTTATACCTGATAAAGAGTTGTCAAAGAAGCAGAAGATCTCAACGATCAATCGGATTGACAATTTGATTAAGAACGATCTGATAAGGTGTAGTGCGGACATTAATGACAGGATTAACATCGTTAGTATCAAAGATGGCGTGGTAATTTTTTTTAATTATTTTTTGGTTTTTAGGTAACAATTGGCATTATTAATGAGACAACATTAATGTTGCCACTTTTAGTTAACCCTAACGGCCGAAAACGAATTTACAATTAAATTGACGAGGACAGAACATCATGGTGAAGCTCGATGGCAGATTCTAACACTCGACATTCTTGTACATGATCATGAAGTGGGCCTAGGGCATGAGTTGATTCATCCTCAACATTGTTTGGACAGTTTATGTGTATTCATTCAAAGTGAAATTCAAAGGCATCCTCAGAATGTAAGTTTATATTATTGGGTAATAAATTTGAATTCTTTGTAGTTAAGGTAACAAATTAGTATAAAAATGGTCTTTCAGGATTTTTGATAACACATTTTTAATTTTTTGAATATTTTAGGTAACAAATTTAAAAACATTTTGGGAAAATTTAGGTAACAATCTAATTTTAAAACCTTAATTTTCAGACCTTCTCCATCATCTTCAACATCCTCCACACCTTCTGCTTACGTCTGCAACTTGACGTCTTCAGATGTCGAGTGCAATATTACAAGCAGGTCATATCAAAAGAGTTTCTACATGTTGAATATTACTGTGATAGAGAAGGCATCTTGGTATTCTACTTATGGCCAGAACAACGACGATCTCAAACCTACAAAGTCATTGCCAAATCGGATAGGAGAAGAAAGTTCTTGCATGTTACTCATTACCCCCAGGGACAGAATCTACCTCGCTTGGAAATTGTCGATGGGTAAGGTTTTTGAATTGAAAATGATGATTTTGTGACATTTTGTATTAGAAATAAGCGCTTGATGACATTTTTTGTTAGAAGTGAGGATTTTGGGGTCAGGAACGTCGTTTGGGGGGAGGGGGTAGGGGGGGGTGTACTCCCTCCCCCCAAAGCCAATCCGAAAAAAATTCCACACGAAAAAAAAATTTTGGAAAATCGGTTCACAGACCTGTGGACGAAAAAAAATTTTTTTTGGCTTCCTCCTCCCCCCAGAGAAAATCCGAAGCGACGTTCCATTTGGTGGCATTTTTCATTAGAAATGAGGTTTTGTTGACATTTTTCATTGACTATACTCTAATCTTATTTTTGGCAATTTTTTTGAAAATTTGAACTTTTTTTGATTAATAAATTGTACTAACAGATAACTTTCACTGGGCTATGGCTATATAGCTAATTTTTAAATTGAATTGAAATGAAAGATTAAGTACAATATTGAGTTTGACCTTCAGGACAAGACGTCTAATTTTCCTAGTTTGATCAAAGAAGTTTATGATTTTTTTGCACACTTTTTGATAAAAATATTATTTTTAAGGTTGATTTTTCACCGATTTAAAAAATTTTTTTTACGAATCTTTCGAACTTTTCCAGTTTTTCATTTTGCAATATTTATTCCGTTATTCGAGACTAACATTATATTATAATAGTATTAATAATAATAAGTACAACCATTAACATAAGCTCCTCTAAATTGGGGCTGGTAAGGCGGCGTAGGCTGTTGTGGCATTGGTTGATAAAATTGCGGTTGGGGTTGGTACTGGGGTGGTGGCAGATTGTAGTAGGAGATTGGTTGGTAGAGCTGGCTAAGATAGCGCTGATGGTTTTGTGGTAAAGGCTGGTACTGATAGACTGGAGGGTACTTGTGTTGTTGCGGTACTGGCTGGTAGTGGTAGTTTTGTGGTACTGACTGGTATTGGTGCTGTTGTAGCGTCTGATAGCAGTTCTGTTGTGACGGCTGGTAGTGGTGTTCCTGACGTTTCTGAGACACCTGGTACATGTCTTGTGCTAGCTCTGGCCACGCTGGCTTAATTGGACTTCCGAATCGTTCCTCTACTTGTCTTCGAACTTCTTTCTCAGCCAAAGGACAGCCCCATACTGGGTCTCTCAGAATGCTCATCGATGGAGCTGAGTTCACCTTGGCTTCAGCTTCAATCATGACTTTATCAAATTACAGAAAACCATTTTTGATATTAAGTTATAGTAATATGAGAGCGGAGAAAGTAGTGTGTGTGGTCAAAACAACAAGTGAGGTTGTATGGTAAATTATATGGGATTTGGCTTCTTTTATAGGGTCTTTGATACCTAAGTCTCTGCGCAGTTACGTGTCTTAATTTGTGCTTGTTTTATTGACCTAGCGGCGAAGGTTCTTTGAAGTTTCAAACTTATTTTGCCGCAGGGTTGTTGATAAAAATAGGTACTGAAAAGGTTGGCTTATGTAAAGTGGCGTAATTGGGCCTTGCTTGGGCAAAACTTGGAGTTTTCTTCATAATATTGCTGAAGGCAGAATTTTATAATGTTTTTTATTAGAAATGATGAGTTTATGACATTTTTTGTTAGAAATGAGGAATTTATGACATTTTTCGTTAGAAATGAGGATTTGATGACATTTTCCATTAGAAATGATGATTTTATGCCATTTTTTATTGGAAATAAAACATTTTTAAAAATAAAAAAAAATTTATTTCAGAGTACCTCAAGTCCACGAATTCCTGATCACAACAGCCCAACACAGATCAGCCGAACGTCTAAAACAAGTCAAACGTCTCCTCAATGAACTCTCTCTACCTAAAACAATATTGGAGAAGATTGGAGATGCCAAGATTCGCCTTCTCTACAGTATAATGCCATTTCTTAACACACCTGACTGTGAGAATTTGCATATTATAGTAAACCTCTTCACTGGCAGGTTAAAATGTCAAGTAGAAGCATTGTTATACGACGAATCGGCCCAGAACTTATTGACCGACCTTGGGGACACGATTTCGAATTCGCTGGATATTAAGAAAACTGATTTTAAAATCGAAAAAATTATTTTGAAATTGAGGTTGAAGTTGTTCAAGTTGAAAACGATGGAAGCTTTGAATGGCCTACATACTCATGTCATCCAGGAAGACCCATGGGCACCGTTCTTGGGTACCAACGTACCCGAAGAGAAGGTCATGTTCAGTTTTCATCTGGATCCAAACTACTTTTTGGTAAGCTATTTTTATGTTGTATCTTTAGGTTACTGTAGCGTAGTCTTACTATATAGTCTAGTATAACTGTAGGCTCTACTCTCTCTTAGTTTCTACTGTACTCTAGGCTCTACCGTGCACCAGTCTTCATCGTACTTTAGGTCTTACTGTATTATAGGCTTTACTATACTCTAGGTCCTACTACACTCTGGGCTCTACTGTACACTAGGCTTTACTAAACGCTAGGCTGTACGGTACCTTAGGCCCTATAACACATACAAATAGGGCAGACTGTAGTTTAGTTTTTACTGCACTTTAGGTAAACCGTATTCTGTGCTTCATCGTACTCTAGGCCCTAACGTACTTTAGGCTTTAACTTACATTGGTCTTTATTGTATCTTAGGTCTTATCTTACCTTAGGTCTTATTGTAATCTAGACTCTACCGTGCTGTAGGTTCTACTGCATTTTAAGGCGTACTGTAGTCTTACTGTGGTTTAGGCTTTATTTCTTACTGTATTATAAGCTTTACGGTTTTTATTTTCTGCCGTAGTCAAGGCTCTATCGTATTCTGGTCTTTGTCTCTTCTAGGCCTTACCGTAATCTATATTCACGCGGCTAAGTTTTACTATAACTCGGCTTGCTTATCATGCCTTATGCTGCTTTGTCTCATCGTATCTTTTTAAAACTTTTATTAAATTTTAATTTTTTAGCTAGCCACGTTTGACTACGATGACAGAAAAGAATTTCAAAGTCGGTTTTACCTTATTGACCAAACAAACAGTGTTCGAAACGTGATGGAAGTGGAAGAAACAGCCGAACTCAGAGAACAAGCCGTACCTAAATTGGATCTTATTGAGTTTAAAGGTCGGTTCGAAATTTATTTTGTAAAATACGGGGGCTGGCTTGGAAGATTAAAATTAGTCGATGAACTTTTGGATTTTTAGGTAACAAAACTCAAATATAATTTTGTAGGTACCAAGAAGTCTCCACCGTTCCTCCCGTTGTCAGTCAAGAGAACAATGTCGTGGGAAGTAAGAAGACGTCAGTTGAAGGCATTCATGGCCTTATTAGATGGAAAAGTTCAAATTGAACAATTAAGAAGAGCGCTACGACAATTGGATGTGGACTTTGAAGTGAAGCATGAAGAAGTTGTGGGTGGGAACGTCATCGACATTGTTAAGTGAGTATCTACCTCTACCTTTACTTTACTCTACGTTACCCTACTCTATCCTACTGTACTCTACTCTATTCTACCTTTTCTTACCATACTATACCCTACTGCCTTGCCCTACCCTACCTTGCCCTTTCCTACCCTAACCTGCCCTACCTTAACCTGCCCTACCCTACCTTATCCTACCCTACACTACTCTACCCAACTTTACCCTACCCTACCCTACTCTATCCTACTCTACTCTACCTTACCCTATCCTACTCTACCTACCGTATCCTACTCTACCTACCGTATCCTACTCTACCGCTTTCCTCGAGCTTTTAACTTATCGTATCTACAATACAGTCACTTCATCTACAATACGATAACTTGATCTATAATGCAGTCTTTCTACTTTACCTTAACTGATTGTGCTTTATTATTACCATATCATGATCAAAGATTTTAAAACATTTTTTTCAGTTGTCAATTCTTGATGAACTTTGACTCGGCTGGCTTCGAGAACAGTATAAGAAGAGTGTGCTTGAGATTACATCGACATACCATCTTCCACTTGGAGTTTTGTATTACTGATCCGCCTGTAAAGACTCCTGAAATGGAGAGGGTGAGTTTTTAAAATTAAATTTTTTTTTAAATTAAAAATTAGAAAATTTTTTTGAAAATTAAAAAAAACGAAATTTGATACTATTAGGTTGTTCAAATAATTCTGCGCTCCCTAATCCCGAAAATTTACTTTGAGAGGAGCACATAATTATATGAAGAGCCTAATTTAGAAATTAAAAAATGATTAAAACTGCCATTTCCAGAGCAACCTCTTCCGCTTCGTACCGGCAATTCACCACGCTCAACTACAACCCTTCAGTAATTATCAAGAAAACTTGAAACGTCATTTAATCGACCAGTTGGTTACGTATGGCAGAATGAACAAAGTCGTCAAAGAATTCGCCACCGTATATTATGGTGGATACATGCAACAACATGTTGATGTAGGTCTTGTTTTGTTTTTTTAAAAATCCAAGTTTAAGGGGATTTGAATAGTTTTTGGTGAAGGGTATGGTAAAGTTGAGCTTAGGGTACAGTAAGGTCTAGAGTACAATAAGAGTTAGGATATGGTAGGGTTTTAGGTACTGTAGGGCATAGGGTACGGTAGGGTCCAAGGTACGGTAGGGCCTAGGGTACGGTAGGGCCTAGGGTACGGTAGGGCCTAGGGTACGGTAGGGCCTAGGGTACGGTAGGGCCTAGGGTACGGTAGGGCCTAGGGTACGGTAGGGCCTAGGGTACGGTAGGGCCTAGGGTACGGTAGGGCCTAGGGTACGGTAGGGCCTAGGGTACGGTAGGGCCTAGGGTACGGTAGGGCCTAGGGTACGGTAGGGCCTAGGGTACGGTAGGGCCTAGGGTACGGTAGGGCCTAGGGTACGGTAGGGCTTATGGTACATTTGGGGCTTAGGGTACGATAGGGAATGGATTAAGTGAACAGATACTGTAACTGTGATTTAAAAATGACTTTGGTATAAGTTTTTGAAATTTTATAAATAAAAATTTTGATTTTTCATTTTTTTTTCAGATTGCCTACTTCAACTACTACAAGCTGATCCTAACCTACGGAAAAGACCGGGATCTAGCCCTAATCGTGTCCAAAAAGAGCAACTACAAGCATTTGATACCTAATTTCAGTCAATTGAACTCGAAAACCAACACAAGTGTCAGGTCTAAAACCTGGAATCCTCACGTCTTGGTATCAGCCATGCTCATGGATAATATCACTGACACAGATGACCTAATCGGACTGGTCGATTATTTAATCAACACAGAGAAGTCACTCAGATTGATCTACAACTTTGCCCAAATGCACTTGAAAACCGACCGGTCGAGGGAACAGCTATTGGGCTTGGATGTTCGGCCGCCCAATGCTTTCAGCTTGTCGGTATGTTGTTGTAGTGGAAGGGTAGAATATGGCAGAGTAGGGTTTGGGGGTAAAGGGTTATATTGATATGGTAAAGGATTTTATAGGCTTGCAGTATGATTGCGGGGTAAATCTAGGTTTATAAAGTTTAAAAAATGAATTTCGTTACCTAAAAACTTTAAAAATTGGGATTTATTACCTAAAATTTCTAAAATTGAAATTTGTTACCTAAAGTATTTACAATTTGAGATTTATTACCTAAACTCTTTAAAAATTGAGATTTGTTACCTAAAATATTAAAAAAACTAATAATTTTTCGAAGACATTTTTAAACTTGAGCTTTTTTCAGAATGTCATAATTCCTCTGTCAGAATACGTGATCCGACTAGTTCATGGATTCGCCCACGTCGAATTCTGCCTTCTGAAGAACAACAAAGTTGGGGTCAGGGCGAATCAACTGAAGTCAACTGAATATGGCAATGAGAACCCAGTGACAATCAAGAAGCTACCTGGATTTTCATTTTTCTGGAAGAAATTCGCGGTGGCAAGTCGAATCGAAACTATTGATTCGAAGGAGCATCTGGAGGAGAACAGGGCCAACGGCAATCCGGCTAGTGTGCCACCGGTAAGGGTGGGGATTTTTGAAAAAGTAATGATATTGCCGGGGTGAAAAAAAAAAATTTTATGAAAAATTGAAATTTAAAAAAAAGGACTTAAACTGCTAGAAGCCGTATTTTACATTCCATATTTCCTCTTCTGATAAAAAATGACATAAAATCCTTATTTCTAATGAAAAATGTCATCAAATCCTCAATTTCTAAACCAAACGTTTCAGAATGAAAGGACAGACAACCCCATCGACAACTACCCAATGTCATGCCCACCACAGTACGACGAACGTTTCGAAGAGTTCGTGGCGTACGCGGAACGCCAGGAAAAGCACGATCTGAACAAGTTGTTGGTAATTGACCCAGAAGTATTTGAACAAGCAATGACTTCGAATTCGGTCGAACGAACTGACGCTCGGGAGGTGCAGGTCATGAGTAAGTTGTCAACTTGAACACTTTTGGGAGGGGGAGGGGGAATATGTACTTAAAACAATGTTCATTTTGTAAATACTATCGAGTTATGACTTGAAGTTACGTTTTTTGAATAGGATATTGATTTTTAGGCAAGATTTGACTTTTTGCGACGAAATGTCAATTATTGATTTTTTATGACATTTTGTCTATATTAAAAAATTTTTCATTTTTTACGTTTAACTAGCTTGATTGAAATTTTGAGCAGTCTTTTTTGTATAATTTGAGATTTTGAGACGAAATGTCAATTATTGATTTTTTGTGACATTTCGTCTATGCTATTTTTTGACGGTTTGTGAATGTTAAGAAGGTGTTAATTTAAGTTTTGAAAGTTTAATTGGCATGGAGGGCAATTTTATATTTAATTTTGAAACTGTAAGACGAACTTTTAACTATTGATTTTTTTGTGACATTTCGCCTTATTTTGAAAAAATTTTTTCTTTAGCTGAAAATCTGTTTGTGTAACACGCCAAACTTGTTTTTTCTATTAAGTGATGTTATTCTGTACTTATTTTGTAAAATTTTTTAATGTAGTATACTATTAAAAATGGCATTTTCAGTGCCGAAACCAGTATCTCCATTGGAAGCCTACCTTCACGGCCTCAATTTCATATCGAAACTGCCAAAAACCTTGAACGTCTTTGCCCATTCTCAAAACCCGATTCAACACTTGCCAATTAGTGAGCTGAATTCGGACGACTGGTCGGTCAGCTTCTGTCTTCCGGGGGTAACACCAACTACTACTGCCTACCCACCATGGACAACTAAAGTACGGATTTTCATGTGTCCAACCAAGTTTCATACTACTATCAAGTTGGAGTTTGGTAAGGGTTTGGTATACGTTTTGATTGGGCATGGGTTTTCGAAATTTTTGACCTTTTAGAATTTAATTTCTTTTTAAATTAAAAAAATTTTTTTTGAAAAAATGTGGGTTTTTAGACTTGATATGATTAGAAGTAGCATTTTTGACATTACTGATCGATTATTTTTTACATTTGAAAATTTTTCGTAATAAAAATTTTTTTTGAAATTTTATTTGTGACCTTATATAACTAAATATCTGATTTTAGTAGGCCCAAACACCCCACAAGAAGCCGACATTGACACGTTCGTCAAGTTCTTCGAGACTGTAATCGTATCAACTGACAATGAGTATGCTCTACATTCCTATCTGAGCATGTGCAGAGTCAATGCTACTGGAGTATTCAATGCTTTCGCTTCGCTGATGAAGGCTCACATGGTAAGGATTTGACGACGATGGTTTTTAATTGACAAAATTTTCATTTCTGAAAATGGCATAAAATTGTGATTTCTAACGAAAAATGTCATATTATAAATGAAATTTTTTGAATTTTTTAAAAATGATTTTTTTGTATTTTAGGACCCATTTTCTTATTTGAATTGCCACAATTGGACTCTGAATATCCAGTTGATACTGTTCAGACCAGCTCCAGTAAGTCACCTACCCACAACCGAGGTAAACAAAGCCGACTTTATCAGTGGAATCCTTATTCATCCGAACAAGGAGATTCAGATCACGGTAAGAACAAAAGGAATGAAGAGTGTATTTGATAAATGAGTTACAGTACAGTGGGTACGGTAGCGTATTGTAGGCTGGGTAGGGTAATCTAGGGTTAGATAGGGTAGGGCATGGTGTGATAGCGTATGGTAGGATAATGTGGGGGTCTAATCAAAAAAGGTTTGGATATGTTATTGTATAGTCGGGTAGGGTAATCTAGGGTTGGTATAGTATGGTAGGGGAGAATTGGATAGGGTAGGAAAGGAGAATATATGGTAGGGTAACCTATTCTTAGGTGGGTATGGTAAAGGTAACGAAATTTTTCGTTTTTTCAATTTAAAATCTTATTTATTCAGATTGGTTTATGTCCAACAAAAGCTCTACGAATCCATAAACATGTCAAAATGTCATTCATCTACAATTTAGACAAGTAAGTTGATTTTGTTTTGTCATTTCTTTATTTCTTACTTCACCGTCCCTTATTCTACCCCACTCTACACTACCCTACCATACTCTACCTTAATATGACTTAATACACTTCTTAATCCTTTGTGAACCGTACTATTTATTATTTATAAGCTTAGAAACGGACGTATTTTACATTAGATTGCATTTAATATTCACTTCTTTTTTGTTTCAGTGAAGTCCTACGTTACTCACCATTCCACGCAATGGACGAAAACATACCCCAAGTGGAGTCGATTCTCACGGGCGTGGTAAAAACATCTCCAGATCAATGTGTCATATGGCCTAGTGTTCATCGACTGGTCGAGAGGTTTCGATAAGATCAATAGCTGGTAAAATCGAGTGATTTTATGAAAACTTGAATTCTGATCGTTCGGTCGAAAAATATATGGAAAAAGGTGGAGAAACGTTTTTAGCCTATAATATTTAAGGCTTGATTACTGTAGTTTTTACTGTAGTATAACTTATTTTTTTTTACTAAGTTTTTGTTTCACTTTATTATGGTTATTTCGATTTTATGTTGTTATCATAATCAATGACTACTTGAAAATTTTTTACTTACCTTTTATACATGTATGTTTATATATAACGAATTCAAAAACGTTTTGGGGTTTTTTAAGACAGAGGATCTTGTAATTTGACGACAAAACTTTTTTTTGCACGTTGACGTTAACTTTTTACTTTAAAGTTTATATTTTGTGGTTAGTCATACCTTATTCTTTATGTTTTCTTTGCAATTTGTGTAAATTTTTATCATAACCTTTGTGGGTGTTTGTACGGTTTTTTTAATTTCATAACTTACTGTTAATATCACATATTAATACTTTACGAAGTATGTATGTGATTTTTGTTTCATAAAAATATTATCATGTTTATATCAATTTGATTCCATGTAAAATAAACTCACCTTAACTTATATTTAATTACTTCGATAGTGCTACGATAAAAACATGTGATCATAGATGAGTAATATAATCTTTGGAATCTTGAACTTTTTTTACAATAATTTTTGTTGTTTTTGCAAAAGACAACTTAATATTACACTTCTGTTCAACTGATCAAATGTCTAAAAAATCAAAAGCAATTTTCAATCTTGACTTACACGTTCTTTCAATGTGAGCTTACTGTAGTTCTTAAGTTATGTTACACGAAAATAAATTCTCTTATTATAAAATAGCACTTTCAAAGATTTTAAATATTAAATTATTCAAAAAATAAATTATTGCTATAAGTTTAAAATGCTTTTTTTACGGAAATTTAATAGAATTTTACGAATTTTATATTATGTTTATGTCCGCAATACTATTTTTCACCACTCCTGAAATTTTCATGAATTTTCATCGAGCCAAACCCGTGTTATAACACTTTATCTAACCCACCGTCTGCGTTCTCTACCGTCTCTTCGTTCTCTTTCTCCCGCGCGCATTCCTTTTCTCTTCTTTATTATCCTCTCTAACCCCTCTCTTCTTTTCGCACGCCTTCTCTTTTGCGCTTTTCTTTGATCCTTGCGCTCTCTGCCCGCTCTACTCTTTTTGCGCGCTCTCTCTTTCTCTCTTCGATTTTTTTGTCTGATCAAACCTTTCTCTAACCAACAATCACGTCTCTCACATATATACACTCTTTCTACGGCTTTGCTACTGCTCGGATTCGAACTTGCAAATCTGTTGAGAACTCTGGATTTATAAGTCCAACACACTACAACTACACTACATATCGGAAAAAATAAATTTGCCCAAAATTCACGTTTTTTCCATAACAATTTTTTATGGATTTGACGTGAAAATTCGTGTGAAATTTGTTAAAAAAAGGTCAAAATTTTGCAGTTTTTGGCTCTAAAAGTACCATTAATGACAAACTATCAAATTGGTTCATATACCATAGTGAAGTTTGGTATCTTGGCTACATTTTCAACTATACAACGGATTTTTACTACCACGGTAACATGGATATACGACGCTTTAAAGAGACGCAAGTCAGGCGGTCAGAACTTTACAGGTGCTTTTCGACCGGTCGATAGTGGCAAAAATGTAAAATAAACATTTACTACGGTATTTCATAGCATTTTAAAGATAGCACTTTTAGGAATTGTCTATTTTTTGAGTTTAACATGGTAAAATGTCATAGTAAAATTTACATGTACACATTAAACAATGTAAACTTTAGGTAGTGATAACTTTCTTTACAGTAACGTCTCCTCTTAACAAAACATATCATCTTGTAGAGCATGTCATACCGTAACATTCTATCAGACAATACCTTTTTACTTTGTCAAGATACGATAGTTATGGCACGACAAAGAAATGCCACTTTTTTGATCTGTAAAACTGTAATGGACACTTTTTAGCATGCAATAACTTTCTTTACAGTAAAGTCTCTTTACAGTTGAAGATACGTGTGTGTAGCTAGTACTCTACAATATTATAATTTCTAAAATAATTGTTTACTATAGCTATATACGATAGTTATAATTTGACAAACTGTCATCTATACTTTTACGTTTTCGTTGTTTTTAAACAAGCTCTGCCATTTTTAAACCAACATAAATTCGTTTAACGTTGCACCTTATCAAAGTAAAACATACCTACATGTAGCTGGTGGTCTTCTGTATCATATTATGCATGATCCATGGGTTACAACAGCTATTCACAGTAGTTATACATCAAAAATGTCAAGTAAGTCACCTTCTATATTTTAACAATATTTCGTTTTGTGTCATAAATAAAGTCATTTTGGTTCCAATATAACAAGATATCTTTAACATAGTTAATGTTGTTTTCGAACGTTACTTTTCCTTGATTCGTACATCTAAAAATAGCGTCGAAAGTCTTCGGATTAATGATCTTTGAGACGCGAATTCCGTTACAGTGTTCGCTACTAATGTTTGTTGATTTTTGAAAATGTTCGACGACAATGTGAAGACCAATCGTTCATCGTTTTGATTGATTTAGGCTTACATTTACTACGAATGTAACTTTATAGCTAATATTCCATTAGAACGTCGTTTCAAAAACGTTTTTTAGTTCAAATTTTTGTATAACATAATATGCTATGGGGACATTTAATGTAACGTAACTTTCGTATCTTGTTATAGTAGAATGTATTTTAACTATATAATAATACAGTAGAATATCAGCTATCTGTAGACATGCTTCACCGTGAGGAGAAGTTACTGTAAAGAAAGTTATGACGCGTCAAAGTGGCACCTCCTGTTTTAAAACAAAAAACACGTCAATATAGCCCAAAATACAACTTATTACACCATAACTATCTTATCATGCTATAGTAAAAAATAAATTTTAAAACTTATGATACAGTAGAGTATCAGCTACATGAACATATCTTCAACTATGAAGAGGCATTACTGTAAAGAAAGTTCTTATAGGTTAAAAAGTGCCCATTGCTGTTTCCCAGATCAAACAAGTGACATTTATTCGTCGTATCATAACTATCGTATCTTTGCACTGTAAAATATTTTGCTCGACAGAATGGTACAGCATGACATGCTCTACATGCTGATATGTTTTGTTATGAGGAGACGTTACTGTAAAGGAAGTTATTACTACCTAAAGTTTGCACAGTTTAATGTGTACATGTAAATGCTACTATAGTATTTTATAGTGTTAAACTCAAAATATCAACAATTCCTGAAAGTGCTCTCTTGGAAATGATATGAAACATCATGGTAAATGTTCATTTCACAATTTTGCCATTATCGACCGGTCGAAAAGTACCAGTAAAGTCGTGACCGCCTGACTTGTGTGTCTTTAAAGCGTCGTATCTCCATGTTACCGTGGTAGAAAATAATCGTCCTACAGTTGAAAATTTAGCCAAGATACCAAGCTTTACTATGGTATATAAACCAATTTGATATCTTGTCATTAATGGTACTTTTAGAGCCAAAAACAGCAAAATTTTGAGGTTTTTTTGACAAAATTTCATGCGAATTTTCACGTCAAATCCATAAAAAATTGTTATGGAAAAGACGTGAAATTTGGCCAAATTTATTTTTTCCGATTTTTAGTGTAGTGGTAGTGTGTTGGACTTATAAATCCAGAGTTTTCGGCAAATTTTCAGGTTCGAAGCCGCCAAATAACAAAGTTGTAGATAGAGTGTATAAATGTGAGAGATGTGATTTTTGGTAAGAGAAAGGTTTGATCAGACAAAAAAATCGAAGAGAGAAAGGGACAGCGTGTAAAGAGAGAGCGCGCAAAAAGAGTAGAGCGGGCAGAGAGCGCAAGGATCAAAGAGGAGCGCAAAAGAGAGAGCGCGGGAAAAGAAGAGAGGGGTTAGAGAGGGTAATAAAGAAGAGAAAAGAAATGCGCGAGAGAGAAAAGGAACGTAGAGACGGTAGGAAAGGCAGACGATGCGTTAGAAAAAGTGTTATAACACGGGTTTGGCCCGATGAAAATTCACGAAAATTTCAGGAGTGGTTAAAAATAGTATTTTGAACCTGATGACAGTATAAAATTAGTAAAAATCATAAGAATTTCTGTAAATTTTAAAGTTAAAATAACAATTGAATTTTTTTGACAATTTTAATAGTTTTTTACACTACCATACCCTACAGTAAATAGCAGCATTGTGTACACTTTTTTAATTTTTAAAATGTAAGCAATTTTGAAGGAAGTTAAAAATTCCTTGAAAGATAAATGTACAAAGGAAACATTCGGGTTCCACGGTACGTATCATTTGATCAACGTGAAAGGGGATTAAGAGGTTCGAAGAATATAAAAAAGTTACGTAAAACATGTTATTTGCTTATCCTATTAAAACTAATTTTTTTGTTAAAGTAACTTGACATAATGACTGATTAAACTGTGGTGATAAAGAGGAGTTTAAATTTTCATAATCATTTCCCGGTCGAAAAGTACCAATAATGCACTATCCTACACTATAATACCTCGTGCTTTATCTCAATTGACAGTGCTTTATCTTGCTTGCCGGAAGGACTACCGCCTGACATTGTTGATACCACACCTAACTTTTAAAAGATGACAATACAGAACTTTTCTTGTAAGCATTACAATGTTCAAAGTCTGTTGATCGTTTTGTTTACGTGATCAGTGTGTTGTTCTTCAAACGTGGGCAATAAATTAACAAATTTGATTTATTTTTGTTTTCAATTGTTACAGTATTAGGGTTAGGCTCTTATTTCTAATATTTATTATATTCTTCTTTTTCTTAAAAAAATAAATGACAATAAAAATCTAAAAAATTCACAAAAAATTGATTTTTACAGTAATTAATTAAAATTACAGTCTTTTTTACTTTGCATGAAGGAAAATATTTACATTACTTAAGATATAGTATAATAAATTTTGGTCAAACATCGCATTAAACATTTATTTTTCATTTTTAAAAGTCAATTAGTAATAAAAAATGCAATTAAATTTTTACTATGCTATTTACATTGTAAAAACTGTATAAACTGAACCCTTAATTAAAGTTTTTTTTACTGTAGAATTACTGTAATGACTTGTTTTTAATGTTTTCTTCTACTATTGTAATTGTTTTTACATTCTTTATGACATAAAATGACCTTTTTGATCTCTACCTTGTTATTCCATAGACAATAGCAAGGGTTTCCTTTATCATACCTACAAACTACTTTTTTATACCTACAATTAATATAGTTGGCACCGTTTTTGGCTCTAAAAGTACCATTAAGACCACAGATAACATTGATTTTTATACTATAGTAAAGCTTGGTATCTTGGCTATATTTTAGGCAGGAGTACGGGTAGAGTTAAATGTAGAAGTAGAGGTAGAAGTAAGGGATAAAAAGATACGGAATTAAATGTAAAAGAAAGAGTAGTCTCTCCCTGCCCTGGTCATCAAGATTTCAAAAAGCATAGAATTTCTACCCTATGCTCAATTATAGTTTATACCCTGCCTTACTCGGGTGTTTGGAATGCCGTTTCGAATCCGGATCCGAACGGCGTTCCGAACAGCTGATTTCGGCTAATTTGATATCTTTTCAACAACTTTTTGCACAAAATATGTCGCAAAAAATTGTTTTCAAAATTTTTAATAAGTTGTTCAAATAATTCTGCGCCCCCTAGATTTTTCGTGCAAAAACTTTGTTTAGAAGACATTTTTCACATTCTTTTAGGCTACAGAAAAAGAATCTCAAGTATTAGTTTGTTCAAATAATTCTGAGCCCTCATAATCGCGTTTTTCGAAATTTGCTTTGATGAGGGGCGCATGGTTATTTGAACGATCTAATAGATTTTTCATGCAAAAAACTTGTTTACACTTTCCTTCTTTTAGGTTGTTCAAATAATTCTAAGCTATCTTGGAAGCAAATTTTCGGGGTCAGAGAGCACAGAATTATTTGAACAATCTAATAGATTTTTCATGCAAAAACTTGGTTTACACGCCATTCATTTCCTTTTTGTAAATTGTTCAAAAAATTCTGTGCCTAATCAAATTTTTGGTATCAGGAGGCGTAGAATTATTTGAACAAGCCGATAAAGATTCTTTTTCTGTACCAACTTCAGGATTCTTGTAGTAACTTCTGGAGCCTTGTAGCTCCTCCTTAGTCCTTCGAGGAGCTACAAGAAGCTTTTTTTCTTTAAGTTAGCGACTTTTTTTATTTAAAAAGGCTAGCCACTACAAATTAAAAAGAAAAAGTAATGTAAACTCCACCCCCTCAAATGTTCTAGCAAATTAAGTCGTTTTTACGCCCAATTTTAGGTATAAAAGATCTTTTATGTAGCAAAAATAGAAAGTTTTAGCTAAATCTTACCTAAAATCTAAAATTTAACGCAATTTTAAAATGATTTCAAGAATAGTACTAGTACTGGCTTTCGTACTCTTCACTGCAGTCAATGCTCAACTAGCCGATATGTACACAAGAGGCACTATTCTTGACTCATGGGGTGGAAACCTTGGCCCAAGTCATCCAAACTCCATTCAAAGCCAGGCTTATTACCGTAAGTTTTTTCGTATGTTAGAGTAATCTTATGGCCCCAAAAAAAATTTTTTTCTAAAATAGGGCTTCTATTCCTGGCTGTTATCCGAAGTGTTAAAATCTTACTAGAACTCCTGTTATCAGCAAAAAAATCCGTATTTTACCATAAAAACCATCTTTTCTGGGGTAATTTTCAAAAGCTCATAACTACCGTAATCTACATTTTTAAAAACTGACATTTACCGTAGGCAAGCGCCCCAAACAAGACTTTAATCAAACCTAAATTTCATGGTTATAGCTTGTATATTAACCAAGACATACACCATGAAAAATGGCAAAAAATTCAACTTTTCTGAAAAAAAAATTTTGAAATTTGAAAAAAAATTTCCATTTTAACCCTACCTTTCCTCGCAAATGCCATTTTTAATCCCCTAAAGCTATTACATCCTATCTAACAGTACTTTTTACACCGCCCAGATACAAACTTAATTTTACCCCTCCCAAACCCACCCAACCCGATTTACCCCACCCAAACCTATTTTACCCTACCCAACCCTATTTACCCACCCAAACCTGTTTTACCCTACCTAACCCGATTTACCCCACCCAAACCTATTTTACCCTACCAAACCCTATATTACCCTACCCAGCCACATATTACCCCTCCCAACTCTAATCCCGCGCCTGCTTTCAGCCCGCTACAACGCCTACTACGGTAACGGTTTCTTCGGCTAGCTGGGGCGTTTGATCTATGGTTTGTTGCGAACCATCCACGAAATGATGATACGACCTCCAGCAAGTGTAATATAACATTGTTTGTATATAATGTCGCCCGAATCTCAGCTTTCGTTGTAATAAAATTGATATTTACTTGTGAGTTGGAGGCATGTTGCATTGGTTTCGTAAAAAAGTTTTTGCGGAGAGAAATTTTGTAACAGCTCTGCAGAAAAACAAGGTTATTGTAGCAAATTTATATAATAGTTATACTGGAACCAGGGCCAGGCGGGGACTTTTGGTATGGGGGCAGGGGTCCAAAAAATCCACAGGGGGAACCACGTTCAACTTTTTTCAAAAAATTTTTTTTCTGGGGGGGGTACCCACCCCCCCCGTCCCCCCCCCCTCGCGCCCGGCCGTGACTGGAACTATATAACCAGTATAACAAATCGAAAAGATATTTAACAAAGAAAGTGCCCAACCTGCTCAGCTCTGATTGTCAAAGAAAGTACCAAGCAAGGTGAAACTTATGGTACAGTAAGAGCTAGAGTACGGCAGGGTCTACGGTGGCTTACAGAGAGTACCTTAACTGCCCCACTCAGAATCAGCTCAAAATTTTTTGTGTAAGTTCTTGGTACCACCAATAGTACCCATAAAAAATTTTTAGCTTTTGAGTTTTGAATTATTTTGATTCCCGCCAACTTGGCATTCTGTTTCAAGCACTTTTTTTGACCTTCCATCCATGCTACACTCACAAATTTAAAAATATAAGTTCATTTAAAGGTTTTTTACTAGTATATCATAGGTACTATTGGTAGTACAAAGAATTCAAGTAAAAATTTTGAGCTGATTCTGAGCGGAGCAATTAGTGTACTTTCCCTTTAAACCCTATCCCTACTGTACCATAGGCTTACGGAATACCCTTTCATCCTAAACAGGTCTTGTTCTAAAGCCCAAGCATTGGTGCATTCCCTTGTTATTAAGTCGTTCAAATAATTCTGTACCCCTAATCCTGCAAATTGGCTTTAAAATAGAGCACAGAATTATTTGAACAAACTGATAGAAATAGAAAATACATTGTTGCCAATAACAAATTCAGAAATCGAAAAACTTACCAAATAACACTTTATTAAAGCAACAAACTATACTAGACACTGTTATATACTAGACATTACTTTATATCACTGTAGCTTTATTTACAAGGTCATATACAATTACATATATATAGTTATTACCCGAACATCCGTTGTTAAAATTAGACCAGTAAATTCGTCGTTCACTTACATACAAAATAGGTTATCAATACGGTAAAATAAGACACAATAGTATAAAAAAGTAACATAAGCAAGATACCATACATCAACTTCTAGGCATACACTATCTTCCACACCAAGATACGACAATAAACATGTAGTAATTGTCAGACGTAAACCCTAGTCATATTCTCATACCACAGAATACAAAAAACATATTTTACTAAGTATACTTCGACCTACATAAGACAGTATACCAAGATACGACAGTGTATTGTTGGAATAAAGCAAGATACGACAAGATAGATAAACATATATACACATAATCAAGTAATATTCAGTTATAAAGCGTCCACATCTTCCAAAACAGTCAGTGTGCGTTTCGAATGGTCGTATCGTTGTTTAGCCTGCAAGATACGATCGGCTAGTTGGTGGGCTACTTGGCGGTCCGAACAGTATACGTAGGCTGGTACGTTGCGGCTACGGCGGTCTTCGTACGAAATTTCTGTAAAAAATAGCATAAAGATTAATAGTTTCCTCAAATAATGTAAAGAAGTAGTGATTTACAAACCTTTTGTAAATTTAACAAAATGTCACAAAAAATCAATATTGTGACATTTCGTTAGAACCTCAAAAATATTCAATATAACCATGTGTCAACATTAAATAGCTTTAAAACACGTTTAAAAACAAATTATGACTACATTTTTTTTTCTTGTAACGAAATGTCACAAAAAATCAATATTGTGATATTTCGTCCAAAAAACCAAAAACGCCAATATAACCCAAACAACTCCATTTATAACCAAAAATTCCATTACTTACCAACTTTGACCAATCCTGACTGAGTTACAGTGGTCGGTTGAACGTTCTTCAACAATCTGTATATTATCCTTTGGGTTACCGTGTTTGGCTGATCATTTCGTTGTCTGAGCATGTAGCACTGTTCCGAACAAATCAATGCCTTCTGAACTTCACGTTCGCCTTGGAAGACGCGTGAGAAAAAGACTACCACGTTGAGAAGGCTGAAATATGGAAGAAATTATCATGGATAATATAATTTTTTAGCCGTATTTTAGGTTTATATTGCTGATATTTTATTTTTAGTGCTTTAGGTAAAACTTTCGTTGTTTATATTAATATCGTTGAAGTGTTCTTCAACTATAACAATCAAGAAATTTTAAAATCTTGCTTTAAAAAGCCCAGAAAAATTAAATTTTGTCAACCCTACCCTTCTTTTTAATAATAATATTGACAGAAATCACTTTCCATTGCCTTCCTACTAGCCCACGCTCCACCTAAATTACTTTTCCAACCATCCTTGGTATCTTCCCTACCTAAAAAATTCAAAACCCCTCAAAATCAACCCCTACTCACTCTCCAAAAACTAAATTTTTTCAAATTACTCCATCCAAATATCCTTCAAAACCTACATTTCATTAGTAGAATACCCAGTAATTCTCAATAATTCCTGTTGTGCTTCTGCCAATTGATCATCATAGCATGGTAACAAGCTCTGTAGACTTGTACAAACCCTCGGTAATCGAATACGTCGCTCTGGGAAGTGCGATTTCCGTACCAATGGCCCTCCAACCACTTCTTTCAAAGCTGAAGCTGATCCTTCCAAAAAGTCGAAGACACCTTGAACTGGCTTGGTGAATGTGTCCACAGCGCCTGTCGTCACTCCTCGGAATATACCCTAAAATATCATGTTGAAGTATGTCTTTATCTAGTTTCATTGCCCATTTATGATTTTTTTAAACTTCTAAAAAAAATTTTTTAAAACTAACAAATTAATACTATTTAAGATAGTGTAAAATACGCCATAATGCTGTAGCAATTAAGAAAAACAATCTTTTCATAATCAAAATCAGCGTCGAAAAAAGGCCTAAAATTTGTTTGTAATCAAAAACAACGAACATAACCTCTGTGGTATAGTGGAAGTGCAGTGATCTTTGGCGCGAAAGACCGCAGGTTCGAACCCTCTCAAGCAAAACTTTCTTTAACTTGTCAGAAATCCAAAAAATTATCAAATGCACAAAGAAATACAAAAATTTAAAAAACCTTTTTTCAAAAATAAACAAAAATTGATAAATCTTGGCAAAAAATCATTTTAAAACCCTTTCGAATACTTGAAAAAATTAAAAAATCGCAAAAAAACCCCCAAAATTAAAAAGATCAAAAATTTTTCTAAAAATTTAAGAAAAATCGCATAAAAATTGACAAAAAAGACCCTTTAAAACCAAAAAAAAATTAAAAAGACCATGAGATCTCTAAAGACTATTTAAAGCTATCACAAAACTCGTAAAACTGCCAAACCAATTCATTTAAACCCCAAAATTTCATTCCAAAAATACAAAAGTGTTTTCTAATCCCGATATTTCGTTTCAAAACCCAAAATTCCTACCGAAATTCCATCCTCTTGTGTAGCATTCAAAGTGTTCTTTGCTAAAGCCGTCAATCCTCCAAAGACGCCCACTCCCAGACCTTTCACTCCTCCATAAAGATGACTTAGCGGTGTTGCACTGTCTTGTTGTGATTGACTTCTTAGCATCCTTCTCCTCATCAATTCGTGTTGTTCATCAAAAGTTAATGAGCCTACACCGTGTGCCATCGATGACGCCACCTTGGAAATTGAGTTTGTCACTCCGTAGCCCAATCCTGACACGAATCCACTGACATCTCCTTCGAATAGGAGGCCTTGGAAAGATTCTTTGAGGTCGCTAGCCAGGCCTTGTGGATTGCCAAAGGCGTCCATGGTGACGATGACCTTCATGGTCTGTTTCTGGAACTCGGCCAAGTAGAATTTGCTCAGACTTTCGACCAAAAAGTTTAGTGTTTCAAAGTAGTGGAACTGTCTAAAGGCTGGTAACGATACCAGAGCGTTCTCGAAGCTGACAAGTTTCACGTTAAATTGTTCCTTCAGAATCCGCAAATCCTTTGGCAACCCATTTTTGGCTACAGTAAGCACAGTTAAAGCTAGATTGCCAATTTCCAGCTCGAGAGTTCCAAAATAGAGTCGTCTGGTTGGAGCGTGGGAATCGGAAATGCTGGCTGGTTCAATGTTCGGAGGTTGAATCAGAGTTTTGGGTTTGACTGATTCAGCAGTTCCAGTTTCTTGCACAAATTGAGCAATCTTCCATAATAGGGTTTCGTCTAGTAGAAGGCACATATCACATAGTTTGACACGGAAGCACTGAAATTAACATGAAATTAGTATTCGTACTCTAGTTTACTTTACCCTAATCTTAATTATGTTACGCTACCGTATGCTACCATATCCTTACCTACTCTTCCTTACTTTACCGTAACGATACCATGATCAGCCCTAACCTACTTACAGTATCCTAGTCTATCCAAGCCTCTGCCTCCTTTACCCTTCCCTACCCAACTTAGCCTCTTTTATCCTACCCTGTCCACCTTACCCTAGCCCTTTTAAACCAAACAAACTCACATCAAAAGCATCGTAGTGTTCCCTAGGATTGCATGACATTTCCAGCTTCAATGCTGGTTTCTGCATCATTTTGATGGCATGTGGAATCGAAGTGTAAGCAGGTGAAATGTCAGGGGAATCGCCTTCTGTTTTCAATGCATTCACTTCGCAATACAGTAGTGGCCATCGTTCCGCCGCTACCAACTGATTGTCGATCTGGATCACCGATACCGAGCCTGTCATTTGGTAGGTTGAGTCGGTTTTGATCACCGTGAATTCCACGCCCTAAACTTTTTAAAATTATTTAAGATATCATACCGTAACTTCAAACTTTAAAAAATTTAAAGAAATTCAAAATTTTTTACAATCACCCCCCCCCCCCAAAAAACTACCATGCCCACCTTAAACAGTGCATAAATCAGCTCTTCCGACTGATTATTAACAATAGAAATTCCTAGTCCAGCCGGAATCTCCAGTCTAGCCTCCATTGTGAAGCTAGGCCGTGCCGTTCTCAGTCCATCATCGTCGTACCGTGACAGTGAGCGTCTCGAACTGGTGGAAGCACGTCTTCTGTTGTGCTCCGATGGCATTTCCAGGTTCATATCGGCACGATCGGTGATTCGAACAACTAACGTGGGGCCGACGTGAAGACATTGAACGTCCAGAACACCGGATCCCGGCTTCTGACGTTGTTTTTTGAAACGGTGGGTTAGTGGGACCACTTCTGTGTGTTTTTCTTGAACTGCTGATAGGTAGAGGGTGTTACCTTTGGCTTCCACAAAGCGGTCGGATAATCCGCAGCGGAGGCGACCGTCCTGGAAGTTTGAACTTGAATATTTGAATTTTAAATACAAAATTTAATAACTTGTGAACCTTCAACTTATTTTACAATTTTAGGTAACAAAAAGCTTTAAAATATCAAAAAGTAAGTACACAAGATCAGCGCAACTTTCCTACCCTACCCCTCCCCTCTTACATTTGTAAACCTCCACTTCTGAGTGCCATTCCTTTGTGGATCTCTTTCCCTCATCATGAGCACGTTCCCATTGTCCAGCACGTCCAATACAAACTTTTTGTCTTTTTGATGTTGGCGATAGTTGAAGCCCACGTTCTCAACACAATGTTCGTTTGTGAATGTCCATAGTTGTGAGTGGGAACTGTCAGTTGTGTTTTGTCTTGTCAGTTGGATCTTTCCTTCTTGTCGACAGGTAAAGACAAGGTCGGTTTCTTCTGGGTTCGGAGTGGTTGAGCCTTCTCTGAAAGTTGTGAATATTATGATTAGGACTTTGAAAAACTGTAACTCCTGTATAACAAAAATAAAATTTAAAAAAAACAAAAATTTTAAAAAAAATTAGCTTATGACTTTGGATATTAACCATGAAGATTTTATGACATTTTTCATTATAAATGAGGATTTGATGAAAGTTTTTATTAAAAATGAGAATTTTGTGACATTTTTCATTAAAAATGATACCTTCATGATTTTCTTCATCTACTTTAACACTTACAAAACTGAAAAATTAAAAAATTTTATAAAAATCAAAAATCTTTTCCAATCCTACATCATTTAAAAATGCAATTATATATCAAATCTCCAAAAATAGTATCTCAAAACTAAAATCCTAACCCCAAAAAGTCAATTACGCAACTTGAACTTTGCTCGACCCAAGTTCTATCAACAGCCCTGCGGCGAAGTAAATTTAAACTTCAAAAGACCTTTGCCGCTGAGTCAACAAAACTGGCACAAATTAAGACACGTAACTGCGCAGAAACTTATCTATATTATCTCGCCAAGAGACCCTATAAAAGAAGCCAAATCTTGTATACTTTACCATACAACACCACTTGTTATTTTTACTACACGTTCGACTTTCTCCTCTCAACTAATTATAACTTAATATCAAAGATGGTTTTCTGTAACCCATTTGATAAAGTCATGATTGAGGCTGAAGCCAAAGTGAATGCTGCTCCATCAATGAGCATCTTGAGAGACCCAGTATGGGGTTGTCCCTTAGCTGAGAAAGAGGTTCGAAGACAAGTAGAAGAACGGTTCGGAAGTCCAATTAAACCAGCGTGGCCCGAACTACCACAAGACCAGTACCAGCCTTCTCGCCAGTTCCATAACCCCCAGCATTACCAATATCAGCCGTCTCTATTCTACCACCGACAGCCGCAAAGCCAGTACCCTCAACCGACACAAGATTTTCAACATCCCGACCAGTACCACCAGCATCAACCCTCAGTACAGCAGCCCCAATACCCATCAGCCGCGTACCAGCCACAGTACGAACAAGCCGTCTACCAGCACCAGTACCAACCAGTCGCCTACCAGCCCCAGTACCAACCAGCTACCTATCAGCCACAGTATCAGCCCGTGCTACAATGGCACCAGCCACTGTATCAACGGCTCCTGCCGTCACATCAGCCGCAAATTCGTGGGGCTTTCGTTAATGGTTGTACTTATTATTTGTAATGAATATTATTGTAATATTAACCAAAAATAAATATTAAAAATTAAAATAGAGTTCGGAAAAACATTGAACAAATATTGAAATACCTCACTGATTAGATCATAAAGTAAAAAACATCATCTTATTGACCAAAATAGTGATAATAGACAAAGTAAACTAATAAAGTCTTAGTAAAATACGACTACTAAAACAACCTTTAAAAAACGTTGTCATTAGGGTTTTTTTTGTAATAAAAAATGTCATCAAAACCTTATTTCTAATGGAAAATGTCATAAAATCCTCTCTCCCAAATGTCATCAATCCTTTTATCTAATCAAAACTGTCATAAAAACCTAATTCTAAATACAAAATATCAATCTTTCTTCGAAAAAAATGCCATTTCTAGTCAAGCAGCCAAAAAATCTAAAACATTGCAAACCCACCTTTTGAAGCTTGGGTAATGTTGAATGTAGACATTATTCTCATATACCAATGGTGGTCCTTGACTCGGCTTTGATGGGTCGTAGGTATAACTCTTATTCTCATATACTTGAAGCGTTAACAACTTCTGAGCATACAAATCGTCCCATGCATAATCTACGACACTGTTGGCTTTGCATATTGTTCTCAAATGATGCTTTCTGGCCTGTTCTGTGTACTGATGATATAGTACTGGTACTGTAGACCGGTTTTCGATTTGTATTGGAGCTGGTAAGAAGGCGGCGTCAGTGAATGTTACCCAAAATGAAGCCGAGTTCAAGGTGACTTCGACTCGGATGAAGCGTGGGGTTTCGTCACGGTCGCGCATCGTGACGTGGAACGATCCGATTTGGTCGATTCGGAAGGGGCAGGACCAGTGAGCGGTGTCGTGGCGTTTGGCACAGAGCATCCGCTTGTCTTCGAAGCTCTCGTGCCATATCAGGTTCGACTTGGCGGCTAGGCCAACGTGCTTGTTGAGTTGCTAAAATTTAAGCATAAATTTAAAAAATTAAATATAAAAATGTATTATATTTTTTTCAAAAATTAAGAAAAAAATATAAAAATTTCAAAAAATTAAAAAAAAACAAATTAAATTCAATCTTTTTTCAAAAAAATTTAGAAACATAGTAAAAATTATCGTATTTTACCTTGACCTCGTCCGGATGAGAAACCATGATTTCGTAGCTAGACTGATTGTTTAGTCTGTATCTTGGAGCCAAGAGTACTACTTGCGTATCCTTGTACCTGCCCGTGCCCGGTCGTACTTCAACACCAATGTTGTAGATTCTAAACAATCAAATTTAATATTTTACATAGCGCTTACTTTTAAAAAATTAAAAGGTTTCGGAATCGTATTTTACATTTAATATTTCCTCATTTTTAATAAAAATGTCATAAAATCCTCATTTTTCATGAAAAATGGCATAAAATCCGCACTTAGTGAGCAAAGACTACAACCCGTATTTTACACAAAAAATAATTAAAACCTCTTACTGAGTAGCTTCAGTTTCGTGTGTTAACATCAATTGTAACGATTGTACTCCATTATTCAATGTGAATCGTCTACTGTATTTGGGCTTGTATTCGTCTTGGAATTCGCTGCCAATTCGGACCACACACCTGGAAATAGTATTTTTATTACCTATTTTGTACCTAAAATTATTTTTTTCATTTTTTTTTATTTTAGGGGCTTTCTCCCCTCAAAAACAAAATTAAAGCAAGATACATTACACCACCCTACGTCAACCTATAATACCCAACTCAGGGACGTCGCTACGGTTTTTCTCTGGGGGGAGAGATGGAGACCCAAAAAAAATTTTTTTCCACAGGTCCTGTGGCTACCTGTGGACCGATTTTCGAAAATTTTTTTTTCTACCTGTGGATTTTTTTAACGACGTCCCTGACCCAACTTTACCTTACACCACCCTACCTTACAGTACTCTAACATACCACGCGCTACCATGTCGCACACTACTCTACCATATTTTACTCTACCCTAAATTCCCTAATCCTACCGTAATTAATTGGCCTTACTTTAACTTACCCTACCATACCATACCCTACCTTACACTACCTTATCCTACTCTACTCTATCCTACTCTGCACTGCAATACTCTACTTTACCCAACCCCCCAAAAACCTTACTGTAGCGGGCAATCAGTGTCACTGAAACTGAACATCATTGGATTCCGATCCTTTGCACTTTCGTGATCCTCCATTTGCCCTGCTGCTTCTTGATCCGCGGCTTCTTGCTTAATCACCAAAGGTATTCCAGACCGATTGACAATCCAGAACGGTACCCATAATGAAATGTGAATGGCTCCGCCCCTGATGATGCTGACTGAAGCGTACACATGAAGTTCTCTTTGGTATTGATCGAAGAGGCGGATCAAGATACGACACGATTCTGTGCCGTCTTGTCTTTCACTGCAATTATGTAATATATTTTGGTACTCTAAAGTCTATAACACGTTCTATATGTTACAATATAGCTTAAGATCAATAATTTAGTAGTTTAGGTAACAAAACCCTTTTTCATCAGCAAAACTTCATCATTTTAGGTAACACATACCTCAAACTATTCCTCTGAATCACGGCCGGCTTTTCCGTTCTAAACTTGTCCGACGTGATCGAGATCAAGAGTTGTTGTTCCAGATTTACAGTAGCTGATTGTAGACGTTGGCCTGCTTGAATTGGGTGGGTTTCTCGGTTGCAAGTCAATTCAATGTCAGTTGGGAGCAAATTCAAGACGTTCAAGGTAGGGATCAGGTAAATTGAATGACCGCAGAGAGATTCGGCTTCTGGATAATGTTCTCGTTTCACTGATACACACATCCTGAAAATTTATATAATTATGAAAAAGAATACTAAAATGATGAAAAATAAAAACTTTAAAAAGTTACAGTAGACCATGGTAACGTACTCTACCGTGACCTACCTTAATGTACCCGAAATGGTGTCGTTCCCTAGAACCTAACGCACCTAAGCTCTACCGTACCCTAAATCACACCTTAAATTAGGCAGTACGGTAGACTAACTCCTACCATAATTTAAAGCCCACCGTATCTAGGATCTTATCGTACCCAACGAGCTGTGCCGTATCCTAAGTCTAAACATAACCTAAGCCCTACCGTATCCTAGGCCCTACCGTACCCTAGGTCCTACCGTATCCTAGGCCCTACCGTACCCTAGGGCCTACAGTACCCTAGGCCCTACCGTACCCTAAGCCCTACCATACCCGAGGCCCCCTATTCTACCCTATGCCCAGGGCCGGGCGGAGACTTTTGGTCTGGGGGCGGGGGTCCAAAAAATCCACAGGGGGGACCACGCAATCGGTAAAAGAACTGTGCCATAAACCGTACAAAAATAGTCAGTAAACCCTTACCAAAACTGATGTTCATCATCCGGATTACTGAAGCAGATCAACTTGTTCGCCACTTCTCCTGGCTGTTTTGCCCAGCTCCACATTAACTCTGCACTTTTCTCGATATTCGCACATTTCGGCCGAACGAACAGTGATGCTCCCACAAATCTCAGTGGTGCAAACAACTTCTCCCCGGGCAAAACATCACATTCGTATCGTTCTTTCACCTTGACAAAAGAGAAATGTACCGGATCGGCTAGTTGATTCACCAGTAGTAGAGCTGATCTGACTGTCACAACTTTTCGGCCGTTCGGTTCCATTGAGACGGCGATTACAATTCGACCGTAGGTTGATTTTCCATTTGAATCTGTAGAGTGTGATAGGCGACCTACGCGGAAGTAGGTGCCAACAGAATCGACGGATACTGGAGAGATTTCGTCCCAGCCTTCGACGCGGATTACCAGGCTTCTGGGGTCGGTCGAGCGGTCACGCTATAAAAATATGTTGAAAAAAATGAAAAAAGATCATTTTTTAATAATAAAAAGTTTTAAAAAAAATTAGATTTCAAAAAATAAAATAAGTATCCTTACCACAGTCAGCAACTTCGTTGGAAACTCAAAAGTGCAACTTTTGTCGGTCAAAGCAGTAAACCATTTTGCATTCGGCTTTCTTTGCTCTTTCCTGGCCTTCTGAACCTCATCGATGGCCGTTGTAAAAATCAAATTTGAGCCGGTTTCATTCCTCAATATGTAAGGTAGGTGGTCGGATCTCGAGCGTACACATAAGGTTCTATAATTTTTCAATTAAAAATTTTTTTTTAATTTTGATTTTAGGTACAAATCGAAATAATTTAAGAAATACGTAGCATTATCAGTACTATTAAAACTCTTTTTAAAATTAAGAGGTTTACTGAGCTCTAGACATCACTTATTGAAATTTAGATACCACTTAAGCTCTTAAAGTCATTGTAAAAAACTTTTAGGTAACAAAAGTCAACTTTTAGTACCATTTATAGCATTAAAGTACTATTTACAAACCTTTAGTACTATTTTAAAATCCTCTACCACATTTTGTTTATTTACATTTTTTTCAAATTTTAGGTAACATTCCCCTCAAAACCAGAAAACCCACCTCAAATCGCTTTCCAATGCACTTTTAATGCCATTCCATTTCGATGAGAAGTGTTTGGCTTGTTGTACAAAGGTCTGTGTAATGTTGAAGTTCAATGGGCTTTTCAAAGCCGGCTGAATCTTTAGTGAATTGTGATGAATGCCTGATACGATCTCCACCTTCTCCACCTGCCATGGCTCCAACAATGGTTCCCAGCCGAAGATACGTTGATTGAAGTAGTCGACTGCCAGTTTGAATGCCATGTCATATTTTTCGGAGATTTGGAAAAGTTTCAGCTCTGATGTGACTATTCGAACCAATGGTAAGGCGACGTTTTGAGAGTCGTCCAGAAGCCATACGCTGAGATTTGGCGCTGTTAGGTCGATTGATTTGATGTTGATTGGAGCTGAAAAGTCAGAGAATAAAAAGTTTATGTAAGGGATGAAGACTCCTTATGCTGAACCCTACCGTACCCTAGGCCCTACTGTATGCAAGGCCCTACCGTACCCTAGGCCCTACCGTACCCTAGGCCCTACCGTACCCTAGGCCCTACCGTACCCTAGGCCCTACCGTACCCTAGGCCCTATCGTACTCTAAAATCTACCGTACTCTGAACCGTGTCAAACCCTAACAAGCCATAAAATACCATATACGCTATCATACATTCGTAGCATAAGCACCATTTTACTTACAAGGAAAGTACCCTACCTGCCCCGCTCAAAATCAGCTCAAAATTTTTATATGAATTCTTTGTACCACCAATAGTACCCATAAAAAATTTTAGCTCGCGCTTTTGAGTTTTAAATTTAAATTATTTGGGTTTCCCGCCAATTTGGCAATTTTGGCATTGTGTTTCAAGCACTTTTTTAAGCTTTCCAGACAAGATACGCTTACAAATTTAAAAATGTAGGTTCATTTAAAGGTTAGCTACCAGTAGATCAAAGAAAAACTATTAAAAGTCAAAAAATGACAAAGTTAAAAGCTTGACACACAATGCCAACTTGGCGGGAAATTCAAATTGTCATTTTTTAATCTCGATTTTCTCGAGATTTCCTGGAAAGCGCGATTTAGTACTTTGCTGAATATCTAATATTTATATGATCTTTCTATATAAAAATTTTGAAGTCAATCAGAGCGGGGCAGGTCGGGCACTTTCCTTGTTAATTCCCTACTGTACACTAAGCCTCATAGTAAACCCAAAAAATCTCACCCGGTTCAATCGGAATGTTAGCGGGTGAATGCGCCCCTTGACAGTCTGCATTTCTAGCCGGCGTCAAGCGTCCAACAGCTCCAGCTAGAACACTTTGCACTACCAATATATCCTTGTAAGACAACCTGAATACCATTTCGCCTAGCTCAAAGGTTAAACATTGCCTGACCGTTGTAGAGATATCCAGCAAATCCAGTCCAGTCTTCTTTTTCCTGTTGGTTTGAGGCTCTCTTTGTAGGCTAGCTGTCAGATTGAACTCATTCGAAATTTGGCAATGAGTCGAAGCTTCGGCCGACATTAGACACCAACTTAGGCCAATGTTTTGTACTTCGAAATTGCCTTCTAGTACACCGAACTGATCGTGTAAGCCTAGTACTGCTGTTGTATGGCCAACTAGTGCTAACGAATTTGGTCTAGAGCTGTTCTCGAGTAGTACCAGATCAGACTCCTTCAAAGTGATCTTCAACGTGATTGTATGTGGATTCTTCTTGACCTCCTTCTTTTCGTTTTGGCCATTTCGTACCAGTATGCCTTCTTTTGGTACTGCGAATGGTATTCTGACGTTGGTTTGTGTTGGTTCTTCTGGTGGTACAAAGTCAGTGCTTTGAAGGACAAAGTCTTTGGCCATGTTCAACCAGTCGAGTATGAGTAGTACTCTGGAGTTCATTAAGACTAGGGTTACGACCGGTGCTTCGTCTTTTTTCATCATAATGTGGGCTTCGGACATCAGGGCCATGTTGTTACTGAAAAAAAGTTGTTTAAAGTCCTAAAATAATTTTTTAAGACCATCATTTTGTTACCTAAAATTGGTTTTTTGATTAAAAAACGACATTTTACTACCTAAAATTATCATTTTTTATTCAAAAGCTCAATTTTATTAGCCAAAAACAACTTTTTTTAATAAAAAATTTATTTTTGTTACCTAAAATTTCATTTTTTAAGTCAAAAACTTCAAACTTGTCACCTAAAGTCCTATTTTTTAATCAAAAGTTCCATTTTATCAGCCAAAAACAGCATTCTTTAAATAAAAATGTTATTTTTGTTACCTAAAATTCTATTTTTTCAATAAAAAAACATACAATTTGTTATCTAAAATCCCATTTTTGAACCAAAACTGCCAATATTAACCTTACCCCTCCGATATTTTCCCCTTCTTCCTCGGTTGAACGATAGTTGAGTATATATTAGGTCGTTGATTCGCTGCCATGCCATCATACCGAGTGTCAGCCAGCTCTGAGCTTTCACAAATAATGTCCAGCTCTGATTGATTATCAATATACGAATCAAATGATATTCTCGCCTTGTGCAGTAGAACTTTTCCAAACTTGACAAAGCCTTCTGAATCTTCGGTTGCATTCAGAAAGTGGTAGGTGACATTTCGAAAGTCCATTCTGTTCGAAAATGTGGCGTATTTTTGGGCGGTGCAAGTTACTAGGCCTTTGTCTGGACATTGTAGTACTTCGTAGGGGATTGTGTCCGGATTTGGGATGAGTTGGTCACCGAGGTTCTTCTCCAGAAATCCACGTAGAAGCTTGTAGAATTCCACCGTGAATTCGACTTCCAAATCGTAGAAATAAGTGAGGACGGAGAGTTCTGGCACTGAAATGACATTTTTTGTAAATTAGAGTTACTATAAGAATAAGGTAAAGATAAGCTAAGAATATAAGCTAAAAAAGTTTTAAAATCAACCTACAATTATGTGAAATGAACGATGACAAATTCTTGAAGACATCAATGTTCAGGTCGAATGCCTTGTTCAGCACATTCTTATGTTCCACTTCCAAGTAGAACTCTTCGAACACACTCTCTCCAACTCTTCTGTACCTCTCTCTGTCTACTGTCGTCTTCAATAGAGCATCAACTCGTTTGCCCGGGAATATTCTCATTTTGGCACATTGAACTGTCATTTTGTCCAATAAGCAATCATAGTCATCTTCTCCATGCAGAGTTTCGATAGCATGTTCTTCTAGTTCCTTCGTTTGTGATCCTAATAGGAATTTGTTTCTGATATGAATTGAGTTTGTCTCTAGGAAAATGAAGTCGTCACTAAATTGGTTTAGTGGGAGTACTAGTTGAGTTGGTGCTTCTAGGTCGACTGATAAAAGGCAGCGAGTTTTTTGGCCGTCGACACACTGAAAGTGGAAAGATAATCAAAAAACTGTAATGAAATGGATTACTTAACCCTCAAATTACTCTATTCTACCACACCCTACCGTACCTTAACCTACCGTACCCTATATTCCTCTTACTCTATACTACTTTAACCTAACCTACCCAAGCTTCTGCCATCAGTTCCTGTCTCCCAAGTTCAATTTAGAACCATTTTCTTCCAATTTCGCTATCCAATACCCCACTTACCGTACTAATCTTCTCATTCTTCCTCCTCACTTGATCCCCCAGATCAGCAAAATTAAACCAAAAGTCCAACAAAGCGCAGAAATATCTATGTGTATGTACGTAAAACATCTCCATATTTTTTGGCCCCTTCACGTCCACCTTAATATCGTATTTCCTAGCCAATTCAAAGTCGTCCGTCCTGTGTTTTAGTACATCTACAGTTAGTCTGCTCTCTTTGTTCATTTTCTTATCAATCACAATCCTTTGGCCATATTTGTCGCTGTAAAATGGCGTTAGGTCACTGAGGGCAAAGTCTCCGATGGCCATGTGAACCTTCATTGGGTCTTCTGGATTGTTCAAATTCAGTTTTAGATCTATGGCCGTGTCTTTGAAAGCGATTTCACCTAGTTGAGTTTTGTTGGCTGGGTAGTTCATGTGAATTGACAGGTCTTCGAATTCAAATTGTAGACGTAAATTGTAGGCTACTATAAGTTTTTTGGCTTCTTCAAAGGCTTTTTGATTCTGAAAAAATATAGATTTTAAAATAAAGCTCTCGGGTAAAGAAAAAGCTAGAATACGGTAAGAGCTAGGGTACGGTAAGGTCTGGAGTACGATAGGATCAATGGTAAATAAAGCAAAATCAATCAAAGTCTTACCTTCAAAATCTCATCTTCAGTCATTTTCTTTCCATAAAGCAGCGCCTCCAGAATTGGATCAGTAGCCACCTCTGCTGTAGTAGGTAAAACATGCATAATATCATCGTGTAAATTCGATTTCTGCCCCAGTGCTCCAAAGAAGTTGAGTAGCATGGTCCACGTTCTTCTGTTCATACCGATTTCGACTTCTGTAAGATTCGCTTTCACCGTGCAATGTTGTTTTTCGTAGACTTCTTCAAACTTGGGATGTTTGTCTTCTACGAAAGTGATGTTTAATAGTACACAAGACTGATCCCAATGGCCAAAATCGTTGTCTAATGCCATTCCTGGTCGTTTAATTGCTGGGTTGATGGCTGTTGATTGAGGTGAGCGGGCTGTTTGAAGGTCTGATGCCACTACTGAAAATGAAAGAATAAGGTCATCAAAAAATATTAGACATATACAAAACTTTTTGAAGCGTTTGCGCTTGTGCCAAGCCGCAAAGGAGGGACACTTCGAAACCGATTGGCTATGTTATAACTAGTACTATATGTTACTATTGTTAGTTGTTGTTTTAGTTATATTTGTTGTTAAAATAAACATTTGATTAAAAGACCGTGTAACAGAACTTTTGGCGCACCCAGTACAAAGACTTAGACGAGGAAGAGTAGATAAGAATTAATAAAGTAAATGCTATAGTCATGTTATGTTAAAATACTTACGTTTCATTCCCTTGCGTTCCAATGGTAACGAAGAAGAGTATAGATCAGAGTCACTGTGAGATGAAGAAATTGTGTCAGTTATTGTCGGTAAAGACCTTGACAACGCTTTCTAAAAACATAATTTTAGGATTTTTAATAAATAAACGCTACAGTAACTTTTATTACCCTACCTTATCCTACCTCACCCTACCCTACCCTACACTACCTTAACTTTTGGTAACCTATTATGCCCTACTCTATCTTACCCTACTCTACCCTCCACTAACATTCCCTACTATATCAGACCTTAACTTATCATACTATACTTTACCTTATCCTACACTGCCCTAATTTAACTTTCTCTTCTACTAGCTACTTACACTTCCACTAACAGACCCATTCGGTGGCACCGTCTTCAGCAATGGCCATTCCGTTTTCTCGAACAAATCCTTCAATTCGAATTGATCAAAGCCCAATTTCATCTTGGTCAAGTATTTCTCCGTTCTCGCAATGCCCATACTGACCGATGTGATTCTAGCTGAAGCGAATGGCTGAGAATTGTGGCTTAAGTTAATATCGGCGGTTGGAGACTTTCGTTTTGACCTCAACTCTAACAGAACTTCTGGAATGTTGACTGTTAAGAAGAGTTGATTGTCTGGTTCGAATTCTTTCAGTGCTTCTTCTTGGCCTTTTTCTTTTGTTTGTTCTTCTCTGAAGAAGGCTGAATCCGTGTCGAAGAGATTGGCTAGTCCATCTAGTGCGTCCTCGTCGTATACGACAGCAATTGGCAAGAATGAGGCTTTGACCTCGTGAAAAACGTTGAGTCGAGGTGCTAGACGTCGGTAGTAAAACCTGAAAAAAAAGTGTAAAATACGGTCTCCTAAAATCATTTGCAGAATATAGTAATTCTTAATTTTTAAAGATAACCTACTGCAACAACGGGTCGTTCTTCACCTTCCTCTCCCCACTGATACAGTCCCACTCCACTTTCTCGCCACTTTTCGTTCGTCCCACTGCAAACAAGACTTCTGTTTCCATTGCCGCCACACCAGCACCAGTCCACAGCGAGTCTTCGATTTCATCTTGTAAATCACTCAACGAGTTCGATCTACTAATGACCGGTGACTTTTGAGGTGCAACCCTTAAGCGTTGCACAGACATGTCCATTACAGATAAGCTGATCTCGGTTCTGTGTTCTCGAGGTGATAGGAGGACACGTGAGGCTACGGTAGACATGTCCAAGGCTAGGATTCGTGATAGGCCTAAGTGGGTTAGCTGGAAAAGTTATGGTTAATAGTAATTTAGGTAACAAATTAATCACATTTTAATTTTTTAAGCTTCAAACCAATACAAAATGGCGTTTTAACTATAAATTAAGTTTAAAAAAGTCATTTTTTGATCAAGGATGGGTGACAAGAAAAAAAGCACCCCTCCCCCCCGACAAAATTACTCCACCAAACCATACGCTTTAAAAAAATTAATAAAAGTTCGTCATTTTACGCCATAAAACCTCCCACTTACCTCATCATCATCCACGAATCTAACAATCATCCGCTCCAACTGTAATACCACCTCAGCCAGCAAGTTGTCCCTCCTTAATATCGTCGAATCGTCCCAGCTCTCCGACAATACATCCAGCAGCTCCTCTTCAATTCTCTTCTCGACTCTTCTCAAATTCGGAGGTAATTCTCGGTTTCCGTCTTGTGGCCACATATTCAAGAAGGTAGCCTGGTTAATGTCTTCTTCCTTTTGTTTCTTATTCGGATCTTCGCCAGGACCAAACCAGCTGGCTAGCCATCCGTAAAAGCCTTGGCCTTCTTGTTGACTACTTGTCGATGGTCGACGTTGTTCATGCATTGAGGTGGACATTGTTGTAGCTGGTTCTACCGAAGTTTCGCGAGATAGGGTGTAGTGAGATTGACTTCTGGCAGGTTCTAAAATGTCATTTTTTAATTTAAGGGTTTAAAATAGGGTACGGTATCTTATGGTAAAGTAGAAAAAGATAAGATAGGGTAAAGTAAGATAGAGAGTAATCCAGTGCCCTAGGCCTTATAGTACCCTAGGTTATATAGTACCCTAGGCATTTCTGTACTCTAGGCCCTACCGTACCCTAGGTTCTACAATACCTAGGCCTTCTGGTAGTTTAGGCTCTACAGTACCATAAGCCATATCATAAGCTCACCCGGACCCTGAGCCCTACTCCAGCTGTACCCAACCATTTCCCAAACTCACCGCTATCAGGTGAAACCACTTCAAAAGTCTCCACGGAATCACTCGACGTCACATTGTTGTTGTGTTCAGCTTCGACTTGTTTTAGGTACTTTCTGAAGACGATTTCCCTGAATAAATGTAGTTCATTGTAAGTGAATTCTGAATCGTGTTCAATTTGTTTCATGTAGGCAGTGTCTTCGGGGCTGGCAGCGCTGGCTGGTGCTACTTTCGCATTTGGGTCTTTTCTAAAAATATATTTTTTAATTATTTTTTAAGCTTAAAATCATAATTTAAATTTAAAAAATTTTAAACTTCAAAAAATTTTTTAATTTCATTTAAAAAACAAACTTACAGCCTAGCTTCCTTCCCTTTTTGATCAGCCAAGTATGCTTTTAATTTTCGGCCGTAAGATCGACAATAGTTGTTCAATAACTTGGCTCTTTTTAATACGAAATCGGCCGACGCTGTCGATCTTTGTTTCCTGTTATCTTCTGATATTCGACCGTATGCAAATCTCCACCATTCTTTTGCACTAAACGTAAAAATATTTAGTTTTCTAAATCCGACTATTAAAAGTCCCGACCCCTTTACAGATCTACGATAGCCTAGCCAAGTCTTACTCCAGCTCTACTTTAAATAGATCTATCCTTACCTTCCCAGAATTCTCGTTAATGGCCGCCATTTTCGGTGTTGTCGAGCTCTGTCGAACCGTGCCCATTCTGTAGATAATACCCGTATTTGAGCCAGTTGACGTTTCGACAACTCAATTTCAATTCGTTCTGGTCGAAGATCAAACTAAAAGTATTTTAGGTAACAATTTTATCGAAACCCTATAATTTAAGGTAACAATCTAGTCGAACGTCAATTTTTAGGTACAAATCTAGTCGACAAAGCAGTTTTTAGGCAATAATCTACGCAAAAAACAAAGTTTTCGGTAAAATTATTTTTGATTTTCACAATCAAAAACGACAAAACTTTTTTAAACCCACTAAAACTTCAATATTAAAAAAAGCTCCAGAAACCCACCGTAAACCTTGGAATTGGTGGGTTCTGTTTCAGTGGAAACTTTGAAACATTCTTCTCCATTCTGACGGCCATTGAAAAGGGTTTCAATATAAAAGTGTTGTTCTTTGAGGTCTCTGGAGCTAGAATGTTCTTCAATTTCTCGTACGTATCCACATCCACATCCATTTCTTGAGCACAGTTCCAAAACACCGAAAAACCTTTGACATCCAGCTTTTTGAAGGTATTCACACCGTCTTCTGGTTGAACGAAGCCTGGTTTCTAAAAAAATAAAGTTTTTAAAAAGTAGAAGCAATTATAAAACGTATTTTACAAGTTTTATAGCTAAAAATTTGTAAGTTAATATTCTAAAGACATTCCCAGTCGTTTAGCTTCAGTAAATCAGCAAAAACCTTATAATTTTTGACCTTTTCAAATATTACATTAGCATAACTACCGCCAACTAAACGCGTATTTTAGCATTTCCAAGATTCGAATCAAACTTTGTTACCTAAAATCACAACAACCAAAACAAAAGTTAAGCTTACCCATTGTGAATTGGTCGTCTGAATGCTGATGTTGTGTATCCTGAAGCCAAAATGAAATGGCACTTTGTCCGGCATGGTTTTGTCGTCCTCATATCGAATGTGAACGTTGTTCAAGATCAACTAAAAATAATTTAAAAATTAAACGTCTAAATTTTTAAAAAATTTTTAATTTTTCGTAAAATTCAAAAAAATCAAAGCTTAACAAGAATTCTTAGGAAACGGCGTATTTTACAACATGAAGTCAGTCAAAAACTATAAAATCAAAATTTTAGGTAATAAACGCAAAAAAAACTATTGAACACTATTTTTTTTAATTAAAAGTTCGAAATCAAAATTATTAAAAATAAAATTAATATTCTCCTTTATGAAACCAATCCATAATCAACTATAATATCCAATAAACTTACTTGAATGTTGTTAGAAACAGCTGATATCATTGAAGCTCCCCACCAAGCATTCTGAGCTTCCTCTGCTTGAAGTTGAATCGACGATGCATTCAGAAGACGTTGCTAAACAGATTTAAGTAATAATTTTAATAAAACTAAACTTTTTTTGAAATTTAGATTTCAAATATTACCAAAATTTTACAATATATGACATAATGTTACCTAAAACTTAAATTCCAATATTTATATAAAAAGACAATCAATAAAATGTTCGTGTTTTACACTCCATCATCTAAACATCCACCCCTGACCTTCTTCCAATCACGTTTTATCTAAAAATCAAAGAAAAAGTATCAAAACCTTACTTTATGTAGCTTCTCCAGCTCTTCATACATTTGTTCTCGTTTCGACTGTTCGCTTTCCTCGACTAAATCCAAATTTGAGCTTGGATCGGAGTTTGGCCCCAACAATATCAACAAATCGCTCATCTTCAACACCCATGGTTCTGATCGAATGTGAGCAATCGGCACTGATAACGTGAGCTTTCCGATTATACCTATAACAAGTTCATTTATCTTGATGTTTTATAAGTTTTTGGGGGTATTACGTAGCTTTATACTTTAAAAAACTGTTTAATAAATAAAAATGAACTTAATAAATTTAAAAACCAGACGCAATGCGTATTTTGCCTACATTATCAAAAAAACATAATTTACCTGACTTAACCTCAAGTGGAACATCAAACTTTCTCAACGCCGTTTTTCGTAATGGCACATTCTCCAACTCGACTTGGCCTTGCAACAAAGCAATTGAAATTTGATCAGCATTCAAATTCTCCAAATATTCTCCCACATAATTGTTCAACACCCAGGTCACAAGACCTTCCAACATTTAGACTACCAATGTCAATATTAATCTATCCTGCAGCTTTTTGTTACTTTTTGGATAAAATTATTTAAGTAACTAAAAAGAAAATTATTCGTTTTAATGTAGAAATATATTTCACAAACAAAAATATACGGAAACAGACAAAAAACCATAAAAATAATATTGTTTTAGACATCTGATCCAAAAATGTTTTAAAAACCAAAAAATGTAGCGAAATGCATGTAAATTTAGACAAAACCATGATAAAAACATTCTTTAAAATCTTGAAAAACACTTAAAAAAAGTCACACTACTTTCCTTTCTTCAAACTACCCAAAATTCAAAAAAAGTTATATTGTTTTAGACATTAGTCCCTAAAATACTTAAAACACAAAACTATCTTCAAAATTTCCAAAATTTTAAACAAAAACATGTCAAAAAGATTCCTCAGCATCTCTAAATTACTATTCTATACAATCCAAACCAATATTCACCTTTTCGAATACAAAAAAAACATAAAACTTTTGTCCAACACCAAGTTCGCTCCCCTCTTTTTCGCCTTTCAAATCCTTTTTCACGTTTCAAAACGTCAAATATTAATTCAAAATCACTAGACAAATAACCTAAACACTCTTCCTCAATGCACTTTTGTTTTTTCGAACAGATGAAGGTTTGACAATTTGATAAAAATGAAAAATAGTCGAACAAGTCCAATATTCTTCACAAATCTCAATTTTGGCCAAAATCCATTAATTTTCCCTCAAAATTCTCTAATTTAAACCCAGTAAAACGCAATAAAGACCTCGAAACCTCAAAGCAAACGCTCCTTTTTTAATTCCCTGCAGCCTTTTCGAGCCCGACTTTGCGCATTGATCCTTATCAAAACACGAAAAAAGTGAAAAAATGTCATGGATAATATATTAATCTACCCTTGAACGGATTGGTTTATAAAAAAGTTGTAAAAAGTAGTTAGAAATGCGGTAAAGAGTTTATTTTCGCGCAAAATTTTATAAAAATTATTTTTTTTGGAAATTTTCGTGGATTGGACGAAGTGTCAAATGACGTGAATGTTTGTGGACGAAGTGTCACGAGTTTATCGGATTTGGGGTTTTGGCCGGAAATAAAGGAAAAAATGTTGTGAATTGTGTTGTTTGGGGTTTTTTTGAGCTACTGAAGTTATGTTTGTTAAAAAATGGCAGTTTAAAAAACTTTGAAATTTATGAGACGGAATGCCACGCAAATTATCGGTTTTTATTTGCGGCTCAAAATTCGACGAAACTAACAAGAAAAACTGCTTTTTTACTATATTTTTAGATGACTGAAACCATTCTTTGCCAAAAAATATATTATAGTAGATTTATTACAGTTTTACTCTGTATAACACTTAACAATCTGCAAAAGTTATGATTAATGTTGATAATGCTCACTACTGATAAAGATCGATGCATAATATAGGGTTGGAATGTTGAGGTGAAAGAGAGCGTCTATGTAAATTAGAACTTTGGATGCTTATTTTCGACCGTAGCCTCCGGAGCCTCTGCCGTACGCGCTATCTTGTTGTTCTGGAAGGCGAGGTTGGTTGGCTTGGGGGCTGACGAGGATGACGGAGTCGACGTTTTGACATACACAGGTTCCTGGTTCTCCTGAAAATTTTTTTGAAATTAAAAGTTTCTTTTCAAACTTTGCAATTTTGTTAAACCCCCAAGGCCTTACCTGGTGGTCCCTGAGCTCCAGGTGATCCCTCTGGACCAGGATATCCTGGTTCTCCTCCTTCTCCTGGATGTCCAGGCCATCCGCGATCTCCCTGCGCACCAGTCAAACCATTTCGGCCAGGCAAGCCTGGTACGCCAGGTGCACCAATAGGTCCAATTGGTCCCGCATCGCCAGGTGGTCCTTCACGAACTTCTCCTTGAGGTGTCTCTCCCTTATCGCCTGGTGCACCTGGTCCACCGCGGAAGCCGGTTGGTCCTTGTGGTCCTGTTTCGCCTGGTTGACCATCTTCACCGTCACGACCTCGTTCTCCATGTGGTCCCATTGGTCCCGCATCTCCGGGAAATCCGGGCCAGCCCTTAATGCCAGGTGGCCCCTTGGGGCAAGGACGGCACGGTGGAGGTTCACGTTGCATTTGAATTGGGCACGTTTGGTTTGGCGACGTGCCGGGGAAACCTGGCTTACCGGCCGCTCCAGGAATACCTGGCTTGCCTGGAATGCCGGATGGTCCACGTGGTCCTGGTGGGCCAGGAATACAACATCCAGGGCATTCGGTTTGGATTGGTGAACCGGTGACCTCAAAGTTTGGTACTTGGCCGCCGTCGTTGGCATAGCCGCCGGAGTCTCCGCCAGATTCACCTTCTGAATCGTAGGAGTTCTGGCCGGCAGCACGGTAATTATCGTAAGCAGCACGAGCTGTACGGTTGTTACGGTAGCCGGAACGGCCGAGTTCCACTTCTAATAAAGCTTCGCGGTTGGAGCGCTGAAAAATGTTGATGTTTTGAAGTAAAATACAGTTCTTTAAATGAAAAAAGTAAAAAAATGTTTTTATCCAATATTGTAGTAGGTAAAATATAAAAAATAGAAAAATGAGGCTCACCTCACAAAATCGCATCTCATTGTCAACATAATCGATGGTGGTTTGAACATTATTGTATAGGATTGGCAGTGTTATACAGAGAATTAGTACTGATATTGAACTGAAAAATAAATTTTAGAATGGTTTTGTAGCTTCACATCACCCTACCCTACTATAGCCTACCCTACCCTAACCTACTCTACCCTACCTTACACTATGCTATTCTACTTTACCCTACCTTACCTTGCCATACTCTACTCTACCTTAGGCTTACTCTACTTTACCATATCATACCTTGTGCTGCCCTACAGCTGTCTACTCTTCCTTATGCTGTTTTACCCTACCCTAACCCTCTCCTACACTGACTTAGACTAGGCATACCCTACATTGCCCTACCGTTCCCAAAATACTCTAAACACATCCCGCCCAATAAAAAAACTCAAAAACACCCCTCGCTTACCTAAAGGCAATCTGAACTGCAGTAACGAACTGATACATGCGCTGGCGTTTTGCCGTCGACATGTTGCTCCTCGACCTGATCCAACTCGGGCAAGACGGTACTTTTCTTCCGATCGTTCCACCAAGTCTTCAAAAAACACTTGCAACGCAAATTAGGCTCGTTCAGATGATAAGAATCGCTTCGTCTCAAGCTTAGACTTCTGAATATCTTGCCAAATTTGTGTTTGATACTCGACTTCTCAGCGATACTAAACTCGTCCAACTCGGCTGTATTAGACTGAACTGGCGAATACTCGGACGAGGTTTGACTGTGGACCAAGGAAGGCTTGGGCGAGTTGAGATGGGTTGATTTGGGATCAAGGGCCTTTTGAAGGCCTTGATTTGAGGGTAGGGGCAAAGACTAAAAATAATTTTTGTTAAATTTAAAAAAGCAGAAGTTATAAATTTTTGTAAAATACGAAATAAACAAAGCTGGATAAATTTTTTTTTGCGTTATAAAAAAGAACAACTATAGGCTAAATATGACAAAAACATAGTGATGCACTTTTAACAAAAAATTTACATTTAGTATCGCACTTTTAAAAAATTGTTTTATGACAATATATTGCTACAAAACATACAATATACTATTTGAAGCCTCTTTTATCACTTTTCACTCCTCTGACTAATTTTTTTTAAAACTTAACTTGTATAAACTCAAGTTCAAAAATACTCGAAAATTTTAGCTTTAGCGTTAGTCTCAGCCTTCGCCATAATCTTCATCGTAGTGTTAGCCTTAGCCACAACCTTTGCGTTAGTCTTAGCTTTAGTCTTATTCTTAGCCTTAGACCTCTCAAATCATAGTCATATTCGTAGTCCTAGCCCTATTAGTTATTCCAGTATTAGCCTTTAGGGTAAAACCGTCAGAAATGCACCATTTTTTTAAATTTAAATCAAAACTTTATTATAAAAAGCAATAAATCTTAATATAATAATACTTTTTGTCCCTTGAACCTGACAACCACTTAGCGTATAAACAATAATTAAAAAAACTTTTTTGAAACAACGAAAAGTTCAAAATTCTAATTTCAATAGAACACCTGTATAAAACAAACATTCTGTATGACGATCAACCTTTAAATCCCTGGCCATCAACTCACAGTAAATATAAAACTCACGTATACCCAAACTTCTTTATAACGAACAAATTTAAATATTCCTAAGTTATTTGTTATACAAGAGTTCCACTTTGTCTTAAATACCAAATTCCATTATAAATTACACGTATGAGGTTGTTCGATTATAAATGATGCAAAATTTTCAAAGTAGGGCGTTTTTAATGGCTAGTCTATATCCGGACAGCCAGATAGTTTACAATGTTTATTAACCTATTTTGACCTGCTGACCGAATCAGTGGTATTTTCTATCAAAGTAATAAATATTATACAATTACATAACACAGTGGCTGATATAGGTACTTATGCCACACAAAATCAAAAAAAAATCCCGCTTTTTCTAATTTCCCATATTTTTGTCCCACACCCCAACCCCAAATCGTCTCCCACCCATGTCAATTAGTACAATTTGCGCAAAAAAGAGTTTCATTATAAAAAAAAAACGCCGCCGGAGATGGGAATTTCGATCCCGGCTTGCGGTTAATGACCTAAACGGGGTTAAGGCTCTTTTCACCAACGGCGTCGGTGATAACCCGCGCCGCCCCAATCATCCAGTTTCGCTTGCCCCGAAAATAGCGTGGGATTAGGGGAGAGGGGCCGAGAATGACCTGCTGACCGAATCAGTGGAATGCACTTCAACAGCGCAGGTTTGCGACAACTTGACGGGATTATCAATTACATCGAAAAAGAAATGGCAATTTAGGACCAAAACTTGTTTGGACTAGGCAAGAGATGATCCATGTTAAGAGTTTTGATAGACAAGGCTTGATCCAAGTTAGGAGTTTTGATAGACAAAGATTCGCCCAAGTTAAAAGTTTTGATTAGACAAGGTTTGGTCTAGCTTTAAGATCTGGCCTGAGACATTAGGCACAACAAAAAAATGTTGATAGTGAAAGCACAAAAAAAATTTTTTTATATTAAGCATACTTTTTGTAGATTAACAAAGAAGGTCCTCGACCTGCCCCGCTCTGGCTGACTTCAAGCTTTTAAGATCATGTAAATCTAAAATCTTCAGTAAAGCACAAAATCCCCATTTCCAGGAAATCTCGAGAAAACAGAGACCAAAAAATTACGTTTTGAATTTCCCGCCAAATTGGCTGTGTCTTTCAAGCCTATAACTTTGCCATTTTTTGACTTTTAGTTATTTTTCTTTGAGATACTAGTATAAAACTTTTAAATTAATCTAAGTTTTTAAATTGGCAAGCGTGTCTGGAAGTTCAAGAAAAGTGCTTGAAACATAATGCCAAACATAGCAAATTGGGGGAAACTTAAATATTTAAATTTTAAAACTCAAGAGCGCAATCTATTTTTTTATGAGTACTTTTGATGGTACGAAAAAACTATATAAAATTTTTTAGTAGGTTGAATACTTGCCTTGTAAAGTTTTAAAATGTTTCACTCCCCCGGCCTCAATCACCAAATATTTTTTTGCAAAAAAATAATAAAAGTTTTTAAATATCATAAAAAACAAAATTAGCTAAACCCTCCAAACACATTAATCTAACCTTAAAAATTCCTTACTGTATAATATTATAGACTCACAAATTAGGGACATCGTATATTACAAAAAAAATTAAGAAAAATTTTACCTTATGTCCTTTGTCTCCTTCTCCCTCTTCCTTTTGTTCTTCTTCACTTTCTTCTTCAACAACTCCAGAATCCAAATTTCTTCCTTTGATATCCAATGCTCTAGCTTCTTTTCTAGTATCTTCGGTATTGATATGAAGTTGTTTCGTTCTTGGCTTGGGCGTGGGTCGTTTAACAAGTTCAGGTGGGGAGTCGAATTCCTTGTTCTTCTTTAGTTCTACTATTTCCAAGTGTTTCACGTCCAAAGTTTCGAATTTTGGCAGTACTGGAGGTGATGATATTGGGACTGATGGAGGTTGTTGCAGCTGAAAAATTATTTTTTTTAATTGAAAAAAAAATTGTTGATTTTTTGAATCTTGAGGGGTGAAAAGATAGTAAATATACAGGGATCTCACTGATATCATAAAGTTCTGTTCTCTATACTATCGTCAAACTCGAACTCACTTGGCCAATCATCCGTCTAGATGTCTAAACCAATATTTTTCCTCAAGTTATAAACTCAACTTCTTTGTGTATCACCACAATTTTAAATTTTTTCAAATTTTTGGCTATCTCCTCATGTATACAACGTTTATTTTGCGCTATTATGTTTGGCCTTTGAGATGTTGTTGGATGAAGAGGGTCTTTCCCTTTTCGTTCAAGCCGACTGACCTAAATTTTAATCGAGAATCGTTGGGCGATAAATGAAACGTTTAACTGAATGTGTAATCGACACAGTTTCGAGATAACAAAAAGAGAATGAAAGCGAAACACTAATTAATCAAGTTGCAAAAAAAAATTTTTATGTTTTAGAATCTTCTAAGCCACAGCCTTCGATCTAGCTCTAGCCCTAACTCTAGCCGTAACTCTAGCTCTAGCCCCAACTCTAGCCCTAGCTCTAACCCGTTCCTTAACCCTAGCTCAAGCTCTAGCCGGAGTTTTAATCCTATGCCTATCTTCAGTCCAAGCCCTGGTCTTAATACTAGACCTAACTCCAGCATTAGTCTTAGTTCTAGGAATATTCCTCGTCCTAGCCTTAGCTTTAGCCCTAGCTTTAATGTAAAATCTCTTAAGTTTAAGCCTTAGACTTAGCCCTGCTCTAGTCAAAATCCTATGCTTAGTTTTCGCAATAACCTAAATCCTTTGCTGAGCCTCAGTGTAAGCCTGAACACTAGCCCTAGCCTCAGCACTACCCATTGCTTTAGCTCTAGCCCTAGCTATAGTCCTGTCTTATCCCTACCCTATCCTGTTACTAGCCCTATCACTAAACTTAGACTTGGCCTTGTTGTCAGCAATAGTCCTAGTCTTATTTCTAGCTGTACGCCTGCCCTAAGTTTGACCTAAACTAACCCTCGTCCTTGCCTAGCCTTAACCATACCTGGCCATAGGTTAAGGTTACCTCATTCAAAAAATCCCATAAAACCCTCAACCTGTTATGGTACAATCAATTCCCGACTACATGTATATTACTACTGTGACCTTGTCCACAGTCGTAATTATACTTTTAATACGCGTATAAATGCTGTGCGGTAAATATCGGAGTGCTGGCTATCTTCTCTGGACCACTTTTTTGAATATAAACACTGCTTATTATTGTGTTTGCTAATTAAGCTCGCAGCTGGAGATCGGGTTGGGTATTGTTTATTAAAAAAGGGGTGGTTTTGGGTTAAAAACTTGGTTGTAGTGCCAACTATTACTAATCAAAAATAAGGTAGGATGGCAAGGCTTATGTAGGCAAGCTTTGTAAAATACGCGGTGTGGATATTTGAGTAAAATTAAATTTTTTTAATATTAAAATACAGTGGTCTCTCTATATAGTGAACCATCTGTATAAGCAACTCTCCTGATAGTAAACAAGAAATTTAGCCCCGCCAAGCCAATTTGCACTAAAAAGTTTCTCTGTAAAGACAACACCCCTTATAGTAAGCACGAAATGTCGGTCCTTTCGGGTTGATTATACAGAGAGAGTACTGTATTAAAAATCTAACCCTAGCCTTAACTATGATTCTAGCTCAGTCCTCGCGCTTGCCCTACTATAGCTAATCCCTCTCTAGCTTTAGCTCTTTATTGCCATTGCAAAACCACAAAAAATCAAAAACGTTTTTAAAATTTCAAAATTACCGGCAAAACTTCCAAAAAAGTTGGATTCAAAACAGTCCAGATGTTGTTTTTGAAACACATTGAATTAAACATGAGGAAAAGCGATTTCTAGACTGACTTTCTGACTAATTTTTCTTTGATTCAAAAGAACTGGTGACAAACATAATAATAAACATCATTTTTAAGACGTTGTTTTGATTTCTAGTAGAAACAAGGAAGTACTAAAATTTTTAAATTTCCGAAATTTAAAAAAAAAATTTTTAATTATTCCATACCATCGCCAAAAGTTAACGCAGCACCTTTATCCGCCGCCATATGCCAGCCCATCTACCATCAGCACGCTTTACATTAATATTCTTTACCACAGAATCACTAATATTCTCCTAATCAGTTCTATAATACCAACCGAGCCCCCATCCCTAACTATCAGCCATTACAGTAGTACCAACCGCTACCGCATAAGCTAGCAGTCAATGTATAATATAATAACAACAGCCGACGCCGCCTTACCAGCCCCAATTTAGCTTTAGCCTTAGGCCTAAGCTTAGTTTTAGCCTCAGAAAGTAAAGCATTAAAATTCAATGCTTTGCTTTCTGTACAAAACTACAGTACCCCTAATCCTCGTTTTAAATCCCAATTTCAACGAAACCTGGCGTGAAACCGTTTTTCCCCCCGACCAACCGAAAGTGTTATCCGTAAAAGCGCAAAGTATAATTTGCACAGTGATCCGCGTGGATTTTAGTGTGTATTTTTATTGGGGAAAGGTCGTTTAACTGGCGCATCGAGACTTAATCATCCGAGAATATTCACCATGAATAATCACGCAAAAAAAGACAATATATAATGTCATCGGTTTGTGTTGTACTAGGTATAGTAAGGTTTGTATTTTAATAGGTAGAGAAAGTTTTATGTCAATTTCTAATGAAAAATGTCATAACATCCTAATCTCTAATGAAAAATGTCATCAAATCCTCATTTATAATGAAAAATGTCATAAAATCTTCATTTCTAATGAAAAATGTCATAGAATCCTCATTTCTAATGAAAAATGTCATAACATCATCATTTCTAATAAAACATGTCATCAAATCCTCATTTCTAATGAAAAATGTCATACTTTATTGCCCGTCATGGTTAATATACAACCAATTTACCCTTTTTTTGCCAAATTTTAAAAGCATTTTCAATTTATAATTAGGTTTAAACTTTTATTATTGAAACGCTACAAAAATCAATAATTTTAACAAGATCGATCATTATGTTAGTGTACAAAAGTTAACATATTTAATATAGGAATGTATGTGGGATAAAAATTTGAAGCTTTGGAGATAAACATAACCATAGTCGAGGTGTCACGAAGAAAAGAAATGATATTACCAACTATAACCATATAGTATTCTAGTTTAGGTACCGTACTAAAAGTTCTAGTACCGTACTAGATGTTTCAGCATCGTACTAAAACTCCTAGTACTGTACTAAAATTTTCAGCACAGTACCAAACTAGAAAACCATGCAAATTGTCATAAAACCTTAGAATCGTCGTCGATAGCCAGCCGCAGCTTGTTGATCATCGGCTGGCGCGTTAGCTGGACTATAAGAGTCAGCTGGCACAGCAGCTGGACCATATGAATCAGCACTTCCTTGCGCATTGTCAGCAGCATAATCTCTTCCAGCTGAAGCTGGTGCTGGAGCAGGTACGGCTCCCTTTTGGTCAGCCACAACAACTTCGGTATCTTGACAAACGCAAGTACCAGGCGTACCAGATGGTCCCGGCTCTCCAGTTGGTCCACTTTGTCCTGGTTGTCCGATTGGTCCTGGTGCTCCGGGTGGTCCTGGCCAGCCCTTCTCTCCGGGTGATCCTGGATAGCCGTCTTCGCCTGGCGTACCTGGGTGTCCGGGTGGTCCCCATGGTCCAGTTTCTCCGGCGTCTCCTGGTGGGCCTGGGATAACGTGAGCTTCCGGCGTAATTCCCTTGTCTCCTTGTGGTCCGGGTAGACCAGGATGTCCGGCCTCTCCAGGTGGTCCATCTTCACCCATTTTTCCAGGCTGTCCATCTAGTCCAGGTCGTCCCAATGGTCCTGGTTCTCCGGAATCTCCTGGAAAACCTGGATGACCAGGAACTCCGCGAGGACCCTGAGGGCAAGGCAAGCATGGTGGAGGCTCGAAGACACGTTCTGGGATGCACGACGCGTTAGGTGTGGTACCAGGACGGCCAGGTGCACCATCAGGACCAGGGTTTCCGGGCATTCCGGGTAGACCAGCATCTCCAGATGGTCCTCGCTCGCCTGGTACACAACAAGCTGGGCATTCTTGGAAGGTGGGGGCGTTGGGGTGAAGTAGGGTAGGGTTGTAGCCGCCATAGTTCGTGGCACGCTTTGTTTTGTTCTGACTGTCTTCTAGGAATTTAATGCTCATTGATTCCATTTCTGTTTCCATGTCTATCGTCGTACTCTGAAATGTTGTCATAAATGTCAAAACGTCCTCATTTCTAATAAAAAATGTCAAAACAGCTTCATTTCTGAAGAAAGATGTAAAAAACTCTTACCTCACAATAAGCAAAATCCCGTCGATTGAAAGCCCCCATCGTGTCAACATAGTTATACATTGATGGCACTACCAAACATAAACATAACATCGAAGTTACCGAGAAGATTCCACTAACTCCAATCACAAATTGATAAGCTCGCTCTTTGGTTTCATTATATTCGTCTTCATCAACATGTTTGTTAAATCGGTGGTGTGGTGGCCAAGAAGACTGGGTCGTCTTCATATTGGCTTACTACCTACAATGTAATAAAGTGAACGAAGATTCTGGATGAAGTAAAAGCAAAATCGTGATCCTTCAACGTTTGTGGGTTTTTTGAAATGAAATATAATTGTAAAATACGAATTGATTTCGTACACAATGCGAAGGGAGAACGAAAGGAAGGTGTTAGTATCTACATTAACTCAAAAAATTTTTAAATAATAAGAATTCTCGCTACAGTAAACAAACAAAAATTGACAATGAAAGACGGGTATTTGAGGCAAAACAATTTGCAAAATCCAATAGAGGGGAACACACTCAACTCATCAAAAAACTTTAATAAGATAAACGAAAAACTAATTTTACAATATGTAAAAAGCACTTGTCAAAAAAAACTTCATTCCTAAAGCAAAATGTCATAAAATTTTCAGTTCGAATGAAAAATGTCACAAAATTTTTAATTATTATAAAAATGTCATTAAATCCTCATTTCTAATAAAAAATTCCACAAAATGCTAATTTCTAATGAATAATGTCTTAAGACCCTCCCTTTTAACGCAAAGTCAACCCCGTATAGCTACAATTTCATTTGTTAACACCAATTGTAGAGATTGTATTCCATAATTTTCATTAAGCCTATATTAACTAAAAAACGACTTTTATTATCTGAAGACTAAACCCTTAGTAGATAGTCTAAACTACAATACCGAAACTGAATCCAAGGATATATCCGGAGCGACGTTACCAAAAGTAAACCTTAACCTCAACCTCAGCTAACATTCCAAACCTAAACCCAAGCCATCAGCCTTACTTTCATCACCCAACCCAATCCAATCCCAGCCACCAGCCTAACCCTCTTAACCCCGATGGTGATAAAAGTGAAAGTGAAGTAAACCCGTTGTGAAAAAATGCGACAATCTTAACAATGAAGAATGTAAAGTGCAATAAAAGTAAAACCTTCGAGATCTCGACGAGATTTGTGGTCGAATCGCCGCCGACCGCAAATCGAGGTTACCATCATCGGCTAGGCTGGGGTGGGGTTCGTGGATCCGGGTTCGGGCGGCGGATAAGCAAAAGTGCATCCCTTATCTCTCACACACACGCACGTTAAACCGCAATCATTAAGCGATGTAAACCGGGAGAGAGATTCTTTAGCCGGGAGAGATTCTTTAGCGATTCTTCAAAGCTTCCGAAAGGTATTTTCCGTCGGCTTCACCCTTTGCAAGGGATATACTCTTAATTACTAGGTGATAACAAGTGATTGAAACTTTGTGTTCACGTAACAGTGTATACAAAGAAGAAGAATTAATTTAGATTATAAAAAATCACACAAATAGACTTTTCTTCCAAAAAAAATTTAAATGTTGAACGTAATAGCCCCTGTTAAATTTCAAACTAAAACTTTAAAAAATGCAAATGTAGCTCCTGTTAAAAAACTTCTTTTTTTCTTTCTAGCTTCTGTACAAACCAAAAAAGCAAATGACACACAACTTTTGTATAACGAATCACCCGGAGGTTTTAAATTTGTTCGATATAAACGAAATTCTGTATACAAGAGTTTAAAATGCACCGTGTAATGTTGGCCGAGGCCTTAAAAGTTGTCCGTTATACAGAAATTGTCGCTATACCGCAGTTTATTATACAGAAGCTATAAATATCATAATTTCCTGCCAATTTACAAATTGTTGGCATTGTGTTTCAAGCACTTTTCTTGCCGTTCCGGGCAACTTACAATAAAAATGTAAAGAAAGTAAAGTTCACTATAAAGCTTTAGAACGTTATATCAATAAAATGCCTATTATGAATCTAAAAACAACAAAGGTATAAATTTGCAGCACAATGCTAATTTAGAAAATTTACAAAATTGTTCATTTTTAAGTTTTTTTTTTCAATTTTATGATCAGTGCATTTAAAACTCCTGTATAACAAAACTCCTTACAAAATTAAAAATGCCCGAGCAATTCGGTATACAAGCCGGTTATTCTAAGATAGAGCCAAGATATTACACTAGACGATGTAACAATTTTTTTCACAATTTTGTATAAATTTCGATCCTTTTTCTCTATTTTCAAGCCCAATTATTGGGCTCATAGTTTAAGTTTGTGGATATGTTCTCGACAAAGACCACATCATATCACCTGGGATGGGATGCGGTTTCTTCTCGATTTGACCCGACCCAAATTCAGATCTTCCCCCGCCCGACGAATTAAGAAAAAGACTGATTTTCCGTTCGAATTAGGAACAAACGTTGGTGGAATTTCATAACGGAAGTAAGCAATATAAGATTAAGTTTTAGCCGAGTCAGGGTGATCAACTGCACAATTAGTGCAAATTGAAATAAGTTTTTTGAAAGTAAAATTTTCAAAATTAATCTTCAACAAAATATAAAATAACAAAAAATAGAAAAAAAACTACGCAAAATCTGCGTAATTGAATCAAAAAAAATTTAAATGCCATTTATTTTGCATCAAATAATTATTTTTAAAAAAAATTAATTTGAAATTGATAGTAATTTTTCTAAGTTACCCTTAGCTTGTAGCTTACTCCCGAGTAGCTTTACTCGGGAGGGCAAACCTTAAGTTACTCTTCACCACTCTACCGTAAACTACTTAATTCAACCCTACAGTACTTTACCCTACCATATCATATTCCACCGTGACTTACTCTGCCCTATTCCACCCTTCATTACGCTAACATACTTTACCCAACTACCTACCGTCCCTACTTTACCTTACCCCTATCCTACCCTGCGATACCATACCCTACTCTACCTTACCCCTTAACTCAAAAAAAAGTTGAAAATCAGTCCTTTATTCGTCAGTATCTCTCTTCAAACCCATCCAGAATCTCAATCTTCCCCTCTTCAAAGCTTTTCATCCTTAACCATTCGTCTGTACATCTTGTCAATGTCATACGCATACTTCTTTGCCAGCTCTGGTCGTTTGGTTTTCATAGTTGGAGTCAGCAGTCCATTCTCTACAGTAAACGGTTCAATTTCCAAATAAATCGCTTTGGCTTGTTCGAATGAATGTAGTCCAGAGTCTCTAGCCATTGCTCTCATGTCTTCTTTAATCATGTTCCTGACTTCTGATTTCTGGCACAACTCTTCCAATGTCAGTCCTTTTAAGTTTAGCTTTTTGGCTGCTGCTCGAGTCACGGTTTCTGGATCCGGTACGATGATGGCTACCAACGTGCTTTGAAGTGAATCACCGTGAACGTAGGCTTGGGATATGTAGCCTGAACGAGTGTAGACGTTCTCTATCTTCTCTGGCGCAATGTATTCACCCTGAAATTAGTGTTGGTTTAGTTTAGTGAGAGTAGCGATAAAACTAGCTTGTGTAAAGATATAGTTAGAAGTAGGGGTAGACTGAACATAAAAACGAAACCAAACCTAAAAAAAAATTCCTACCTGTGCCAACTTGAAGATATGTTTCTTTCGGTCAATAATCTTCAGCGTTCCCTGCTCTTCAAACAGTCCGATGTCTCCAGTGTGAAGCCATCCATCCGCATCAATGGCATTCTTCGTTTCTTCTGGGTTCTTATAATATCCTGGGGTGACATTGTAGCCTCTGATACAAACTTCGCCTTTGTTGTCTTTTACCATGTAGTTCAGCTCGGGCACGTCTACAAGTTTCACTGCACAACAAGGTATTGGGGCTCCGACGTGACCTGGACGGTTGTCGCCGATGGTTCCGACCTGAAATTGTGTTGAAATTACAATTTTTTAAAATTTTAAAGCTTAAATTAAAAAATTAAGCCTAATATGTTGAGAATCACCTGAAGCTCTAAAAAAAGCCTAATTTGAAAAATAAGCCTAAATCCCATAAAACAAGACTAAAACTCTACAAAATAAGCCCAAAACCTTAAAAAATGACCTAAAATCAATTTCAAAAGCCAATCTCAAAACCTCCTTACCGTAGCAGCCGCTACACATTCCGTCTGACCGTATCCTTCAAAGATATGACATCCAAATGCGCATCGTGCAAAGCTAAGCACGTTCCGAGAAATTGGAGCTGAGCCCGTGAAAACAACCTTCATTCTTCCTCCGAACAAATTTTGAATCTTCTTGAAGACCACTTTGTCGAAGAATGAATCTTGTCGACAAATTCCACTGAAATTAAAATTCGGAAATTTTTTTTTCAAAATTTAAATTTTTTTAGTTTAAGATTTTTAACATTTTATTTAAAGTAAAATCCTAGAAAGACCGTATTTTACCCAAAAAACCTTTTAATTAAAATGCAAACTCACGCCTGAAGCTCCCTCATCTTGTAGTCGATTGCCACTTTGAACAGCAACCTTTTGTACCATTTCGAGTTGACTTCGGCCATTACTTTGTCGTAGACTTTGTTGATGACACGAGGTACACATGGCATGATAGTGGGCTTTAATGCTTGCATATCATTCACAAGTTCCAGGAGGTTTCCATTGTAATAGCCAACTCTGTGTCCTAATTGAAACATGACGTTTTGTAGCATTCTGTCGTACATATGGGCCATTGGAAGGAAGGAGAACATTGTTTCCTGAAAAAAAATTTGATAATATTAAGAAACCTCTAGTCCTATCAGCCCTATCTTACCATGCCGTGACCCTACCCTACTGTTTTCTACTAATATTGCCAACCAAGACTACATACCAGCACTCACCTTATCCTTATCATCCATCAGATGTCGATAACACATGATAACACTCGTATCAGCAACAATGTTTCCATGAGTTAGTACCACACCTTTCGGATCGCCAGTAGTACCACTTGTGTAGCAAATTGTCGCAACCGTATCACTTTCCGGTTTGACATGTGGAATTCGTTTCTCCGCCTGTCCAATTTCCAAAAGTTCTTGGAATGAAAACAATTGGATTCCGTGATCTTTGAAGTTTCGCTTTCTGAGATCCGAAAAATCGACCAAATCACAAACGGCAATGTACTTGACTTTGGGACATTGAACATTGGTTTCGAGGATCTTGTCCGCCTTCTCCATCGAATCACAGATCACGATTTGTGCTTCTGTTTGGTTCAGAATGTAAGTCGCAGCTCCTAGACCCAGAGTGTTGTAGAGGGGGACCACAGCATTGCTAAAAGTTCAAAAAATAAAAATTGTATAAAAAGTTACAACAACTGTACTTCAATTCATTTTTAACTAAACCAAAGTAAAGATAAAGCTCTGGTTAAGATAAGGCTCGAAGAAAGCCAAGACTAAACCAGAGTAAGATCAGTGCAAGACCAAGCTAAACCAAAGTCAACATCTAAAATATCAAAAACTAAAACCTTACCTAAAAGCATAAGCAGCATGTTCCACAACCACCCATTCCGGTCGATTCCTGCAATAAATGCCAATATTGGTCTTATCACCAGGTGGAATCTCCAATTTTCGAAAAGCATGTGCCAGATCATCCGATTGTTGTATCATATCCTTATAACTCAGCCAAACATAAGGTTGTGTACCATCATCCTGAATCACCCGATGCCCCAACATGTCCCCGTTCTTCGAGGCTTCAGCACCAACCCGAATCACATCGTACAAAGTCTTGACATTCTGAAACGCAGTCTTCTGAAGCACGTCCGACTTCAAAAACGATGAGATTCTGGAGCCGTCAGGAAGTTTCCTCGTCTGATTCTCCAAATCCAAAAAGGGTTTGAATTTTTGAATTGGCAACCGCACACGGTACCACCAGAAAACAAGTGCACCAAGCATAGCGGGCATGCCCACCGTACTCAGCATGCCGGTTTTTACCATAGCCGCCGGCAATAATCCTCCTGGGATCACTTTGTAAAGCCATGACGAAGGTTCTTCTGGTTCGAATCCTAAGCCTTTCGCTAGCCCCTTTTCCTGTCCTGGTACTGAAGCTTTGACCGGCCCATCCCACCCAATTTTAGGCTTTAAAGAAAAGGCACGAGAATTGCGCAAAGGTGACAAGTAGACTTGATTTACTGTGACAATGGCGCGACGAGTCAGCATAATGATCCGGATTTCAAGGAGTTGAAGAGAAATTTATTTGAGAAGAAATCGACCGATGAAACGGCCGAAAAACAGTCAGAATGATAATTTTCCAAAAAATATATAATTTTTGAAAAAAAATTAAATTTTTTCAAGTTCTAACGTTTTTTGAACCCACACAGTTCATGATAAGATCACGTAAAAATAACAGTGAATTTTGGATGTCGTCGAACCTGAAGTAACAAAATGTAATAAAAACACGACTTACCATTACCGATGTTATCAAAGCCAAGAAGTAGTGTTCATTTTAGAAAGGATAGAAAGGTCCTGACAAAACCAATCTAAACTAACAAAAACTAACCAAAACTCTACTTACAGTTAAAAATATAAAGTTGAATTCCAAATTTTAGGTATCAATTGGTATTCCAGACCTGTGAACATCAATAACATTCACCAAAGTCTCCTAAACGAACCTAAAACCAAAAAGACTAATCAAAATCCAAATTACAGTAGACCTTTTCACGTTAAAGTCAAAAATTTAGATATCAATTGGTCTTCCACGCCTGTAAACACCGATAATATTCATAAAAATCTTCCAGACGAACGAGAAAGAGACATCCTGCCGAAACCAATCTAAAACAACGAAAACCAATCAAAATCAACTTACAGCAAAACATTTCAATATAAAGTCCCAAACATGAGTATGAATTGATCTTCCAGTCCTATTTACTTCAATCAATGTGGTTAATCATCAACAACATCCATCAAAATTAACCAATCAGTCGGGGAACTTCAACATTATTCACGTATTCATCTAAACCCGTGAAATTTCATAGTTTTCCGGATAAAAAATAGAGTAAAACAATTTAAAACATGATGAAACTCAAACAATTCGTAGCACATACAATTAATAAACGCTGTTTATAATCCCACAACATCAAATACTTTACCTTTTTCGGCCGAAAAAAATAAAAATAAGGAAAAAACGAAGTGTCAAACGTTCAATCAATAATAAAAACTCTCCCAAATTGAAAATCCAAAAATTTCGTCAGTTTTGCGTCAGTTTGGTGCTTCGCGAAGCTTCGTTAGGTTGAAAATGAAATTGTTATATAGAGTTTTACTACTAACCACCTGTGCCTAATGTTAAAATAACGTTTCAGGGATCACTTCATGGATAACATTTCGAATGCTTTTGTGGATCGAAATCATTCAGTTGTAAGTGAATTTTCAATCGTATTTGGTTGTCTTAAATTATTATAAGATTGAAATTGATTTTTTATTTAGGTATAATGTATTTCAAGTATTATTTATGTTTTTTACTTAAAATTTTTAAAATCAGTTTTTAATCGCATCGCTGAGACTTTGTTGTTGTGTTATCAGCTGTTGATCCATTTGTAAAATGGCTTGGAGGTGCATCTGAAATCAAAAAAAATATTTTGTTACCTAAAATATAATTTGGTTCTTAAAATATAATTTGATACCTAAAGTACGTTTTTCTAAAATCTCATTTAATACCCAAATTATGATTTTTTAAATGCAAATTAAAAAAATGTAAAATACGTCCAATCATTGGAAGAGTTGAAGAACATACCTTCAAGGTCTTGTTTGATTCGTTCAATCGTTCATTTTCGTCTTTCATTGTCTGTTCCAATAACTTGATCTCTTCTTCTCGCACAGTCTTTTCTTGGGCCAAGGTTTTTTCTAACTCGGCTATCTGAAAGTTCAGAAATTCAAAAAAATTTTTTTTTTTGCTTTTTATTCATATTTTAAAAAATCTAGTTTTTTAACACTTCCTAGTTCTCCCTCTCCCACCAAAATCACCCGCCCACGCTGAATTTAAACTAAATTTCAAAACCCCCTTACCCGCTCAGTTAATCTTTGGTTTAAAATGCGTTCATCAGCTAGATTTCGAACTGCTTGATGTTGTTCCTGCTCCACCACAATAGCTTTTCGTACTCCGTAGGCTATGGCACTTTCTAGTAGGCTTTGATATGACAGAATCGTCAAATGGATTTCATCTCTTACTCTCAACATTAATAGACCTCGTTCGGCACAGTTTATCGTTACTTGGCGGATTATTTCATCTAGAAGTTTTAAAATTAAATTTTGTTTTGTACATAGTATAATGTGGCACTATATAGTACAATAGGATAAGGTAAGTTTGAGTAGAGTAGAGTAGAGTAGGGTAGGGTAGAGCAAAGCGGGGTAGGGTATGGTAACTTAGGGTAGGGTAGGATAGGGTAGAGTTGGGTAGGGTAAAGTCAACCTACCAAACAGCTCATCGTAGATTTTGCGTCTTATTGGGCATATTCCGAATGATTTGGCATGTCTAGCTTTGAGTTCAGCATCGAACTTCTCTTGAAGCCCAACCATGTCGAATCGAGTGGCTGGTACTGTTGAAGCACGCTCCATCCAACTCTTACCGTCCATGTCACGGTATCTGAAAAGAATTTTCTTGGTATTTGAATATCTTTTTAGGAAATATAAGGTTACATTACGGTAGGATTAGGTTGGGATTATATGTATCAAGTGTAGGGCAAGGTAAAGTAGGGTAGAGTAGAGTATGGCAAGCTAGGGTATAGTAGAGTAAGGTAAAGCAGGGCAGGGTAGGGGAGAGCGGAGTAAGGTAGGGTAAGGTAAATCAGGGTAGGGTAAAGTAGGGTAAAATATAGTACTGTAGGGTAGGACATTATTAGCTAGGGTAGGTAAAAGTATGATCTCTTTATAACTATGTAACACTACTCCACTACTTACCTTGGTGGTATAATGCAATCCATAATACACCGTAACTGTTTATCTGGTTCAATCGGTGGCAAATCTGAATCAGTAATTTTCTTCAACTCTTCGGCTGGGTCGATTCTTTCTTCTTCAGGGGGTGCTTCTTCAGGCAGGTCCATTTTAAGCAGCTCTAACCTATCAGAGTTCTTTCTAAATCTAGGTCCATTTAATTGTGGCAATTCCAACTCTCCTATATTATTGTTGGTATCTGATGTTATTTGAGGGATTACCATGGTTTGAATGTTAGAATTTTGAGAATTGTTGGTTGACTGGTTTTTGGGAGGGGTTGATAAATCTGGCATTATGAGCTTGGGTGGAGTTGAAGTTTTGGTAGCTTCGGATGGTTTAGGTACGGGGGTGCCTGGTACAACTGGAGTGGCTGATAGGGTAGTCGGAGGGTTGTCGGACATTGTGGAAGAATAGAATAGACGATCAGTATAAGTTTGTTATAATGGGGTTGGGTACGATAGGGTAGGTACAAAAGCCTCTGATTAAAAAAGTTGCTGGGCGCTGTGTAAAAAGAGTAGGGTAGGATAAGGCAAATTTTTTGGGTAGATTGATGTTTTAGTTTAAAGAAGTATGAAGAAAACAAGGCTAAAGTTTTTAATAATAAGCCAAAAAGCTCTTTTGCAAAGTTTTAAAACCTTTAAAAGTGCGCGAAATCAAGCGCAATTCCTGCCTTTATTGGCAAATTTGGCGGAATTGCGGGTTTTTTAAAATTTTTTTCTGCTTTTCAAAGTGAAAATTTTAAAAACGTGAAAATATTTTTTTTGTAACATGGCTTACTTGTAGGGTAGGGTAAGGCAGTATAGGGTAGGATAGAGTGAGGTTGAATATGGTAAAGAAAGTTAGGGAAGGTAGGGTAGGGTCGGATAGAATAGAGTCGTATAGAGAAGGGCAGGGTAGGGTTCAGTAGGGTAGGTTAGGGTAAAGTACAGAAGGGCAGGGTAGGCTAGTAAATATTTTTTTACTGAATTCACTTTTTTTAAATTACAAAGTTTTACATGTCATTATGTTATATTTTTGTCAATTCTCATTTCCTTGTGAAAAAATAGCATTTTGTTATCAAAAACAGTTATTATATTATCATCGGCCCGTTTTGAATAGTATTTTGAACTAGATAGACTCTAATCAAAAGCTAACAATTAGAGTTGTAAAGATAACAAAAACTGATTAACTGTTCCAAAAAAACTATCGTGCACTCAATAATATTCGTGACAGTGCTGTAACAGAGAAGGTGTAGGTGCATTGGTCTTGTAAATTTTGTCCTATACTACAATATTAGTATATACTACTAAGTGCCTTCTAATATAGTAAAGGTATTTTTGTTAACTTATTGTGAGCTACTGAGAATTCTAGTGATTGTAAAATACGAATCCGTTTTTTGCTAGGTGGAAATAATAAAGTCTAAAAATGTTGACCGAAACGGGTCTAACCGTGTTCATTACCGTTATTATGGTGGTTACTGGAGCGTGTAATACGTTAATTGCCAAGTAAGTAAAAAGATGAGACTTATATATATTATATTTATAAATAACTTTTTTTAAATTAAAGTAAATTGTGACTGTTCATTGGCAAGAGTAAGGCTAGGCCTAGCTGGTATGCTAGGATAAGGAAGGGCTCGAAATTGTGAATGGGGGGGGTTTAAAAAAGGTCGATTTGAGTGGAATAGGTTAGGAAAGACTGCGGGTTAAGAGTGGCGTAAGAAAAGATAGAGTAAGGTAGAATATAGTAACGCTGGGTTCAATAGGGTAGGTCAAACACTTCAAGTAGTCTAGGGTAGAATAAAGGATGGTTCAGAATGGTAAAGAAGGATAGGGTAGGTAAAAAGGCCAACTTGGGTAGGGTAAAGTAAGGTAGGGTAGTTTAAAGTAGGGTAGGGCAGGTAGGGCAGAGCAGAGTAGGGTACGGTACGACAGAATAGATTAGAGGACAGTACGATAAAGTAAACAGCAACTATGATTTAACATCTACTTTCAGATGGACAGACGGTCTAAAAGCTTTAGGCCAACCGTTTGAGCACCCATTTTTTCAAGCCAATTGTATGTTTGTTGGTGAAGTTGGATGTCTGGTTGTATTTACTATAATATACATGTATCAAAAGTACAAAGATTGTGCTCCAGTTTTGGTAAAGTTCAATCCATTTTTGTTTGCACTACCGGCTATTTGTGACATCACTGGGACTTCAATACAGTACATTGGACTGAACTTGACTACTGCCAGCAGCTATCAAATGCTTAGGGGTGGGTTTTGAATAGAATTTTTAAATTTTTAGCTGTTTTAAATTTTGAAAATTTTTATTTTTTAAATTTTTTTGAAATTTAATTTTTTTTTAATTTAAAAAATTTTTTTCGAAATTTTTAAAATTTTTTACAGGCTCAGTAATAATATTTACCGGCCTCCTATCAATGCTATGCCTAAAAATGCAGCTAGCCGGCTTCCGATGGCTAGGCATGATTCTAGTCACTCTAGGCTTAACAGTAGTGGGCCTATGTGACATGTTAGAGAGTAATACCAAGCCCAATGGAGATGAGATCATCTTTGGAGATATCCTGATAGTAGGCTCTCAGATACTGCACGCAGTACAAATGGTACTGGAACAGTCGATTCTACAAAAGTACGATGTTCCACCATTGTTGGCTGTGGGCTTGGAAGGAACGTTTGGAATGATAATATTGAGTTCTTTGTTAGTACCAATGTACTACATTCAAGTACCAAAGACCTTTTCACATAACCCAGAGCATCGAATGGAGGATGTGTTTTTTGCCTTTAGGCAGATTGGAGAACAACCACTCATTGCGTTTGGTCTGGCTGCTATGATTGTGAGGTAAGGGACTAATAACAGAAGAGGCAACAGTAAACTAAAGTTAGCAGGTGAATAGGGTTTGGGTAGGGTAAAATGAAGGTAAGGCTAAAACATTAAGCGGTTAGAGGCTAGTTAAAGAAAAAACAAGAAAGGATGCAATAGAACGGAGTAAGGTAAAGCAGGGTAGGGTTAAAGTACGGGGAGGAAGGGCACGCTAAAGCAAAGCCAAGGTTAGTATAATAAGGTGTTAGGGGCAATAACATTATATATGCATTAGATTAAGGTTACAAATATGATTAAAGTCAAGCACGAGAAAAGCTACAGGATAAGAGTAAGATAGAGAAATGTGGTACATTAAAGTTATAATAGGTAAGGTAAGAGTAGGGTATGTGGCTCGGGTAGATAAGAGGTAAAGAGTGAGTTAGGGCAAGATAGCATAGGTTAAGGTAAGGTAAAGAAGTGTAGAATACAGTGAGGCATGGTGGCATAAAAAAGGATGGAGTGGGATAGGGTGGGAGTGAAGTAGAAGATGATAAGATAGAGTAAGGTAAGGTAGGGTAGAGTAGGGTAGGGTAGGGTAGGGTAGGGTAGGGTAGGGTAGGGTAGGGTAGGGTAGGGTAGGGTAGGGTAGGGTCGGGTAGGGTAGGATAGAGTTGTCATACAACGTTTTGAAAACTTTGATTTTAGTATTGCCTTCTTCAACTTCTCAGCCGTAACGACTACAAAACGTCTTAGCGCTACAAGTCGAATGGTGTTAGACTCAGTACGAACACTAATCATTTGGATGGTCTCTATACCTCTATTTGGAGAGAAGTTTATTCCATTACAAGTAAGGGTCTAACGTCATATCAAAAGCGACTTTATGGTAATGTATGACGGTAACATAATTTCCTACGGTAACACAGTTACAGCTATTTACTTATCGTACTATAACGGGTACTTTGACATACTATAGTGCATTTGCAGCACATTAAACAAGATAATATGTAAATTAGTATTAGAACTGATCTCCGTATTTTACCCTATTTTTTAGATCCTGGGCTTCTTATCTTTGATACTGGGAATGTTTGTGTACAATGATGTATTTATTGGTCCAAAGATTCGTCAAAAGATATTGCCAAGACTCCACGAAACTCCAACTTCAGTCTTTTGTGCTCACTTTTGGGGCGCCCGAGTTGTTCATGATGACGAGGAATTGCTGTTTAATGATGAGGAAGCGGCTTAGATCTTGGTATAATGTTAATATAGGTAGTATAACAAATTTAGAAGTGCATTTTTATACAGAAAGCTCTTGGCAATCTGTACAATAATATTGTTTTAAAGCTTGTTAGTCTAGTATAATGAATTTGTGTTGTAAAGTTTAGTTTATTGTCACGGGTAGAATAATAAAATTTGTTGAATTTAAAAATAAACTGACAAAAGAGTTGCACCAAATATCGGGTATGAGTACGAGAGCTATATATGAAGAAAGATTATAAAGGGTTACCGAGAAAGCTGTTTTTGAAAACTGCAAGTAAGCTTTAGCTAGCTAGATTTATCTTTCTTTCCATTCATTGACTGTTCGATGACAAACCCGACCAGCTTTTTGTTCTATATAGATTTAGTGGCAAGTCAAGGAAACCAGGCTTAAATTTACAATGATATCCATCTACCATGGTATGAATTTAGCATTGGCGAGACTCATTGTTTGAAGTGGCGCATTTGTCTTACAGAATTTGACATACTCGCTTGGTTAGAAGGTCTGGTGACTGGTCGATAGAGTCAAAAGGAAATGCACAGTTGAAGGATTCGTCTGTACTTGTCCAGCTAGCTTGCTGGTCACGGTCTTTGACGAATTGAGGCCCGCTTGTTTTTTACTTTAATGTAAAATACGACAGAATTTATTAGGCGTTCCTTAAAGTATATTTAAAGCAAGAGTTCATGCTATTGTAGTACTATAATTTTACGTATTGTTTTTAGTAGATAGGGCGGGGTAGTGTAAAATAAATTTGATTTTTCTGAAATTAAAAATATTAAAAATTTTACGAAAAAAATCCATTATTCTAGATATATGATCGGTATTCCTTTTTTGATTGTATGCTTGTCTTTTTTGATGTTACCAGCAAGCTCAAAATGATAAGAAAAAGATAAAGAAGTAATGTTCTTCTTTGCCGTCTGAAAGGCATTGTTATAGGTTTGTCCTTTTCTCTATCAAACAAGCACTTTATTATGTGGTAGTTATTTTACTATATGATCTACCTGTGAAGTATATTGTCTTTCATACTATTATAATTTGGTGCAATTGGCACTGGCTTTTTCAAGAACATAATTAGTATTGGTTTTCTTAACTTCTTGGCCGAAAAATGGTGTCAGAAGGCTCTATAACAATAACCATCGCCATTATTATGGTAGTAACTGGCGCTACTAATACACTGATTGCTAAGTGAGTAAAATACGCTGTTTAAAAGTAGTACAGTAAAGTTTGGCAAAATATTGAAGTTTTGAAAGTTTTGTCGTGAATTTATCCGCGTTTTCACAGTCAAAAACGACAAAACTTTTTTACACGTTAATAACAAAGCTACAACTCAAAATAAAGATTTACAGTAAGATTACCATGTTTTCACTAACAGTTTTAATAAAATTACAGTGCTAAAAGACCAATCTTTTCAGGTGGACAGACCGTTTAGAGTCAGCGGGCTCAAGATTCGAGCATCCCTTCTTCCAAGCCAATTGTATGTTTGTCGGTGAATTCTTTTGTTTAGTCATTTTTATTTTATGGTACTTGTATCGAGGTGAAAATGGAGCCAGACTACAAAAGTTTAATCTATTTTTGTTTGCATTACCTACAATTTGTGATATATCTGGCACTTGTCTTCAGTATACTGGATTGAACTTGACTACTGCTAGCAGTTATCAAATGCTTGGGGGTGAGTTGTTTTTACTTTTTAATATTTGTTTTTAGCATAGAAATAACTTTTTTGAAACAATCATATCATTATAAATAGAAAATATTACTAAAAGTTTATGAAAAATTTATTTTATGCTTTGTTTTTACTTTCTTTCGTCAATTCTTAAGTAAAAAATTTAAAATATGACAAAACTAATTAAAAATTTTAGTAAAAAAGCTAAGAAAAATATTTTTCAATATGTCTACTTTACTTTTCATTAAGTTTTAAAAAAGAAATTCTTTTTAACTACGCAAAAAAAACAATTGCATTGGCCGGGAATCGAACCCGGGTCGCCCGCGTGGCAGGCGAGCATTCTACCACTGAACCACCAATGCACATTTTGAAAGGAGAAAATTAGAGATGAAAAGAATGACAGAGGTGTTAAATAGACTTAAAAATAGCTTAAAATTTACATAAGTATTTAAAATAAAATTTTTAATAATTTTCGAAAAAAATACGATTCTAGGTAAGTCTGACTCTATCATAAAGTAAAATTAAGGCAAAAAGTTAAAATTAATTTCATTGAACCAAAAATTTTTTGTAAAATACGTTAAATAAAGCTGAAGTTAAAACTTACAAATTTATAAATAACAATTTCCAGGCTCCGTGGTTCTTTTTGCTGGCCTGCTCTCAGTAATTTACCTAAAAATGCACTTTGCCGGTTACAAATGGCTTGGCATGATATTAGTGACAGCCGGTTTAGCAGTGATCGGTCTCTGTGATATGTACTTTAACGGGAATACGGAAACTGGCAGTGACGTTATTGTGGGTGATATTCTAATAATTATTGCTCAAGTACTGCACGCAGTACAAGCAGTACTAGAACAGCAGATACTGCACAAGTACGATGTGCCACCGTTGTTGGCAGTGGGTTTGGAAGGAACTTTTGGATTCTTGATTTTGTCGGCTATGATGGTACCAATGTACTTTATTACTGTACCAAAGACCTTTTCACATAATCCACATCAAAGGCTGGAGGACATGTTTTTCGCTTTGAAACAGATTTCTGAAGAACCTTTGATTGCCGTTGGGTTGATGGGATTGATTGTGAGGTAAGAACTAAAAAGTTGAAAAAGTCTTGTAGTTTTTTAAGATGGATTTTCACGTCTAAAAAAACTTTTCAAAAATTCATGTTTTAGTATTGGCTTCTTTAACTTCGCTTCGATATCAACTACCAAAAGAATGAACGCTACTACCAGAATCATCCTAGAATCGAGTAGAACACTGATTATCTGGATGGCTTCTATTCCAATGTTTGGAGACAAATTCATTCCTTTGCAGGTAAAATTTGTATGAGGGAGATAGAGGGGAGAAGGAACCGGGGATTTTAATATAAAAACAAAAGCAAGAAAAATCTAACCATCACTTAACCGAGAAAATACTTTACCGTAGAAATGCTTCACCGGAAGAATACTTCACCGGAGAAATGCTTCACCAGAGAAATAGTTCACCTCACCAGAAAAATACTTCACCGGAGAAATACTTCACTGGGAAAAATGCTTCACCGGAAAAATAGTTCACCGGAGAAATAGTTCACCTCACCGGAGAAATACTTCACCGGAAACATAGTTCACCGGAAAACCAGTTCTCCGGAGAAAAAGTTCACTGGGACAAATACTTCACCAGAGAAATAGTTCACCGGAGAAATAGTTCACCGGAGAAATACTTCTCCGGAGAAAAAGTTCACTGGGGCAAATACTTTACCGGAGAAATAGTTCACCGGAGAAATAGTTCACCGAAAAAATAGTTCACCGGAAAAATAGTTCACCGAAAAAATAGTTCATCGAAAAAATAGTTCACCGAAAAAATACTTCACTGGGACAAATACTTCACCAGAGAAATACTTCACCAGAGAAGTAGTTCAAAACAGGGGGTAAATTTCTAGTGCACATCTTGCTTCACGGTCTCAGAAATCGTGTTTTAAAGACGTTCAAAATGCCCGTGTAAAGTGTCTTTTCCGACTAAATCGGTTATGCTGAGTTCAGCAAAAACTATAGTTTTTATGTTTTGGTTATTACTTACAAGGAAAGTCCGACCTGCCTCGCTCTGATTGACTTCAAAATTTTTATATAGAAAGATCATATAAATATAAGATGTTCAGCAAAGTACTAAATCGCGCTTTCCAGGAAACCTCGAGAAAATCGAGATTAAAAAATGACATTTTGAATTTCCCGCCAACTTGGCATTGTGTTTCAAGCTTGTAACTTTGCCATTTTTTGACTTTTAATAGTTTTTCTTTGATATACTGGTAGATAACCTTTAAATGAACTTACATTTTTAAATTTGTAAGCGTATCTTGTCTGGAAAGCCGAAAAAAGTGCTTGAAACACAATGGCAAATTTGCCAAATTGGCGGGAAACCCAAATAATTTAAATTTAAAACTCAAAAGCGCGAGCTAAAATTTTTTATGGGTACTATTGGTAGTACAAAGAATTCATATAAAAATTTTGATTCTGAGCGGGGCAGGTAGGGTACTTTCCTTGTTAGTGTAATAATTTTACAATTTACTAGTGGAAAAACATAAATAGTTTTTTTTAAACTCAGAAATTTTACCTTTCAACATATTCAAATGTAAGAACTGCGCATTCGTTTATTTCCATTGTCATTCTTTGTGTTGCTTTTTGGAGCTGATTATCACGACGGAAGTCAAGCGGTCGTCTTTCAGGTAATGCCTATTTTGTAAAATTGAAATAATTCGAAGATTTTCAGTTAAATCATATGTCTGAGGGTTTTTATCATACAGTTTATTACTTGATTATCAATTTTAGACATACATAATAGATATCAAATAGACCAAAATGTATAAGCCTATAGAGTCACCGCTTGATACCTTCCCCCTCATACGACTGCCAGCTGAGCGCGGCATCAGATAGCCTACTTAGGTGCGCTTCCTTAAGTTATCCTTTTTAAATAATATTGTAAATTGTGAAATATGCTATCAAAATGCGCATAGATCAAGGTATCTATACGACAAACGGCCACTCAAGGTGAAAGTCGCCGAAATCATCAGAGATATAATACAAATTTACGCAAACAATGGAATTTTTTTTTACCATCACCGTCAGTTGAGAGCGAAGATACCTTATAACCCAGTTACGATTATCAGACCATGTCCAAAGAAATGATATTGTGGCCTCGCTTGATGGATGGATAGAGTACCAAACTGAAGAACGACAGGAAAGTGTAATTGGTTGTTTACGAATTGTACAAAATTAAGGTTAGACTTGTGCACCACGTAATATATTCGATCGTTGAATTCGTACTGTAGGTTGGAGTGATACGATTGCCATACCAGGCTTAGTAATTACGGTTGGCCTAGCTCCCATGATTACACCCAAAGTCTTGTCATTAACGATGATAACAAAGGCAAGTGGGCGCGTAGCAAACAAGAATTTTTACGCCAGGGTTGTAATTTGGATAAAGCTTCGTCCATTCACTTCCAATGCGGACTCATCAAAGCGGGACATCTTGAATTCTTAAAATCTAAAGATATAGCACGTAAACTACGATTACGTATGTTCCCGTCAACGAAATCGATGCATTACGACTTTATTTGCCGTTATTTCTTGACCTCCAATGACTGCACTCTCATTCACGAACATTTTGAAGTTCACATCTTCCATTGCTACCTGAAATAATTTGCACCGCTGTGCCTATGCGGAAGAATTTTTTCCACCCTATCGCCTGCCACGTAGTGATTGAATTTTACGTATTCAAGAACAGCCTTCCCCCTTTACCTTTGCCTCTTTACAAGAATATAATTACCTATAGGAGTTATGAATGCTAGACTTTGAGTTGAGTTTCGAACACTTACGTTTCATCGTCCGCATGTACGGATATGAGATTATCCTCTGATCTTGGCTTCTATTATTCTGATCCTACGCTTGTCTTCTATTATTCTGATCCTACGCTTGTCTTCTATTATTCTGATCCTACGCTCTGCGCTTCTACATCTCTTGGAGCTTCTCCATCGGCTATTAGTTCTACTCCGACTTCTTCTACCAAAGGTTCCAACTTTGGTAGAAGAAGCCTTTCTCCGCCGTCGGCTCGATCTGAACTTCCATGTGTTCTGGTGGCTGACCTGGCTGTTTTTCTCTATTTTGATTATTGACCTCCATTGTCTCCACTGGCGGTGTGTTTTCATCCTGAAAAGTTGCCAAATTGACAGATTCAACGCTGTTGTTATTGTTGGCTTCAACGGTGTTCAATTCGTGTTTCTGGGCCGAACCATTGACTTTGAATGTGGTTGGCGAAATTTACCACCTGCTCAAAGTACGCACAGTGGCACGGATTCCGGGTCTTAGATTTTCCCAAACTGCAAGCGCAGTTGTACGCGGCAGATGTGGCAAACCTCTTACTTTTTAATATAGTAGTAAATTGTAAGTCTAGTACCATTTTTGGAATTCTGGCGTATCTCTTAATGCACTGCTGCCACATTTCTTTTTTAAATTCCATTTTACGTTGTTATAATAATGAAAGTAACACAACTCGTTGTTACAATAACGAAAGTAACACAACTCGTGCGCACTTTCAGGGAACACTGTCTTTACTGAATTTATTACGGCTTCACAATCAGTAACAATGTATTGTGGAGTTTTGGAGACGTGGGAATTTGCCTACGTCTATGCGTATGTTGTGCTGATTTTGTTACTCATCAAAATCACAACTCAAAACATAATGCATCGGTTTAAGTTAACTAGAGTAAAGAAAATTTTATTTAAAATTAACATACCTAATGTTATAAACCGTTGGTTTTTGTTTTCTTCTCTAAAACAGCTCCGTATACTGTATGCTTGCATAAACTGTTTGGGTACCAATTCAAACGTTCCATTCATTATTCAGGCTGTACTATTTGCAAAAGCTGCGGGTCCGTAGATATTGGCCATACAAATAACGTAATATATTGGCCATGCCAATAACGTAGGATATATGTATTAGGTGCTGTTCGTAAAGTTAAAACCTACGTCTTAGACTCGGAATTCTTCTGGTAAGTCGCCTCGGTTTTTAATTTCTCCACGGTACATTGAAGCTACGTTTGATGGTGTATGTATGCATTCCCATAAAACACTTAACTGTATGTAAATGAATTTCGGCCATGTAGAGTTATCTACGTTACATCGAGAAATATTGATTACAATTTATGTGTCAATAATACAAGCAACCAATCGCTTTTTATTACGACATTGCGTATAGAATGATATAGAGCCACCGCTTCATTAAACACGGCCATTTTTATCACTAATTTCCTTGTGCTATGTATGTCTTTCTAAGCGCATGCATAAGCCTTTATAAACACGTGCAGGGCCAAGCAAGAGCTTTTGGTCTGGGAGCGCGGTTTGAAGAAATCCACAGGGGGGACCAAGTTCAACTTTTTTCGAAAGTTTTTTCTGGGGGGGGTTTCAAAAGATAAAATAAAAAAATATGAATAATATTCTTACCTTAGCACATAGAAACAAACTCCTTCAATAATAATACGTACCATATGCAAAAAGAAATAAATGTTCAAAGTGAAAAAACTGGTATAGTAGCTGGCACTGTAGGCTCGCATAGCAGACTTCAGGTCTTTAGAATAACTTGAGAAAACATTCTTTACACCAAATGAAATGAATAAGTTTAACGAATAAGCTATTCTAAAAATTTAATGCATGTTTATTTTAGAGACGCAGACGCAGTTGCGCCAGAGCGTCCTAATCAGTTACTTGGGACGCTTTAAAGCGCTCCTTTATAAAATATATTAAGCGCTAAAATAAAATTATGCCCAACTTAGTCGGTAATGACACTTCATATGTTTAATTAGGGCAATATACATACTTCAGTAGTATTATACTGTAAGAGGTTTACAATTTTACTCTTAAGCAGTACACAAAAATTAATATTATTTTTATGACTAAAAAACTACATTTTCTCTACATTCCCCACACTGGATTCAATTGGAAAAGGCACTATACACATTTATTTTTAACAGATTTTGCCTAAATATTAAAGTAATATGCCAAATTACCACGGTAAACAGTAAAAGAAATTTAAAAGTAACATTTTTCTGAACTCAGCGCTCTCAATTAAAACGGAAAAAACACTTTGCACGTTCATTTTGAATAATTTAAAAATTATACTATTATATAGAATCACCCCTGGCAAAATTTTTTTACCTCTGCCCATTTTTTTTTTGCAAAAAACCATTTTTATAGCCTATTTTTAAGATCTCCACCTCCTCCCTCACCATAAAACCTTTTTCATCACCCATAGATTGAAAAACGTATTATTCATATTCGTTTTCAGGTACTAGGCTTCATACTATTGGTACTAGGCGTGTTCATCTACAATGACGTACTAGTTGGACCAAAAGTAAGACAACGTATTTTGCCTTACTTTGATGGAAGCCCAATGGCATTGTGTTGTGCCAACTTCTGGAGACCTGGAGAGGAAACAGCTGAAGAAGAAGACTTACTTTTCAATGGAGAAATGTAGACTTTAAACTTGAAATTTGCTTTATATTGTTATTGTTAGGAATAAAATAAATTTATTTTAAAGCGTTATGGCATTTAATAACATATTTTAAATTGTTCGTAGTACTTATATTTTTTGTTTTCTATACAAAACTCACTTTACAATGAAAAAAAAACGCTTAAAAATGCCATTTTTCCATTTTTTGGTGGTTTTGGTCGATTTTTAAAGAAAAAGCTCAATTTGACCAAAGCATATAAACAAAAAATTAAAAATTTAGCAAAATACGTTTTTTAATCTTGGAAGACATAATTTGCAAAATTATTGTCACAGAAAGCGCAAAAAAGCATTTGCATTGGCCGGGAATCGAACCCGGGTCGCCCGCGTGGCAGGCGAGCATTCTACCACTCAACCACCAATGCACGTTTTTAAAAATTATAATATTAGATATGAAAAGACTGTAATAACTTGTAAATAAGTAAAGTAAGGTTGTGAGAAAGTTTAAAAAAGCTAAAAATTTATTTTTTTTTGTAAAATACGTTTATATTTATCCTTTTGTTTAATATAACATAACGGACAAAACAAATTGCTCTTGTATTGGTTTGGTTCAGATTTTATATAAATTTTTGAAAAATTTTGAAAAAAGTTTTTGGTGTGTGGTTTTTAAGAATTGTATTTTACATGCTAGAAGTAAAATACTTTTTATTTTATTTTATAATACTTTTCAAAGTTTTGCTAATTAAAACCCTACTTCCGTGTTGCATATCAATAAAATAATGACTTTTTTGGATTGTTATACAACCAGTTTCATATTAAAATGATTTTTTAAAAAAAATTGTTTTTTTTTAAAATATATATACTCTGTATAGAAAGAAAAAGTAGTTAAGTAATTTTTACTCAGAGAAGATATGGTAGGAGAGGACAAAGTAGAGTAGGGTAGTGCACTATAGTGGAGTTTCGGGTTCGAAGTTCGTACAGACGAATAAAAGGAATAGGGCAACGTTAGGTAAACTAGAAAAATTTTGGTTCCTTGTTTGTGGTGTTTACCTTTAATTTTTTAGCAAAATTTCATATTACAAATGCTTGAAAAAGTCTTGTTGTTTATCAAGGAAGGAGAAACCCCCTGTAAATTGACAACAAGGATATTGTATTGCTTTACTAGGAACATATTTTTTAAAAGTTCATTTTTAAACCATGTTTTTGCGACCAAAACATGCGAACTTTTTAAGTTTATTTTGATGGCTAAAAACCTATAGTAAGTATAAAGAGTCGCTCGGGGAGTTGAAATTTGTTCGTTATCAAGGAGTTTCGGTATAGAGAAGTTTCAAATGCACTGTGTAGTGTTAGCTGGGAATTTAAAATTTGTTCGTTATACGAAACTTTTGTTATAGAGGAGTTCGTTATACAGGAGTTCTTGTATATGAAAATCTAAAAATTTTCAAGTTTTTTTAAATCGCTTTATGACAAGTTTTATAACAAAAAATCATTTTAAAAGCTATATTTGATGTTATTTTTTCAAACATTACTGCGTCATGACAGCCTATAGTTGATGTGTTTTCGAGTTGCTTTTGGGTGTATTTTGAGAACATTATCCGTCTGTTCGAACTTCGAACCCAAAAGTCAAAAAGCACTTTGTTTTTTGTATTAAAAAGTCTTTTTGGATCAAAAGTTTTGTTAAAAAATAAAAAGTAAATCATCTGGAAACTTCTGGATTGGAATTTAAAAAAGTTTTGATAACAAATTTTAAATAGGTGGGGGCAAATGGAATCAAAAATAGTTTGGTTTTAAAAATAGTTAAGCTTTTTAAGTGCAGCGCGTTTTTAAATATAAATATCAGAATTTTAAAAAAGTTTAGTGTGATGACAAGAACGACCTTGTATTTTTTTACAGTTAACAAGCTTAAAATTGTCAAAAGTGGTCAAAGAATAGTAGCATAAGAAAGAGTAAAGTAGTGTCAAGAAAGGTAGGATAAGCTTAATTAGGATAGAGTATGGTAGAATAATGTAGGGCATGGTAGCAAGGACAAGATAGGTAACCTAGGGTAAAGAAAGGTAGGATAGGCTCAATAAAGGCAGGGTTTGCTATGGTAAAGAAGAGTAGATTTTCATACGATAGAGTAGGGTGGGGTTGTATATGGTAAGATAGGGTATGACAGGAAAGGGTAGGGTTGTTTTATCTTTTCCAACTTACGCAACGTAAAGTTTTTTACTATAGTGGCAATTATCCCTAAAATTAGAGAGGTGGTAGAATAAATTAAGGAGACATAAAAAAGCATCTTGTTGGACTTACCTTTTAGAAATGCAATTTTGTTTTTAGGGAAGCGGCTTATATTTAGCCCTTTTGAAGACTTCAGAAGCTGAATTTGGGTTCTGTTTTAAATTTCTGTTGCATTTTTTAAACCGATTAAATTTGGAACTTAAAATTGAAACTTACGACTTTTTTCATGTTTATTTCAATTTTTCAAAAAAAATATTTTTTTTTAAAGTCTTTTTAAAGTTTTTAAAGTTTTTTTAAAGTCTTATGATTTTAGGTGCCTATTATTAGGTTTTCTTGTCGCATTTAGCTGTTAATCTGCTTGATCTAAAGCCAACACAAAAAATGAACTTTTAATCACACGGTTCATCAAACAGGTTTGTTTTTTTATGTTAAAATAAACTTGAAAACAACAAACTTGTAAGTATGGTTATATGGATAATGTTGGGTAGAGTGAGGTGTTTTAGAAAAAGCAATTTAAAAAAATTATAGACCGCAGTCCGAGCAAGCGATTCGATTTGTAACTGGTAGTGGAACTAATTATTTTTTTTTGAGATTAGGAGACAGGGTTAGACACAGGGCTGGGTACAGGACTAAATGTACCCGACATGGCATAGAAGGAAAGAAGGGCACATGGAAGACCACGGAAATTTGTCAATGAACTGTCTTGTGTATTCTTTTTTTAATAATAGGGGAGGGGGAGGGGGAATCTTTTTTTAAGAATAGGGGGGGGGGACGCGGCGATCAAATATAATTTTTTTTAATTGTTTTATTGTAAAAATATTTTTAAATTAAATTTTGGAAAAGCGAATTTTTAAAAATTATTTTACTTTTTTTATTGTCACGTTTTTACTGATAAGTATAGTATGTAATAAACAAGACAGAATGTTATTACTTTTTTCGAAGCACGTAAATGACTTTTAAATATTCGTAAGAAGATAACGATTCCTATCAATAAAGAGATCAAGTTTCGTCTTTTGTTATTATTAGGTTTCGACATAAAGAATCCGCCATTTTTTAAAAGAAATTATAGGAAAAGTATGGCGGGTTCTTTATGTCGGCATTAATAGAATCGGTAGGGTAAAATAAGGTAAAATGGTATATGTGAAAAAAAAGTGTTGTCGTTAATATATATGGGTTTTCGTTATGAAAAACGACAAAACTTTTTTGTTAATTTTAAATAACAGTTTTTAAAGACAAAGAGATTTGAATACAATAGAACTCCTTTATAACGAATCGCTCGAGGGCTTTAAATTTGTTTGTTATAGGGGTGTAGGTTACAGGACTTGCACTGTATTTCTGAACCTCAAACCTCAAAAAATTGCTAACCTGTCAAATCGTCTGTTTATTATAAGTTTTTCTATTGTTCAACTGATTTGTTTGATAAGATTGCGTGGAATTTTGTTAGCCAGGGAAACTTTTAATTTTGAAAAAGATAAATTACTGATATGAGTCCAAGTAGCCAGAAATTTCATTACAATGTAACTTTTTGGAATTTAATAACAATAGTTCAAATTACTAATGTAACTGGGCTTTAAGGTGTATTATAGGCTTGTGGGGGAGGGGTGGGGTAGATATGCTAAAAAGGCGGGGTAGATTTGGGAGCGGTAGAGCCAAAAAAAATTTTTTTGAAGCTCTTTAAATTGAAAAAAAATTTTTTGATGAATTTCTTTATCCTCCCCCCTCCCTTTTCCTCGGCCTTTTGTAATTAAACATTTGTCACAATTCTCGATATCTTGTCATATCAATAATATGTTTTAACAAACTCCACATTACTATTATATATTTCAGACATGGTAGGAGTAGCAGCAATATCAAAATCAAATCTAAACTTGCCAAAGCCAAAGACCGATCCGCCTGTAAGTTCTTTCATCTATCTACTAACATCAATGGCAGTAATCGGTGGTTTTCTATTCGGTTATGACACAGGCATCGTATCATCAGCTATGTTATACGTGGTGAATAATCAAAAAATGCGGCCGATTTCACATTTTTGGCAAGAACTTATTGTTGCTATAACACCAGCATTTGCTGCTTTTGGATCGCTGTTTGCTGGAATGTGTGGTGATCGGTTTGGAAGGAAAAAGCTGATTACAGTAAGCTCTATCATATTCGCTTTTGGAGCTGTGATATGTGCAGCGGCGGTTGGAAAAATGTCATTGCTTTTTGGACGGATTTTACTGGGATTGGCTATTGGTAAGTTATAAAAATAAATAAGAACAAGCAATGTAACGTCAAGTAAGGTAAGATAAGGTAGTGTTATAAATACAAGGTAGGCAAGGCAGGGTATGGTACAGAAAGGTAGGTTAGAGTAAACCAGGGCAGCGATAAGCAGTATAGGGTAAGTGTAGGGTATGTGAAAAGAAGGGGGAGGGGTAAATTAGTTAGGGCAAATAGCGTAGCTTAGGGTAAGATAAAGAAAGGTATATAGCATACATTGAGACATGATAGCACAAGATAGCATAAAGTAAGGTAGGGTCCAGTAAAGCAAGGGGTAGGGTAGGGTAGGGTAGGGTAGGGTAGGGTAGCACAACTTTTAAAAATCTGCTCTACCTGAATAAATTATCACATTAATTTAGGAGTAGCCTCAATGATAGTCCCAGTGTACGTAGGAGAATGTGCGCCAACTCACGTTCGTGGTAAATTACTGAGTGGCTTCAATATGATGGTATGTTTTGGTCAAATGGCATCGAATGTAGTGGCAGCTGGCTTTTCATACATTGATGAAGATGAGATCGGGTGGAGGTTGATGTTTGGCTTTGCTGCTTTACCTGCCATTGTTCAGTTCGTTGGCTTCTTGTTTCTACCAGAAAGCCCAAGGTGGCTCTATAACAATGTCAACGAGTTCAGTAGTCGAGAGGTGAGGTTTTAAATTTTTTTAAATTAAACTTTTTTTTTGAAATTTAAAAATTTAAAAAAAATTTTTTAGGTATTAAAAAAGGTATACGCGGAAGACGAGGCTTGGGTTGACTATGAAATTCAAGAAATTGCTGTTTCTCATCAAAACAGCACCATCAACAGTGACCAAAGTGTGTTTTGGAATGTCATATCGACTCGGCATTTACGAAAAGCTCTACTTATTGGATGTTCTCTTCAATTCTTTCAACAACTGGCTGGTATTAATACTTTAATGTACGTTTTCAATTGTTTTATACGGCTTAAAATAGCAAGAACTTATTTTACGAAAAAAATACTGGCAAGAACTTTCTTTACAAAACAAAAAATGGCAAGAATTTTGTTTACAAAACATGAAATGGCAAGAACTTTCTTTAAAAAGCATGAAATAGCAAGAACTTTCTTTAAAAAGCATGAAATAGCAAGAACTTTCTTTCCAGCGCTAAAGCTAGTATTTTAGGTACTACACTGGCTCTCTCGTAAAATCAGTAGGTGTAGCTGACAATCACACCACAATTTGGGTATCATGCATAATCTCAGGAGTCAATTTCATTGGCAATTTTATTCCTTATTTTGTTATTGAGAGAATCGGACGTCGCAAAGCTTTATTGACCAGTAGTTTAGCCGTAGCTTTGACATTAAGCGCTTTGGGCACGGCATTTTTAATGGTGAATCGAGATACAATGGGTACGATAAGTTATGATGAGATGGAACAAATTATTGGAGTGAAAGAGCCGTTAACTGGAGATGAGGCGCTCGCTAGACATTGTTTGGCATTGAGGTAGGATTAAATTTGATTTTAAAATAAAATTTAACAAAAATTTAGTAATTTTAAAATAAAAATTTAATAAAATGTGTTGTGAGGCTTTCGTATTTTACAAAATCTTATTTTTTATCACTTTTGAAGCTTACTTACAAGCCATTAAAGTGTTTTCATATCTAATATTATCCTTGGCGAAGGTGTGCATTGGTGGTTCGGTGGTAGAATGCTCGCCTGCCACGCGGGCGACCCGGGTTCGATTCCCGGCCAATGCAGATGTTTTTTTGCGTTTTTTCAAAGCTTTTAGGTAACAAAACGTTTTCAAATAGGTGTTTGAAAGTTAGAGAAACGTTAATTTTAATTTTTTAATTTTTTTTTGTGTTTACTTTTGGCATATTTTTGGCTTTTTTCTCGAAAAATCGACGAAAATTAGTAAAAAAAGAGTAAACAATGGCATTTTTAAGCGTTTTTTCATTGTAAAATGACTTTTGTTAAAAAAAACAGTTATATAGATACTAAAAGTAAAACACAATATGTAATTTTGTATCATAACACCTACTGTATGTCTTAGAATTCAAAATAGTCTTCAGTAGAACAATGCTTATACCTATAACCTGATTACGTCTCTATATTTGAGAACAGTAATGTAAAGCATATTTATTTGACTTATTTTATTGTAGCGGATATTTGACAAATAATCGCTTTTCGAACGTTTTTTCCACGTTTTTTTTCGAAATGTTTGAGCAAACAGTTAACAACTTTGGGGTTAGAGGGAACGAGCGGTAGTTTAACATGGTGTTTGGTTTACTCAGTAGATGTGAGTCAATTTAAAAAGTATTTTTGTGTAGATATTGGATTTAAATTGGGAGATTTGTGGGATATTGGTTTGGGTTGGTAACTGAAATTACAATTTAGTAATATGGCATACATGGCTGGGAGGGTTAAGTTTTGTTTTTCAATGACGGGGTAGAGGGTGGTAACAAAAAAATCTTAAAGTTGGTTTATACAGGCATTGCCAATGAAGCTATGATTAATTCTAGGGCTCTAGCTAGAGCCAAAGCTAGAGCTAGAGCTGGAGCTGGAATTAGAGCTTGAGCTAGAGCTAGAGCTAGAGTTAGAACTAGAGCTAGAGCTAAATTAAAAATATAATGGACCTAAAGGTCTTGCCTAGAAAACATAATGAACTTAATGGCCGCATCTAAATTCTTCGAATACGTATATAAACGTCATTTTATCATATCTTTACTACTACTCTATCTTGTTTGTAGTTTGCGTGATGACAAGAACACTATAAAATACGTTGAATTTTTAAAGAAATGCACCGGTATATAAGGTTTCAATAGAAGAACTAGGTTTATTATTGTCTAGTCTTCTTTTTTTGGGCTGCTGTATTAGGCTGTTCGGAAAAGAATGGCCGATTAACTCATCCTGTTGGGCTAAAAATTTAATGTAATATACGAGGCTTCGAAATTTTTGTTTTTATTTATATTTTTTAGGTTGTTCAAATAATTATGTGCCTATTAACTTAAAAAATTTGCTTTGATGGGGTGCACAGAATTATTTAAGCAACTTTATTGTAGTTATACAGCCAAACTCATATATAACAAATTGCTCGGGACTTTTAAACTTAAATTAGCTTTGAGAAGGGGCACAGAATTATTTGAATTACTTGATAGTCGACTTAAACCCTTAATACCTTTTGAAGTTGAAAAGTCTTATCTTCTAAGCCTAAAAAAAACTTTTAAAAAAATTTAAATTGCAAACCTTTTTCCCCTTTTACAGTAACTGTGACTACTGTGTAACAGACGACCGTTGTGGCTTCTGTTCAACTTCTGACTCCAAATATGGCCTTTGTCTACCATTAGACCCACTACATCCAGATCAACAATCTTCTACTGGCTTTTGTAGCCCTTCCTTCAACAGTACAGTACCTACAGTATCCTTTTCCTGGACCGACGTGAACTGTAAAACTAAATACACATTGGTACCATTAGTACTAATGGTTGTGTATTTGATGTTCTTCAACTTTGGATTTTCGCCGATTCCGTGGATTCTGAATGCCGAGTTCTATCCACTATGGGCCAGAGGCACTTGTGTCAGTATTGCCACTTTCTGTAACTGGTCAACTAATCTTGTCATATCGCTGACATTCTTATCACTGACAAATCTGTTGACCAGATTTGGCACATTTTATCTTTACTCTGCCATTACTTTTGTTGCCTTCTTTGTTTTCAAGAGCTATGTGCCTGAGACCAAGAATTGTTCGTTGGATGAGGTGGAACAATTGTTTATGAATGAAGAGGATCGACTGTTGATGAGGAATAACATGAAGAACACGTTTGAGAACAGTAGAAAAGCAAAGTATACTGCGGAGACTGATGCTGGGTCCTTTTCTTCGTATCCTGCTTGAGGTTTTTTAAACATATTTGGGTATATGATCTTGTTATTAGCTTTTTAGAAGTTGCACCTACATAGACTCCTGACTTTCGGGTCAGCCTAGCCTGCGTTTTTTGGCCGAGACTGAGCAAACTTCAAGCGGGCTGGGTTAAAGTCTTTGGCTTGGCTTAAAAGCCAGGTCTATTTCTATCACTTTTAAAGTCTGGCAAAAATAGGACATAAAGGGGTTGTGTGTAACATATGACTATTTTGTAAAAAAATATTAGTTTGTACAGAAATTATGCTTATATCATAATACTCTTGTGTATACTTATATTGTGATGTTTATTTTTATACCTCTTAAACCAGTTTCTTATTGTTTTTTGTACAATTTAATAAATTTTTATAAATTTTCATTTTTTCGCATCTCGGTGAAAAAAGTTTTATAATTGCCGCTTTATCTAAAACAATATTTTTTAAAAATTTTTGTTTTTGGAAACTTATTAGACAGTTTTTGTTTTCGCGATTTGATTCTAACAATGAAATAAAATATCATATCAAACGTGTAATACTGCACTTTTTCTATTAATTGTTTAAGTTACAAATTTCGTGTTTATTTACATGTTTTTTAAAAAATGATCTTTGTTCTACACTGCATATAAGTATAAGTATAAAATGTATTTTATTGTAGCAGCTACTCTTTAAAAGTTTTCTTTTTCAAAAAAACCCAAAAAAATATTTTTTTTAACACGGTATGAACAAAACTTTGTTACAGTCCTGGCGCTATTCCTAGCCTAGAACCCTAGCCCAGAGCCTTAGCCTAGAGCCCTAGTCCAGAGCCCTAGCCCATAGCCCTAGACCAGAGCCCCAGCCCTGAACCCCAGCCCTAGCCCAGAGCCCTAGCCCATAGCCCTACCAAAAATTCCTAACCTTAACTCTAGCTCTAGCTGTAACTCTAGCCCTAGCTGTTGCTTACCTCAACCCCTAGCCCTGGCCAATTGTGTAATAATCAATTTTTAAATCTCATTCCTCCCCGTCGTCATTCAAATACAAAAAATGACTCTCACAGTCTTTCTTGTTACCCCTTTGACCCCAAACCCATACCCAACAAATCTCTCTTTTTTATTTTAATTAAATAAAAATTGAAAACTTTATTTATCCGTATTTTACCAAATTTAGAATTTTTGATATTTGATGCGTTTTTTGATTTCCCAAGGAGTTTTTAAAATTTTTGCGAAAATTTAATTCAATTTCTTTAAAAATGCAAGATTCCAGAAGCCTTTTAATGATGTTATTGTAATCACCCGAACAGAATGTTGTTTATGATCGTACGAATGTTTGCTAAATGTTTTATTATTAATATTAATTAGGATCGCATGTTTCCAACGACCATAAAAGCAAATCAATTTGGGGGCATGATAAAGCATGGCATTGTTAATTGACACGTGTTTGTGCACATCTTGTATTGGTTTTAATTAGCGACGCTGAACTCGTCGATATTTGACATTCACGGTTTATTTTTATTTCTGGGTGGGGGGGAGTGGAAAAGTATAAAATCATTTTTTTTGTTAGGGCATGGTAGATACAGAAAATTAAAGATTATAATGAAAAAACGAGGTATGAAGAGCATTTTTAGTTGTGCGGGGTAAAATTAAAATCTTTTTTAGTTTGACACGGTAAAAGCTAAATTTTTTCTGGGTTGGGCGTGGTAAATGTTCTCCTCATTATAATTTTTGAGCGTTACAAGAATAAAGAAAGAAAAAGAAAAAAAACCCCATTCCGCAAATTGGGCGTGGTAAAAGCAAAAAAGCTTTTTTTATGTTGGTCATAGCAAAGATATCAATAACGTTCTTTACAAACAAAAAAATGTCAAGAACTATCTTTACAAATCAAAATATGACAAGAACTTTCCTTACAGAGCATGAAATGGCAAGAACTTTCTTTACAGAGCTAACTTTTGCTGTTTTGAACACAGACTGCGGGCTTCGTGTTGCATGTTATACAATTAAAGCTAAAAATATTAAGAACTTTTCATAGAAAGCATAAAATGGCAAGAACTTTCTTTACAACTTACAAAATAGCAAGGATTTTCTTTACAAAACACAAAATGGCAAAAACTTGCTTTACAAAACAAAAAAAGGCAACAACTTCCTTTAAATAACAAAAAATGGCAAGAACTTTCTTTACAAATATAGAAATAGGTCGTATTTACATTTTTCGTACTTTGACGTTAGAATCTGATCAATAACGTTAACATCACTTCAAAAATTTCAAAAAATATAAAAAGATCATTTTGATGCAAATACGACTTTTAAAAATACTGATCAATAATCAAAACAGGGTATTTCAACTTTAAAAAATATTTTGAAATTTTAAAAATTCACTTTTAAAATTGCGAAATACGACATTTTCAAAAATTTCGTAATTTATGCAAATATGCTTTGCAAGGTAGCCATAAATGGCAGTGGACTTTCGAGTGCACCTCGTGATTGGGATTATGACCATCTACGTGCAAATACGAAGCGTTTACTATATAAATACAATACGTGATTACGCATTTGTACTTTTGTTGACCATTTGCAGGCGTTGGTTGATTTTTAGATGGTAGGGTTGGGTAGATAATAGCTGGTGGGAACGCTTAAAAATTTTGAAAAAAATTTTAAAAGTATAGCGTGAAGAAGAAAGAAGAGTAAATTAGGCAACGATACAGTAATAGTAGGAATGAGATACGCGAAAGTGCAGTAGTAGTAGTATAGAATGAGGCACGTACTGTGGTAGTAATATATAATAGAATAAGGGTGTGGTAGGGTAAACTACAGTAGCAGTAATATAGTAGTAGCATAGGATAAGTTGGGTAGAGCAAAGTAAAGTAACAGTAATATGGGAAAATTAAAGGCTAAATAGTGTATGGTAAATATAAAGTAGAGTGAGGTAGACCAAGACACGGTAAAGCTTGTAAAGTGTGCAAAACTGAAGATACAGTAAGTTTAAAGCATGGTTTACAAGTATTAGGTAAAGTAGAGTAGATTAGGATTAGTAAAGTAAGGCAGGGTAGAGTAGGGAAGGGTAGGGTAGGGTAAAGTAGGGTAAGGTAGGGTAGGGTATTTTCTAAGCTCTATTATACACTTTTTAAAACTTCTTTTTTAATTGTTTCAAAATTTTTAAAAATTTCAAAAATTTATATAACACGTAAACGCACTTTGCACTGACAAATAAGTTCAGTTTTTTCATGCAAAAAATATTTCCTTATCAAAAAATCTTTTTAATAAGGGAAAAGGAATCACAAACGTTATTTTTGTGGTGGACTTAAGCTGATTGTTTTAGGGTATTAAACGGGAAACGTGACTCCATCCGCCTGTTTGTAGCATGTATGCGATTGTTTTTGGAAGTTGTTGGAATGTTTAGACCTTTTTTTGATATTTGTGAAAACTTTTAATTTTCAGTAGAACTTTTGTATAACAAATCTGTTTAAACCAAAAATTTTAAAAATCCGAACGATTCGTTATACAGAAGTGCCACTGTATTATAAAACAATTAATTTTAAAAAGAGGGCCCACTAGGAAGGGCCCAGCTCCGGGTTAAGCCGAAACAACTTTGAAAATGACCGGAACGCAAAGTTTGGTCCGGCTTAGTTTGTATTCATCCAAAGGACTTGACCAAAACGTTATTAAAACCAGATTGTCACACTCCAGGTATTTAATTTGTGATAGGTGTTTTACGACGAAGGGCGGTTAGAAAGCTATCATTATAAAAAGGACGTCATACTGTCGTACAAAAGAGGTTTCACTGTATTTTAGTAAAAATTCATAACAATGAAGATTTCACCAATATTATTTATTATAGTACAAATTTGTTTGTTTTTGTACAAAACTTGCTCCAAAAACATTCTATTATATCAATTATATGATTATATGTACCTTTTGTTTTATTCATGTCCGTTTCTACTTTTTTTCAGCGGAAACAAAAGCCTTCTTGTAAACTGATAAAAAATATTAGTGATTACTAGTTATCAACGATTTTAGGCTTATTTTTCTGAAACGGAAAAAAGAATTAAAGTTCATGTCAAAACTATAATAATATAGCAATTTTTCGTAGACTAGAAATTTTTTGGCTTTTAATGAAAGTTCTTGCCATTTTTTGTTTTGTAAAGAAAGTTCTTGCTATTTCTTGTTTTGTGAAGAAAGTTATTGCCATTTTGTGTTTTGTAAATAAAGTTCTTACATTTAGTTCCGTTCTATCCCATCCCCACCCTTACCTGAGTGACCCTCTGTATCATAGTCAAGTAAAAAACAAAATTTGAAAATTTTTTAAAACTCAAAATCCAAAATTTAAAAATTGCCCTTTACCAGTGACAAAACGCGTGTTTCCAATATTGTTCTTGACTTGATTAGGCTGACTTTTTCAAATTTTGATGGTTATGATTGTTTTAATTGACATGATAAGAAGGGTCAATGATTGTGTCAAGCATTTCGAGAATTCCCGTCTGTTTTTTGAACAGCATGACAATCTTTTCACGGAACGGAACGTTCTGCAACTTTTTGTGATTTTAACTTAGTCTTTTGGCCATACGGAGAAGTTATGACATTTTTCATTGGAAATGAGGATTTTATGACTTTTTTCATTAGAAATGACCATTTTATGCCATTTTTCGTTATATTTGGTCATTACCGACCATTTCGTACTAAACAGTTTCCGTTGGCAAATAAACTGCCATTTTGTTGTTGTTAATTGTGTGTGTTATTTGATACGTCTTATTATTATTGTTTTTGTTTGTTCTTGTGGTCATTCAATATCAATTTAATCTAATAAAAGTTTTTGTACAGTTTGGCTTCTTTTATGACTACAATAACATAGTAATTGAAAATGGAGACATTATTGTAGAAGGTCTTGTTAGTGCTATTAATGGATTAATGGATGGGCAATTTCGGTCTAGGGCTAAAAGTAAGACTAGGGCTAGAGCGGTTAGAACTTGGGCTATAATTGAGACTGGGTTTAAGCCTAGGGTTAAGGCAAGGGATACAGCAAAGGCTAAAGAAGAGTAGAGCTAGGCCTTAGACTAGGGCTTTTGGCTAAGGCTTAAGCTTACGCCAGGACTCACGATATGTCATTTTTTTTTAAATTTCTTTAATTTTACGATGCCGGAGCTACAGATTGTGTTACTTTATCTTACTCACTATTATAATACCACGTGGTTGCTATTATAATAACGTAGAATCTTCTCATATACTAATTGCTCTTGTTTCCGGGTTCGGTATCAAGCTTTATATCAATACGTGCAAAAGCAGTATACTATACTTTACTTTGCATTTATAACATCAAATTTGTTTTTCAGGGCAAAAAAAATTTTAAAATTTATAAAAGATCACTGAAGATTACTTTGAAGACATATCAGTTTCACTTCACAGAGGTTCAAAATGGTGGCTATGAATGTGGTAAGTGCTACAAAGACAGTTTTTTAAAATTTGATAATACAATGGAACTATTATGTAACAAAATCCAAATAACCTAAACCAGACCCGCCACTAAATCTATTAAGTGTAACTCTACTCTTCCAGGTAGCAGACAGTGAATCCGCGATTCCGCGGCCGAAAACCGAGCCAAAACTTGGTAAATTCATCTATTTATTAGCGACAATGGCCGTGATTGGAGGGTTTTTGTTTGGGTACGATACTGGAATAGTATCAGCAGCCATGCTATATGTGCCAAAAAGTGATGGACTAAGACCGATGAATAGCTTATGGCAGGAAGTTATTGTTTCCATCACTCCTGGTAAGATTTATTAAGGTTTTTATGATTTTAAATGGTTTGTCAGGAGTTGTGGTATTAACTTATCTTCCCTAAATACACTATCCTGCCCTACCCTACCCTAAATTGTCCTGCTCTATCTTATCTAGCCTATCCTGCCTCGCCCTACTTCCCACCCTTGTTCATACTTTTAAAATCTAGCCTAGCTACAAACATCTTAACTTATATTGTTATAGGTTGTGCGGGTATCAGCGCCCTCTTCGCCGGTAAAGCTTCGGATGCGTTTGGACGAAGGAGAATGATTGTTTTGTCTAGCATAATCTTTGTTATTGGAGCCGGAATCTGTGCTATAGGAATCGACAAAGTCATTTTATTAATTGGACGAATTTTGCTTGGAATCGCTATTGGTAAGAATTTTTACATTCTCTTTACCAATACCTAAAACAATGGGAAACCACGGTCGCAAATTATGCGTAAAACACAAAAAAGATTAAAACAATCACTTACCTATAAATTCTGAATCTTTTGAACCTAAAACCATGCCGAACTTTTCAAATGTTACCCAAAAATTGACCTAAAACAATATAAAGGTGCTCAGCTATTGGACTAACCCTCAAAACAAATTAAAGCGGCTCCATTTCCTTGTAATAACATCCTTATTACCTAAAAAAAATATTGTAAAGAAAACACTTACCAATCTACTTTTGACATTGTTTTAGCGTTGATCCAACGAAAACTCTAAAAATATTGTCTAAAAACAATCTAAAACAATATAAAACTGGAGATTTTGATAAAAGCTAGAAAAGTTGAGTTATATAAAAATATTTTGCATAAAGTAGACATCATCTACCTTTAAAATTGAAGAGCAATTCAAAGATAATCGCGATATTATCCATGAAAAAAGGTTGCGAAAACGTTTCTCGCGAGAATCTTGGCGAACTTGTGACGGAACGCCAAAAAAGGCCAATTTACCGCGATTTTTATAACTTATTTTTGATACTTTGACAGGGGATTAAAATGGCAAGAACTTTCTTAACAAAACTAAAAATAGCCAGAACTTTCTTTACAAAGCAATAAACGACCAGAACTTTCTTTACAAAACACAAAATGGCAAAAACTTTCTTTACAAATCGAAAAATAGGTATATTGTTTTAAGTACTCAAAAAATATCTATATTTTTTAGGCATTGCGTCAATGATAGTGCCAATCTACGTAGGCGAAGCCTCTCCAGCCCATATTCGAGGTCGTCTTCTCACCGGCTTCCAACTTATGATCACTTTCGGCCTAATGGCAGCCAATCTGATCGCCGGAGGCTTCGCTTACATTGATCCAGAAAACGTTGGCTGGCGACTAATGTTTGGATTTGCGGCCGTTCCAGCTGTAATCCAGTTTATTGGCTTCTTATATCTTCCTGAATCCCCACGATGGCTTTGGGAGAATCGTACTGAAGCCGAAACCCGCGAAGTACTCAACAAAATCTATAATGGTGATAGTACGTGGGTTGAGTACGAGTTGGAAGAGATTCGTACTAGCAACGAGCAAGAGAAGAGAGCACGTGAGGAGCACGGTGAAGGAAGTGTGCTGGGTAGAATTTGGAACACCCCTCATGTACGAAAAGCACTGATAATCGGCTCAGCACTACAAGCCTTCCAACAGTTGTCTGGTGTGAATACTATCATGTACTATACGGGTACTATCATCAAATCAGCGGGTGTTAGGGACAATCACGACACCATCTGGATGAGTAATGCCACTTCTGCTTTCAACTTCTTCTGCACTTTCATTCCAATGTACCTGGTGGAGAGACTGGGACGGAGAGTATTGTTATTGGTCAGTATGATTGGTGTTATAGTGTCACTATGTTTGTTAGGAGGGTCTTTCTTTATGATCAATCACGATTCGGCCAAGAATATACCGTTTAACGCTTCGTCGGAAGAGTTGGCTATTCATTGTGCTAAATTATCGTAAGTTTTGAGGATTGAGACGGAATGCCAAAATCAGGGTGTTATTTGGAAGGGCGTATTTTACAAAATATGATTTTAAAAATGGCACTTCAGGTTTAAAAATGATTATATTTTATAGAAATTTAATTTTCTTAGTTATGTTTGGCGGTCTCAAGCTTAAAAATTAAAATTCAGGGTTTTCGTGGTGGGACCCAATTCTAGATATGTTTACTACATATAGTAACATTTAAACCTATGCTACTGTTTACTTGTTAATTAAACAGTATTACTACAAGCGCTTTTTAAATTAAAAAAAGAGAATAAGGGTTTTCGTGGTGGGACCCGTTTCAAATTCTAAAACTTTTATTGTAAAATACGTCCACCGCCAACCGCCTATTCTAATACAACTTTAATTTCTATTACAGAAACTGTGACTACTGTGTAACAGATGAACGATGTGGCTTCTGTGCTCCACGCTACGATCATGACGCTGGTGGCTACTGTTTACCATTAGCTGAGGATCATGGTGACGATCTGTCTACAGTTGGTATTTGTTCTTCAGATAGTGGTAGTCATTTTCACAATGGTACAGTTGATGGTGAGACAGTCGAGTATGAGTGGGCCGATGTATATTGTTACACTTCTTGGACATACTTCCCTATCATACTTATGGTCATTTACTTGTGTTGCTTTAGTACTGGTGAGTCGGAATGAAGGTTTTTACAGGTTTAAAGGCATTTCAAATTAGTTACGGAAAAAAATTTTAAATTTTGAAAATTTTCAAAAAATTTTAAATTCTGAAATTTGATACTAAAACATACAGTAATCCATATAAATTTTAAAAAATTTTAGGATATGCCCCTTTGCCCTGGGTACTGAACGCCGAGTTTTACCCATTATGGGCCAGAGGTCAATGTGTATCTATCACGACGTGCGTCAACTGGGTGTTCAACCTTCTCATCTCACTTACATTCTTATCACTTGGACAGGCTGTTACTAAATTTGGTAAGTTTTTTCAACCTACCCTACCCTACCCTACCCTACCCTACCCTACCCTACCCTACCCTACCCTACCCTACCCTAACCTACCCTACCCTACTCTACTCTACCCTACCTTACCTTACTCTATCTTATCATCTTCTACTCCACTCAAGTCAAGAAAAAACGATTTTGCTTTTGCGTCTTGAACAGGTTTTTGGCGTTTCTCAAATAGCGGAAAAATATTTTTTCTTCTGCTTTTCTTTTTCGAAAATGCCTTTCGGGTTTATTATTAATGTAGTTTCGAGGTTTTTTAAGGATAAAGAAGATAAAAAAAATGCAACGATTAAGCATCCATATTAAATAAAAAAGAAGGTAAAATAATTTTCTGAGGAATATCCCGCCAAAAAATTAATGAAAAATTTCTGCATGGATAATATGAAACTGATATCTTTTGATAACTCAAGTTCTACTCCATAGAATCAGACGAGTTTATTATCAAATTATTCCTTATTTCCTTATTAATCCAACGGTTGCTGCCGCTATAGCTGCTCATGTGCTCGTTGCAAAGTTATGACGTATTTTAGAGTTTGGAAAAACGTATTTTTAATATGTATACCAAATTTTTATTAAGCGCTCAAACAAAAAGAGAATTTTTAAATTAGGGAACTGAAGTGTTGCCTTTTGGTGCTTTGCTTAGCCCTGCCCAGCATTGTCTTGCTGTGCCATGCCCTGTCCTGCCTTGTTTAGTTCTGCTCTGCCCTGTCCAGCTATGTCTTTTTCTGCCGTGCCGTTCCCTATCCCTGCCAATCTCATGTTTTTGAAGTTAAACTTGACTAAACTATTAATTTCAGGTGTATTCTTCCTATACGCTGCCATAACCATGATTGGGTTGATCATCTTCTACTTTGTTGTGCCGGAAACCAAGGGTTGTTCTTTGGATGAGGTGGAAATGTTGTTTATGACAAAAGAAGTTAGAGAGAGGAAGCGGGAAGAGATAAGGAGGCGACAGTTGTCACATCATGACATTGGGCTGACTAAGGAGCAGTTTTAAGGTTACTGTAGTTTTTTAAGGGGTATGGTAGTCTATCGTAAAGCTTGGAATTAGCCCCAAAAGATACTGTAACATTACGGTACTGCAACAAAACTTTTATAAAGTAGTAAAAAATACAGTATTCTTGCATTATTTTGCAAAAATACAGTATATATTGTATATTGGTACTATATAGTACCACATACTAAATAGTCCCACTTTTTGTTACAGTAGCCTAATATTCTTTTCGCATTCAAACTTGTATATTTAAGACACGTGTATTTACATCTATTTATCGGTCTACATATATTTTTACTGTTATATATTGTTGTTATCCTACTACTAGTCAATTTTAAAAGCTCATATACCAAAGTTCTGGATTTTTATTTTTATTTGTAAAAGATATTTGTTACCTTAGACAGTAAAGTAGCTATAGTTTTTTACACGTTTTTAGTATTATATCATACTAGTTTATAGTAATATTTATAGTACTTTAGTATTATACTGGTTTATATATAATAATTTAGTTGTATTATCCAATTTGTTGTTTTATGCTTTAATAAATATCTATAAAATTTACAAAATTAGGTTTAACAATCAAAATTGTTTCAACAGCGACTTCATCGTATTTTACAAAAAAAAACGTTTAAAACTATTGTACAACGAATTGACAGTTATATGTTGGCCTTTTCTTAAAGATACACTAACAAAGTATTATTATGCCATTGGCGTAACTTAGCCTTACCGTGCCTTACAGTACAGTAAGAGCTAGACTAAAATAGGTCTCAGATCATATTAGGGTTTTTGATCCTAATAAGAGAGTGGCACCAAATATTCCTCGAGTTTTAAGATTGGCAAATTGTAATAAAAAATATTTTCTAATTAAAATATTGTTTGACTAGACAACATGTCTCGTCATAGCAAAACGTAAAAAAAATGGGCGGGCCACGGATTTATCGCACTCTAGACCCCACCTTATCTTACAAGGAAATTACCTGACCTGCCCCACTCAAAATCAACTCAAATTTTTCATATGAATTCTTTGTATCACCAATAGTACCCATAAAAATTCAGCTTGCGCTTTTAATTTTTAAATTTGAATAATTTTGGTTTCCCGCCAATTTGGCATTGTGTTTCAAGCACTTTTTTCGGATTTCCAGACAAGATACGCTTGAAAATTAAAAAATGTAGGTTTATCAAAAGGTTTTCTACTGGCATATCAAAGAAAAATAATTATAAATCAAAAAATGACAAAGTTACAAGCTTGAAACACAATGCCAAGTTGACGGGAAATTCAAAATGGCATTTTTAATCTCGATTTTCTCGAGATTTCCTGGAAGCGCAGTTTAGTACTTTGCTGAAGATATTATATTTACATGACCTTCCTATATAAACAGTTTGAAATCAACCAGAGCGGAGCAGGGCGGGCACTTTCCTTGTTATATTCTACAATAGCTTAGGCCCTGCCGTACCCTAAGCTCTACTGTACCCTACGCTTTACTGTACTTTGAGTTCTATTCTAACTTAGTTCCTACCTTACCATAACCATGGCCTTACTCTAAACCTTAGCCTAGTAAAATTTGTAACCGAGAAAGAAAAACGCATGTTTGTGCGTTTGGATTTAATATTCAGAAAATTTTCACCCTACTCGAACATAATTTAACTTATTAAACCTATTATAAAATTTCCGACTAAAACTGTTCTGCCATTTTCAACAAAACAAAGGCGAAATCCCTTGCGCAACCGCAAAAAATGACCGAATTTGGAGGTCAAGGCTCTAATTTGCGACGATTCGAGAATGAAATCTCAGCAAAAAACATAAAATGGAGTCGGAAGAAGTAAATGAATCCGAACAGAAATTACGAAAATGGCTAGTTTTCGGCTATCGATATGCTTGGGCGGTGTTTTTGAGCTGGCAAATGTTCGATTTCTTGTTTAGTCCGATCTGGATGCATGGCTATCTTTGGTAGGTTTTTTTGATTTTAGGTAATGCTTTGAGTGTTTTTAGGTTTTAAACGTAATTTTTGTATTTTAAATAGTATTTTCGGCTATAAATTTACTTTTTTTTTGAAACTTTTAAATTAGGTAACAAATTTTTGAAATTTCAAATTTTAGGTAACAAATTTTTGAAATTTTTAATTTTTAGGTAACAAATTTTTAAAATTTTTAATTTTTAGGTAACAAATTTTTAAAATTTTTAATTTTTAGGTAACAAATTTTTAAAATTTCGATTTTTAGGTTACAATTTTTTTTCTAAAATTATCAAAATTGAATGTTAATATTGATTTTAGGTCCCTCAATTTACCCATTGATAACGACTTTAGTGACAAATCAGCAGGTTATATTATAGATCATCAGCTGAGAAGAGTTGGTCGAAAGGAGCGCTTGTTCGACAGTTTTTTGGTCGTTTCCTTTACTATTTTAATATTAAAGCAAGTTTTTTGGATAAAAATTCATACATTTAAAAGTAATTCCTGAAACAACCGTATTTTACAAAAAAAACGATTTTTAAATATTGTTGTAGTTTGAATCATGAGCTATCAATACCTAAATCAATGTTTTACATTCGACTTCCAGGCTCATAGGCTACGCTGAACGGAACTTTACCGTATGGGAATTACTTCGGATTTCCATGATTTTGGGCGCTTTCGCATCTTTAGCAAGATGTACTCAAACAAAACAACGACTGTTTACTGTTCTACACGACGTCTTTTTTATATATTTCAACATCTTCACAACTGGATTGATCATGACTATGCATTTACCTGAGAAAGAGCAAAAGGAAGAGCAAGAAGGGTAAGTTATGCTATATCTAGTGAAGATTTAAAGTTTACAAGAGAGTAGCACCAAATCCACTTCGGGTTTTATAACGACCTACTATATGGGAAGAAAGAGCATCTTATGAGCCTATGATGCAGTAGCGGCTAGAGTAGGAACTGTTCGTTATAAAAGAGTTTTGTTACAGATGCGTTCATTTTCATGAGTTCTACTGTGTATTTTTAGAAAGGAATTGGAAGATGAATTGTTTACATTATCAAGTCATAACCAAGAAGAGACAGAAGAAGATGCAGAAGTGAAAGAACAAAACGAAGAACAGCTAAAGCTAAATGACCAAGTTATAAAGCAAAATCTCAAGGCAACTGCTTTCAATAAAAGCTCGATTAGAAAACGATCAGTAGTTTCTGGATAAGTTTAGATACAAATCAAATTTTAAAATTATTAAAACACAATAAATGATTAAAACAAAAGGGCAATTGCAGTTCGTATTTTACCTTTCCCGTAAACAGTTACTTCCGTTCAGACATACGGCACTGTTAATTATTATAAAATTTGTGCCTTAGACCTGGCCTAACAAGAAAAGTACCCAAACTGTCCCGCTCTGATTGACTTCAAACTTTTTACATAGAAAGATCATGTAAATTTAAGATCTTCAGAAAAGTACTAAACCGCGCATTCCCGGAAACCTCGAGAAAATCACGATCAAAAAATTAGGTTTTGAATTTTTCGCCATGTTGGCATTGTGTTTCAAGCTTGCAAGTTTGCCATTTTTTGATTTTTAATAATTTTTCTTTAATATACTAGTAGAATACCTTTACATGAATCTACATTTTTAAATTTGTAAGTGTAACTTAGCTGGTATTTGTCGAAAAAAGTGCTTGAAACACAATGTCAAATTTGCCAAATCGGCGGGAACTTCAAATATTTAAATTTTAAAGCTCAAAAGCGCGAGCTGATTTTGAGCGGGTCAACTAGGGTGTTTTCCTTGTAAGTTAAAATCTAAAGCTAGAAATAAGGCTACCCAAAGCTAAGGCTGTGCAAAAAAAAGTTTTTTTTTATTTTAAAAATTTGTTCAACTCCTTTTGGTGTTATCCTTTGGTCAAATAAACCAGTCTAGACTTTATTACTACAACATTTTTCAAACGTTTCAAAAAATGCGTTAATTATACCGACACTTTTATGACATTAATGGCGACAGATAAGCTACGTGATCATCCTTTCAACAAAAATCGTTTTAAAATTAAAAAAACAAAAGCTTTAGTTTAAAATTTACTAAAAACACTTTGCTCGTAATGTATGTTTGTTAGTTTTTCGTCAAGGACGAAGCGATAAATAATGTAAACGAAAATGACCATGCGTGTGGTAAGAAGCTATATTTACAGCAATAAATGTGCTTAATATGGTATGAAATCGTAATTTATTTGAGCAGCTTTTGGATTTACAGTAGACAGAGGCTTTAGTCTATTCGTTTTTTATCTTCCCATAGCCACAGCCATAGTCATATTCATAGGCCAGAGCCTTAGTTATGGCCAAAGCTTTAGCCAAAAGCAGCATCCTGAGTCTTGGTCTTACCTTATTCTTAGCCTTAACATCAGTTGTAGCCTTAGTTACTAGTTTTAGCCTTAGCCTTAACCTGAGGTACAAAATGAGCATTAGTCTAAGCATTAACTTAGTCTTTGTCATAGCCTTGGTTTTTGGTGTTAGCCTTAGCCGTAGCTTTGCTCTTTACTTTCAATCTTAGGCATGGCTTTACAAGTCAAGTCTTAGTCTAAGCCTTATCTTAGTGGTAGCTATAGCCATAGCCAGCGCTTTAGCTTTACTTTTAGCAATAGCCGTAGCTTAAGCCCTGTTCTTAGCTCTAGTCTCAGCCAGGACTTGACTGAAAAGTTGAGCTTCAGGTAAACCTTGGCTTAAGCTTTAAATAAGTTTTAGCTTAACCTTTTGCTATGTATAGCTACTTTTTATTACTTTATCAATTACATTAGCTTGATTAAACTTAAAAAATAAATAACTTTACACCCAAACTTGTAACAAATTCTTTAGCCTTTTCCCACTCCCAAGCCAATTTACACTTTCTTCCCAAAAAATCCGGTTTTAACAGTAACTGTTAACAATTACTGCTTAATATTCTCTTATGTTTTCGCCTTATGTTTACACTTATAGTAATTTACAGATGAATGAATCAGCAGTAGTCGCGCAACAGCTGTTTATCTTTTGATTATTCTCGTAACCTCGATGAATGTCATTCCTTTTTGTCTCTGTCGACCGGTTTCGCTTTCCTCTGAAAAAAAACGGTCGTTTTGATTGAGGGAAATGTGATACCGAACGGGGGAAATAATGACTTGAGGTAATGCGGGGAGATTTTCGAAATTTTGATTTTAATGGGATTTTTGACAAGTTTAAAATATGCATATTAGCTTTAGTCTAGCCTGGCCTAGCTTTGTCTAGCCTAACTCAGACTTAGCCTGACCCTGAGCCTAAGCTTGAGCCTGAGCCTGTGCCTGAGCCTGAGCCTGAGCCTGAGCCTGAGCCTGAGCCAGAGCTTGAGTTTGAGCTTGAGCTTGAGCCTGAGCCTGAGCCTGAGCCTGAGCTTGAAATTGAGCCTGAACCTAAGCCTGAGCTTAAGCCCGAGCCTGAGCCTGATCCTGAGCTTGAGCCTGAGCCTGAGCCTGAGCTTGAGCCTGAGCTTGAGCCTGAGTCTGAGCCTGAGTCTGAGCCTTAGCCTGAGCCTGAGCCTGATCCTGAGCTTGAGCCTGATCCTGAGCTTGAGCCTGAGCTTGAGCCTGAGCCTGAGTCTGAGTCTGAGTCTGAGTCTGAGTCTGAGCCTTAGCCTTCGCATTTCATCTGTAGTACTATTTCTTCCTTGCCTTTTACAAAACCTTATCAAGATTTAGCTTTACAGTACTTTCTTTCTAAGTTTTACTGTGCAAAACTCTAACTCTAATTTACCATATTGTAGCATCTTGCTTATCTTAGCATTCACCCCCGCCTTCTTCATACTTCGATTGCGTTTTGTTTAACAATAATACATTGTCCGAATATGAATAAGCCTTTAAAAAATGTTTTTGCTTTTTTTAAGTACCATAACCAATAACCAAGTCGTGTCATAGAAATGCATCGTATCTTTTTTTGAAATACTTTTAAAAATCGACCGCTTTTTTTTCAATTTGTACTTTTGTTTGTAAGTCAAAAAATATTTTGTCACGATATTTGGACAAATAAATTGTATGTTACGACTCAACACTCAATATAACGTATAAGGTTATTTCATTTTTTTGTACTTGGTTGACTATTTTTAACATTATTGTAAAATACGGTCCCTTTGATGAAGCCTTGTTAATTTTAATTAATAAAAACAACATAGCAAATGAAAGTAAAAACGTTCGAAACCTTGTGCATTCCCCACCAGAGTTTCCAATTACTTTTTTACAAAAAGAGATTCATACCTTTCCTAATGAATTACACGTTTCTTTATGTGTTCGAATTTGAATGACCGCTTAATGGACTAAACCAATGAATTTCGCGACAAAAACCGTCGAATTCGACAGGTTTCGGTTGGGGCGTGGGGATTTGAATAAAAAAGTTGGATCGAAGGTTGCATTAGAGATTAGGCGGATTTCGAACGTAATTGAGGGATAAGGGACCTTCAGAAAGTGAAAGGATTCGGGACCTTTAGGGTTTCAGATGTTGGGTGGGGTGAAAGTAAAAGTTTTGTGTGTTGGGTGGGGGTGAAAGGAAAAGTTTTAGTAATTGGGTAGGGTAAAAGGCAAGGTTTTTTAAGTTGGAGAAATGGGTAGGATAAAAATCAAAGTTTTTAAAATTTAGTAGGACAAAAATAAAAGTTTTGTGAACCGGGTGGTGTGAAGTCATTTTTTTTTGAATTCGAGGAGGAGGATAGGATAAAAGCCAAGATTTTTAACATTAGGCGGGGTAGAAATAATAATTTTGTATGTTGAGTGCAATAAAAGGCACAGTTTGATAAATTGGATGGTTTAAAAGTAAATATTTTATATGTTGGGCGGGGTATAAGTAAAAGTTTTATTAATTGGGTGAGGTAAACTTAAATCAAAGTAAAAAGTCGGGCGAGGTGAAATAACTTTTAATATGTGGGGGTGGAGATAGGTGAAAGTTGTTGATATTTTGAAAAACGCCTTTTCTATGGTAAAATACGATCCATAAAGTTTTTCTTTCTTGTTATGGTGATAACGTTTAAAAAAATATTTTTTTAGATGACTAGGTGTCGATGGCCGACACTCTTTCATCACAATATAGCATTAAATTTAATTTTTCTAAGCACGTTGATCTTGCCGGTTCATGGACGTAAGTAATTTTATTTTATACTATTTTTGAAATTAATTTTAAACTTAATTTTAAACTTATGAAGTGTAAAAAGGCATGTCGTGTTTTAGTTAACAGAATTTTACAAAATGGCGACAAGACTTTTTTATAACTTAAATAGCTTTAAATTTCAAATTTTTATATGTTATGCAATACAACTCCTGTATAACAAATTGCCAGGTGATTTTAAATTTGTTTTTTATATACAGAAGGTTTGTTATACAGAAGTTCTAATGTATGTAATTTCAAGATAAAATTTAAAATTTTGATTTTTAGAATTTCGAGACCCATGCGACACATTTGACCTGAGGGCTTGTGATCCAGCAGCTGAATGTGTGAGTGAATTCCCAGGCCAAGCTGATTGTAGATGTCCACAAGGCTATATTGACCTTTCTCCTTCGATTGAAAAGCCTGGCCGAAGGTGCTTGCAAGGTTGGTTTTAAAATGGCATATTTTATCTTAGGCTATTGCAAACTGCCGTATTTTATCTTAAGCTACTGTAAAATGACATATTTTACCTTAGGATACTGTAAAATAACATATCTTTCTATTACTCTCCTTGGGCTAAAGCTAGGACTATCTTTTACAGAATTTTCAACGTATAAATGTATTTTACAAAGTAAAAATTTATTAAAATTACAGTAAGACCCCTGTCAAACACTGGAGACTGCTCAGTTAATGATCCGTTGAGTTGTGATTCTCAAAAGAGTGAAGTCTGTCTCTTTATTGATGGCAGATATCAATGTGCTTGTCCACAAGGCTACAGTAAACTGGTTGACGGCCGATGCTTGGTCATCAATGAGTGCAGTCAAGCTAGACTACATGATTGCGCTCCTAATGCTCAGTGTATTGATAAGGTGATGGTTTTGGCTTTCAAAATTTGAAAAAGAAGACGGTTGGGGTAAGGTAGGGCATGGATTAGATTGGCTGGGGTATCACAGAGCAAGAGTAAAATAGAGCAAAGGAAAAATACGGCATGGGTAGGATAGGGTAGGGTAGGAGTATGATAAGGCGATAGAGTAGGGTAGGGTAGAGTAGAGTAGGGTAGGGTAGGGTAGGGTAGGGTAGGGTAGGGTAGGGTAGAGTAGGGTAGGGTAGGGTAGGGTAGGGTAGGGTAGGGTAGGGTAGGGTAGGGCATATAGTATATAGTAACAATTTTTACTGTATTTCTCACTTTCCAGGACGCCGGCTACGAGTGTCGTTGCTACAACAACTTGGTCGATGTCTCACCAGATCCTCACCGTCCTGGTCGAAAGTGTGTTGGCAAGGTTAATGAGTGTGCTGAGCCAGTAAAATACGGTGTAGATTGTGATTTAGATGCTATGTGTGTGGACAGTGATGACAGCTATACTTGTCATTGTCGTCCAGGCTTCGCTGACATTTCTCATATCTATGGTAAGCTACCTGGTCGAAGATGTGTTGAAGAGATCGATGAATGTCAAAGTGAAGGAATGAATGACTGTTCGAGCAATGCTGATTGTGAAGATACTAAGGAAGGGTAAGTTCTTGCCATTATTTGTATTGTAAAGGAAGTTCTTGCAATTGTGTGTTTTGTAAAGAAAGTTTTTGCCGTTTAAACCCTAATTTCAGCTATCTCTGCCAATGTAAACCCGGCTACGTGGATGCTTCAACCAATGTAACACAATATCCAGGGCGCACTTGTATCCTACCCTCAGCCCTAAGTCGACCAGTCGTAACCTTGGCTACAACAACCTTATCATCTCAACCTCAGTGCACTATTGGCAGAAATGACACATGTCGTTTGAACGAACTGTGTTCGGAAAATAATGGCGTGCTGGCTTGTGATTGTGTAGAAAACGCTTTCAGATTCCGCGACGGTACATGTAGGCTACAGTCAGCGTGCTCTGGTATTACTGAATGTCATCAAAATGCTTTCTGTACTAATGTGTTTGACTCTTATCAGTGCAAATGCAAACCTGGATATCATGATGCTTCTGAAGATAGCAACAAACCTGGACGGAACTGTGTTGAATGTAAGTTTACGTTAGTATAAATACATGTTTACTGTAGCATACTGTAGGGCAAGATAAATAAATGCTGTAAGTTAAGGTTAAGGAAAGCTTACGGTAAGATTAGGGCAGAGAAGATAAGGGTATGAGAAAATTATAGCATAGTTAAGCTATTGAACAATGATGCTTTATGATCTACCGTATTTTACATTACAGTAGAAATTGGATCTAGAGTACGAGAAGGCCGGTAGAGCTTGAAGTACAGTGTGGTCCAGGGCCCGGAAAGGTTCCGGGTACGGTAGGGTTTAGTGTAAAGTAGGGCCTAAGATACGGCAGGGCCTAGGGTACGGACGGAATAGGGTACGGTAATTTAAGGTGGGGGCAAGACAGCAATTTTAATTAATAATTCATTAATTTCAGTGATAAATGAATGCGCAACCGGCCAGCACACTTGCCATCCATTTGCTTTATGTGTTGATGAAGTTATGGGTTATAGTTGTAAATGCCGCTCGGATTATGTTGACACTTCGTCACGTTATGGGCTGGGTCCTGGAAGACATTGTGCTATTTGTAAGTTACTTTTTATTATAAAAATTATTAAAATACAAATTAAAAATGTATAAAAAGTGTCAGTTGAGACTTTCTATATTGTATTTTGACATGTTTTTGTTTTTGAAAAATTCAATATTTTTGTGACATTTCGTAACAAAAATCAATAATTTGTTGCGAAATGTCACAACTTTATTATTATTATTATTTTTGTTTTTTCTTTATTTCTTAGTTAACTTATAAGGTTTTAATAACTTATTTATCGTTTCTTTCAATTATTTTTTAAAGCATTAACATTTAAAAATTTTTTTTTGATATTTTAGGTAACAAATAATATTATTATACATATATAAGTATCATATTGAATTAAAATCTCTGTTTTTAGCGAACAACGAATGTGCCAGTCCAGAAACCAACACTTGCGATCAAAATGCGGATTGTGTCGACCGTCCTGACGGCTACACTTGTCAATGCTACGACGGCTATGTTGATGTATCTTCTTTGGCCGGTAAACAGCCCGGTCGTATCTGCACGGTGCAAACCACATGCCCTAAGCAAACTACTGATTTGATCTTTTTGGTTGATGGCAGTGGATCGATTGGAGTTCATGTGTTCACGAAGGAGATTCTGAGGTTCTTGAAGGAGTTCGTGGAGCTGTTTGACATTGGACCTGAGCATACTCGTGTCGGCTTCATTCAGTATAGTGATCAGATCCGGCATGAATTTGATCTGAACTCGTATGAGGATAAGAAGACACTACAGAATGCGATATTGAACACTGGGTATTTGACTGGATTGACGAGGTAAAATACGCTACTCGGTGATTACGTTGATAAGTTTAGTGATATAGAGTTATTTGAGGGGATATTTTAGAAGTAAAGCTTATGTGTAGTGGGAGTTGAACATGATAAAGGGTATGTATAGTAAGAGTTGCACATAGTAAAAGGTATGTATGGTAGGAGTTGAACATGGTAAGGGGTAGTTAAAGTTATAAAGGCTTATGTATGCATGAAACTAATTATGATGATGGGTACGGTAAAGGTTATAATCAAGGCTTATGTATGGTAGGAGTTGGGTATGGTAAAGATTGGATAATATAATAGGTAGATTACGGCATAGATGATCAGTTTAAAATTAGACTAATTTCTAGCTTAACTATCTCAAATTTTATGATTGGATAGTTAGGCTAGACCTTATAATGTGTATGGGCAACGATTGAAGTAGGGTAGGGTAAAATACGGCACCATCAGTTAAGCTAGAGTAAGGTAGGGCAGGTTTTAAAAGCAGGGTAGATTTTTGTGGCAATACTAGAATTTAAGGTTAGGATAAGTTAATGTAGGGTAGGGCAGGGTAGGGTAGGGTAGGATACGGTAGGGTAGTGTTTTTTATTTTAAAATTCTAGAACCGGAGCAGCGATAAAGCATCTAACAGAAGAAGGTTTCTCTGATCGGCGAGGAGCACGTCCAGCTGGTCAAGCTAGTCGAGTGGCAATCATAATCACTGATGGTAGAAGTCAAGACAATGTAACTCAAGCAGCAATTGAAGCACGCAAGTCGGATGTTAATATGTTTGCGATTGGAGTGACAGATCATGTTTTGGCTTCTGAATTGGAGACTATAGCTGGGTCTAGCAGTCGGTATGGTTAATATTATATTTTTTGTTTTGGGCATTTTTATTACATTTATTGTTATTTCTTATGTTATATAGGTAAAATACGGCTTTTTTACCTGTGCCGGTATATTAATCATGTTTGTCATTTCCAGCTGGTTCTACGTGGACCGTTTCCGAGACCTAGACACTAGACTAAGGTCACTAATCCAGAAGATAGCGTGCCCAGCCATGGAACAACAAATGAAGCCTCAGAACGTATCTTGTGACCCAGGTACTCAACGTGGATGTGATCGTACTCTAAACGAAATCTGTGTTATGAGTAACGGTCGGACACGATGTGAATGTCCACCAGCGTTCGAACGTCATCCAATCACTAGAGCTTGTGGTTCACCTCAATGTAATCCTCAGATCGAAACGAGCTGCCCTTACCCAGAGAAGTGTGCTAGAACACCGTTTGGAACGTACAGATGCATATGTCCGAATGAATATCATAGAGACAGTAGGAGTGGAGTTTGTTGTAGGTTTTTTTAGATTTTTACTTTATCCTGAGCCCTTTCTTTACTCTTCTCTACCCTATCCTAGGTCTTATTGTACCGTAGGCCCTAACGTACCCTAGGCCTAACCGTGCCCTAGGCCCTACCGTACCCTAGGTTCTATTGTATCCTAGGCCCTACCGTATTCTAGGTTTTACCGTACCATAGGTCCTACCGTACCTTAGGCCTTACCGTACCCTAGGCTCTACCGTACCCTAGGCCTTACCGTACTCTAGGTCCTCCCGTACCCTAGGCCCTACTGTACCCTAGGCCCTATCGTACCCTAGGCTCTACCGTACCGTAGGCCCTACCGTACCCTAGGCCCTACTGTACTCTAGGCCCTATCGTACTCTAGGCTCTACCGTACCGTATGCTCTACCGTACCGTAGGCTTTACCGTGCTTTAGGCCTTACCGTGCTCTATGCTTTACAGCATTCTAAGCCATACTGTACTTTAGTTTTTATAGTACTTTTGGCTTTATTAGACCCTAGGCAGTACCCTACCTAGGCCTTGTCGTAATTTAGGCCTTACGTTATTGTCTGCCTTACCGTATTCTAAGACTTACAGTACTATAGGCTGTACCGTGTCCTAGTTAAACAAGATTCACTCTACTTTTAAAATTATTTTTTCAGTGAAAGACGGAACAACACCTCCACAATACCCGGAAGAGAAATGTAAGACAGGTTATGATCGTAACCCTCGTACTGGTAAATGCCAAATTACTGGGTCTTGCGATCCGAATGAAGCTGAACCATGTGATCCACGGAAACAACAACAATGTCTTCTACATCCAAATGGGCAATTCCATACTTGTCGATGCAGTGGAGCTCAGAAACGTCATCCTATCACTGATGTTTGTTGTGAGTTTGAGAAATTTGTTAAGTACTACCATAACTTACCCTACCGTTCTCTACCATACTATTAATTGGAAAATTTTACATTACAGTAGAAAACGAATGTGCCTCAGGACGTCATGACTGTGATCAACGAGCACGATGCACAGATACAGATGAATCCTTCATCTGTGCCTGCCCTCTCGACTCGATCGACCAGTCTCCAGACCTTCTAACCAAGCCTGGTCGAGTATGTCAGCGCCTAGAAGATGAATGTGCCACGTCAAACAATGGTTGTCCGGCCAATGCTGAATGCATAGACATGGTAGATGGATATGATTGTAGATGTAAGCCTGGCTTCGTCGACTTTTCACCGAATCCAGAACAAAAAGCTGGTCGAGTGTGTCATCGACCAGTCAACGAATGTGATAACAAAGCTGATAACGATTGTCATGAAAATGCAATTTGTATTGACACGGTAGAATCGTTTACTTGTCAATGTAAAGAAGGATTCAATGATGCTGATGAGCTACAGCGGCCTGGAAGAGTTTGTGTTTTGGGGCATGGTAAGTTGAATTTAAAATTATAGCCTAGGGTAAGAGAAGGCAATAAGTATTAGAGTCTAGGGTAATCCTAGGGCAACAGTTATATTTATTAAGGCCTAGGGAAAAATTGAGCAAGCATTTAGTACTGTAAGCTTTGGAGGACAAAAATTCAAGTCTTACAGTAGCTCTAAAGGGCGGTAGAAATAACTGCACAGCGGGGATGTTGGTACTGTGGGAGGTAATGTACGATAGAGTTTAAAATAAAATATAGTTCTAAGTACGGTATGTTTTACGATACGTTGCAGGATTGGCTACGGTAGGACTTTAGAGTATGATAGTTCTTATGACAGGGTAGGATTTGCAGCATGGTAAAACCTATGTCACGGTAAAACTAGGGTCGGGTAGGGTACTGTATGGCCTATGGAACGGTGGGGCTTATGATAAGGTAAAGCTTAGGGTACGGTAGGCATATGGGACAGTAGAACCTAGGGTACAGTAGGGCTTAGGGTACGATAAGGCGTAGGGTACGGCAGGGCATAGGATACGGTAGGGCCTAGGGTACAATAGGGCTTAGGGTACGATAGGGCCTAGGGTACGATATGCCTAAAGTACGGTAGGGCCTAGGGTACTAAAGTGAGTGGGGTGCGGTAGGGTCTTAAATTAAAAAAAGAAGTTTTTAGGCTTTAAAAGCGAATTTAATGAGGATAAAGTGCTCGTATTTTACAAAATAACTGTTTTCAGTGAATGAATGCAAGAACTCAACTCTCAACTCATGTTCACCTAACGCAATATGCATTGATGAACCAAAAGGTCATCGTTGTGAGTGTCTGCCAGGATTCATTGACAACTCTGCTGAAGGCACCTTTGGCCACATCTGTGACATTCCACTACCACCAAAGCCTCATCCTTGTCAAGAAGTGGATCTCAATGATTGTGACTCTTTGGCCGAATGTATTCCAACTGAAATTGAATTCGAATACACTTGTAAATGTAAAGCTGGTTATGTTGACGTGTCTGACAATAAGGTACAAGAGCCTGGTAGAAAATGCGAAGTTGAGAAGAATGTCTGTGAGGACAGTAGTAGGAATGATTGTCATCAGCAAGCGGTTTGTACGGTTTTGCCGGTAAGTAAGATTTTTTGATGGTTTGAAAGAGTTCAGTGTAAAACAATTGAGAATAGTACTTTTAGGCTTAATAAGCTTCAGTAGGTTTATCCTTGGTAGGCTTGTACTTTCTAGGTTTAAGTCTTGTAGGCTTAGGCTTAATAGAATCAGGGCTAGTAGGGTGAAAATTAAAAGGAAAGTGATCGACCTGCATTAATCTGATTGAATTTAAACTTTTTATACGGAATGCTCGTTCAAATAAAAACCTTCAGCAATGTATTATAATAATAGGGAAAGTACCCTACCTGCCCCGCTCAGAATCAGCCCAACATTTTTATATGAATTCCTTGTACTACAATAGTAACCATAACAATTTTTTTTTTATTTGAAACATTTGAATTCTCCGCTAATTTGGCAAATTTGGCATTGTGTTTCAAGCACTTTTTTTGACTTTCCGGCGAAGCTACGCTTACAAATTTAAAAATTTTGGTTTATTTAAAGGTATTCTACCTGTATATCAAAGGAAAATTCTTAAAGGTTAAAGAAATGACAAAGTTTTAAGCTTGAAACACAATGCCAATTTAGCGGGAAATTCAAAACGTAATTTTATGATCTTGATTTTCTCAAGATTTCCTGGAAATCGCGATTTAGTACTTTGCTGAAGATCTTATATTTACATGATCTTTCAACTATTTTGTTTTATAATGTTTCTATACAGGCTAACAACTTTACCTGCCGATGTCGTGATGGTTATCTCGACAAATCAACATTATCCTCAAACCCAGGCCGAGAATGTGTCGAACTCCTGAACGAATGTATCGACCGGTCGTTGAATGACTGTGATCCGTCAGCTTTGTGTGAAGATTTGCCTGAGGGCTTTGAATGTAAATGTCCTTTCAACTCCATCGATGAATCTCCGGATCCATCAAAGCCTGGCAGACACTGCCGTGCTAAAATCAATGAATGTGCCAATCCTTTGTTGAACAATTGCAGTCGATTCGCTGATTGTATTGATAAGAATGATGGGTATGATTGTAGATGTAAAGATGGGTATCATGATGAAAATGGCAGTGAACCGGGCACTGTTTGTAAATTTAGTAAGTTTTGGGAAGGGGGGGGTTGTGACAAGAAAGTTTTTGCAATTTTATGCTTTGTAAAGAAAGTTCTTGTCATTTTTTGTTTTGTAAAGAAAGTTTTTGCTATTTTTTTAAAGAAAGTCCTTGCGATTTGTTGCTTTGCAATGAAAGTTCTTTTCACTTTTTGTTTTTTAAAGAAAGTTTTTGCCATTTGGTTACAGTACTGCCTAAATTCAAAGAAATCTTTAAATCTAAAAACTTACAGTAATCAATGAATGTGAATCCCCAACCCTAAACGATTGCCACAAGAACGCTGAATGTATTGATCTACCAGGAGGCTTTACCTGTAAATGTAAACATCCATTCGATGACAAAGGACCCTCGAATCAACCAGGAAGATACTGTATCTTTGATGAATGTCTACATCCAAATGCCAACAATTGTCATCAAGATGCGACCTGTATGGACCTTGATGAAGGCTTCACTTGTCAATGTAATGAAGGATTCTATGATAACAGTCCCAATGCTTCTGAACCTGGACGGATCTGCCTTGGTAAAGATTAGAAATGCTGGGAATTTTGAGAAAATTTTTAAATTCAAAAAATTGAAAAAATTTTTTTTGAAATTGTGAAACGTTTAACCTACCTTACCCCACTTCACCCTACCTTAACCTACCCTACTCTACCCTCTCGGCCTTACCTTGCCAAACTGTCTTTCCTCTTAGAAAGTGTACTTTTAAACTAGCCATCATTGCTAACTCCTACCTACTCTACCTTATTATTATCCTATTTTTATCATACCCATCTCCTAGCATGTACGTAAGCCTTGCTTATAATCTTTGCTACCCTTTATCATACCAGCTCTACCATACTTTTTACCAACCTTTCTTTCCTACTACTCTAGCGGACCCTATCTTAATTCACCTTACTCTACCTTACTCATTCACAGTCTTTGGATCAACATATATAATATAAACCATGATGTAAAGAAAAATACATAAACGTTTTTACTCAAAAACATGAGGAGAGACCGAGGTATTGACAATATAAACAGTGTTTTACTAATAAAAGTAAACCACAAAGAAATTGAAAAAAAAATTTTTTAATTAAGCTTTTAAAGTCTCTTATTTTAGCCCTCAATATACCTCGGTCTCAACACGAATACATGTTTTGCGGTAAAATTCACGTTTAAAAGTATTTTTTAAACTATTTTAAAACAAAAAACCCTTACCTCAAGACTGAAAAACGACTTTAAATTGATTTTTTCAAAACAAAAAGCCTTTCATCAAGAGTTATTTGAAGTCGAAGGGAAGGGAACTATTGAAACCCGCATTTTACGAAAAAACCGCGATGTTTTGACGTTTTTTGAAAAAAAATTTTAATTATAAAATTGGTTTTGTAAAGAAAATTCTTGCCATTTAAAAAAAAGAAATAAAATTCAAATTTTTAACAAAATTTCAAAGATTAAAATAAAATTTTTTTTTCAGAATTCAAAGAAGAAGCTTCAGAAGAGAACATTCTAGCCAACTCCCCCTCATTAGATGCCATTCCTTGTGGTCTACGCAACTTCTGCTCCATCCCGTTAAATGAAGTTTGTGTCAGTGGAAGAAACTGTGCATGCCGACCGAACGAAGCTCGTGAATCGACCGACAAACCTTGTCAAAAAGTCGAAAAAGTTCATGGAAGCTTCAGAGTATTGAGGCTGAACAGAGAAAGCTTGATTTACAGTAGCAGATACGGTAATCCGGAGAGTGATGGCTACAAACAGTTAGAGACGTTGTTTAGCCGGGATCTGAGAAAGATATTGGGAAGTATTTACGAGCTGAAGGATAATGTGGTTACTTCAGATGTGGCTTTGTTCACTCATCCAAAGACTGTCAATAGGTAAGTAGGGTAGGGTGGGGTAATAGTAGGATAAAGCAGTGTGGAATTATTGTGTGGTAGGGTGGGGTGAAGTAGGGTCTAAAGTACGATGGGGCTTGTAGTACAGTAAGGCCTTAGATATAGCAGGCCATAGGGTACAGTGGGACCTTGGATACAGTAGGGCATAGGGTACAGTATAGCCTAAAGTACAGTATGGTCTAAGTATGATCAGTAGGGCCTTGGGTACGATATGACTTAAGGTACGGTAAGGTCTAGATTACGGTGGGGCTACAAGTACTCTAAGGTTTAGAGTACTGTAGGACGTAGGCTATATTGAGCTTGCGGTACGGTAGGGACTGTGATATTGTAAAGTACAGTATGGTCCAAAGTACGGTAGGGATTGGAGAACGGTAAACCTTAAGTAAAAGAAGAGCCTAGGATACGGTAGGGCTTAGGGTACAGTAGAGCATAGGGTACGGCAGGGCCTAGGATACAGTAGGGTTTATAATTTATGCTACATAGCCATCTAAAAATGCATTTTTAGTACGTGGAACGAAGGTGTACTAGTCAACTTTACAATGTCAATAAAGCCCAATACAACACAAAAATGTACAGTATGGCAAGACCTAACACATCAGATCATACTCAACAAACATCGTCTAGCAGATGGTCCACTAGTACTAGCACCAGACTTCGATCAGCTGTCACTATGTCCAAAACCAGAGAATCTGTGTGGAGATACGATCTGTAGTAAAGAGCATGGCCAAGTCTGTATCAACAACGTATGTCAAGTAGATTACTGTGCTGATGTCGACTACTGTCCCACCAATACCACTTGTACCAATTTGAAGTTTAAATCGGAATGTCTGTGCAATCCAGGCTATGTCAATGTGAAGGATGGTATACGAAATGCAATGAAGGAACATACGATAAGTGGCATCTTCAAAGATACGATATGTCTGAAGCCATTCGATGTCGACGAATGCCTTCTGGAGCTACACAACTGCTCAAAAGTGGCAAAATGCACGGACACACCATTTGGGTATGAATGTGAATGTCCTGATGGCTATGTTGATGGTAATCCAGCCTACCCCGGAAGACAGTGTGCCGCTTTACTGTGTGACAAATGTAACGCACATGGTGATTGTATTACTGACCATTTGACTGGAAATGTGTATTGCCAATGTAGCGGAGGCTACAGTGGAGAGAATTGCGAGAAACCACCTTCTCCAATACCGTACTTTTTGCTGCTTATATTGGCTATGTTGTTCTTGGTCACGGCGGCTTGGTAGGTTGATATAATTTATATAATTGGGGTATAGTGTAGGTCAGGATAGGGTAAAGTCGTTAGGGTAGATTAAAGTACCTAGGTAAATTAGAGCTTTTCATAACACAGAGCTTGTGATAGGGTAAGGTATAACTTAGAGTACGGCGGCAAAAAAGAGTACTCTTATACTCAGGCAGTGACAAGGTAGAGTAAAGTCAATTGTATGTGCGGTTCAGTAAGGCAAGAGAATGATAGGCTAGGGTATCTTAAGACAGAGTAAAGGTAGGAAAAGGATAGGGTACTGTAAAGCAAGGTATGATACTCTGGTAAAGTAGAGTATTGCATGATAGGGTCAGGCACAGTAAGGCTCTCGGAGGTTATAGTGAAGCTGGGTGGGTACAACAAGGGTTTTTTAGGGTACAGTAAGGCAAAGATGTAGGCTTATATTGTAGGGTTTGGGCTAAGTTGGCTTGACTAGGGTTATGATATAGAGTAGGCTAAGGTAGGGTAGGGTAGGGTAGGGTTGAGTAGGGTAGGGTAGAGTAGGGTAGGGTAGGGTAGGGTAGGGTAGGGTAGGGTAGGGTAGGGTTGAGTAGGGTAGGGTAGGGTAGAGTAGGGTAGGGTAGGGTAGGGTAGGGTAGGGTAGGGTAGGGTAGGGTAGGGTAGGGTAGGGTAGCGTAGGGTAGCGTAGGGTAGGGTAGGGTAGCGTAGGGTAGGGTAGGTTCAGATATTGTTACGTTAAACTAAAATAATTATATTTAACTTTCAACCTTCAGTTGTCTCCTCTACTTCTGTGCGCGAACTCGTTGTTTCAAGAAGAATACGGGCTTCAATGACTGGAATACGATTCATTACAATGATAATGCCTCTGATATGTACAGCTTAACAATTCCAAGGGCAAAACTCATGCTACCATTGGATGTGGCATCGTTAGGATCAACTGGAACTCAGTTTACCATAAAGGAAGAGATTGAGCGACAAGTCGTGACAGATATAACTAGAACTGAGCTGGGGATGCACGATGATGGCCAGAATGTTGTGGTAGAGAGTAATTATGCTCAGGTAGGGTAATATAAAATTTTTTTTTGAAATTTAATTTTTTTTGAAAATTTTGAAATTTTTCAAATTTTTTTTTAATTTAAAAATTTTTTTAAAAAAATTTTTAATTTTGTTAAAACCTCATTTCAGGCCACCTACCTCCACCCCGAGCAAGAAAAAGACGAGAACATTGCTACTTTTGCCAATTCTCAACGAAACCTTCGACTGAATTCAATGATAACTGATGATGGTAACTACTCTAGCAGTAGTTATCAAACAGAAGGTGTATATAATTTGAGGGAAAATGAGGACAGAAGGCCGATTAGTAGAATGAGTAGGCTTGCTGAGAGAACGGAACGGTACGGCCGGTAAGAACGGTGCGGTACGGCCTGTAACAACGTTCATAATTGTGTCTTCTAACACATAACACTAGGTAAATATTGAGTTAGCGTTTGTTAGTAAGATTTTTATAAGCTTTTATTGAGTATTATTTCGCTTATTTGTATATTGTAGTAGGTTGTATTAGTTATGTTACAACTTTCTTCAAGTGCTATTCAAAACGTGCTATATATTGCTTACACTGCCATTTTTCAAAGCTTCTCTACTTCAATTTAAATCATTTTTTTGTACTTTTAAAGTTAGTTAGCTGAATTATGTATTGAGTGTTATAATCCTTTGGTAGTCATTGTTTATAGGAATCTTTTACTACTGTAATTTTTAATAATTTTACAAAAATAATAAAGATGTTTACATATAAAATGTATTGGCAAATTCTTAAGGGTAGTTTATTGGAGACAGAAGAGAGGGAGGTGGTGGAAAGAGGTAGACAAGAGAGGTGATACAATAAATGGCAGGGGATGAGTACGCTAAGGCAAGGAGCAAAATATGATAGGGGTAGGCACGGTACGGCTAGGGTGTGGTAGGAGTGGAATATGATAGAGGTAGGTACGGTAATGGAATGGGTTGAGAACAGAAAAGATATAATATGGTTGGTGCAGTATATGATAGGAGTAGGTACTGTAAGGTTAGGGTATGGTGAGAACAAAAAAACAATAGTGCACGCTAAGTGGTTTAGGGTTGGGTAAGACTACAGAATGATAAGAATAATTACGTACTGTAAAAATAAGGCACATTAATCTGACGGAGATGGAACGGCTAACTACCAGTAGTTAACAGGCGGGCACGGTAAAATAAAGTAAAAGTAGGTGTTGGGAATGATATAATAATGCACGTACAAGTATAACTGAGATTATTTTACAGCTTGATCCTTTTTAAAATATTAAAAAATCAATCCCGACAAAATCTAATCAAGCTTCATTTATTTATAAACCAATCAAGCACTTCAACCCCAAGACTACCCTCCTTCCTCTATTTGGTTCTTTGCTTCTTCTTCTTGTCCTTCTTATCTCTTACGGTCAGGCCGGGTGTTCCACCGCCCGGCGTGGTGTCTATTTTGCTGGGTTGGATTGGGCGTGGCATTTTCAGCCACAACTCCATTTTGTGGGTCAATTCTGCCATGGAGAAGCGATCGTTCGGACTTTCGGCCCAAGTTTTATTCATGATGAACTTGCTCATCTCGGGTGGACAACAGGCTGGCAGAGGCATACGGTACTGCTCGTCTCTTACCTAAAATGAGGTTGTTTTCAAACTCATTTTAAAAGGTAAAAAGCACAAAAAAACTCAAAAAATCAGCAAAAACAGGCAAAGAATGACAAAAAAAGACCAAAACCTACCCCAACAACCCCTAAACATAGAGCAAAAATGCCTAAAGCAAGCCCAAAATCAACAAAAACTTACCTTCATAAACGTCTCGCCGGGAGTCATTCCTGGGTAGGGCTCAATTCCATTCGAATAAATCTCCCAACACATAATTCCATAGGCCCAAACATCCGTTTTCTGGGTGTAAATGAACATTCGAAGGGTTTCTGGGGCCAGCCTGAAGGTAAATCAACATAAGACGTTAAGAAAGTAAGGTAACATATCATAAAACATTCAATTCTAAAAGAAAAGCAACACAAACTCTACCATCATATCAATTAAAGATCAATTTCAAGCCATAAAACTCCGATATTAACCATGAAAACCATATTTTTAACTCAAATTTCAAAAATTTGAAATGCAAAACCAAGCTAACCGAACCCACCATCTGATTGGTACTCTCTTGTGTGGGTCCATCTGGTACACCGTGCCTTCCCGAGTCAGCCCAAAGTCACTGATCTTGACCTGACCTCCACCGTACAAGCAGTTCCTGGCCGCAATGTCACGGTGGATCACGTTCTTCATGTGCAGATACTCGATGCCCCAGGCTGACTGCATGCACATCTCGTTCTTCTTCTCGACCGGTTGCTCGTTCTTCTGGAGGAATCCATCCAAACTTCCGTTGTCAGCCAGCTCCATCAGTACCATCAAGGGCTCCATTCCGGCCGCGACTCCGTAGAACTTGACCACGTTGACGTGATCAAAGTTGCGCATCAGACGGGCCTCGCGCATGATCTCCTTGATCTGTTCCTTCGTGAGGGCCTCGAGCTTGGCCAGCTTGATGGCCACGTTCACGGTGGTGCCGTCCTTCTGCTTGTAGGTACCCTTGTGGACCTCACCAAAGGCTCCCTCGCCCAGCTTCTTGGTGGTGGCTATGTCCGAGTGGGACAGTTCCCAGCCCTGTCGTACCACCGGAGTCTTCAGAATCACGTTGGCGTTGGTCTTGGAGACGGAGTCGGCCTTGGTCACGTGGTGGTCGATCATGGCCTTGATGCTGTCGAAGCCGTACTTCTCGATGGACCAGCGGTTCTGGTGGTTCTGAATGACGTAGTGCTTGATCTAAAGCATTGTTATGTTAGTTTATACATTTACCATATCAAGAAAGACATTAACTCTCAATTTTCGTATCTATATTCCATTAAAAATGTCATTTTTGACCCTAAATCAAGCAAAAAAGAGCCAAAAAATCTTGTTTTCGATAAAAAAGGCCATTTCAGATCATTTTATACGGAAAATTATGTTTTAAACTTCAAAATGAACCTACACCAAGGTCCTCTTTAGATTCATCGACCATAACTGACAGGATGTAGGATCTGGTCGCTTCTTTGGACGGTTCACTGGTTCGAAGAAGGAACTCGCCATTCGTCTTTAACATAGCCTTGATGTCTTCTCGAGGAAGTAAGCCTACAACATTATATCACCATTTCCATGTATTAGCTATACTATGACTATTTTTATCCAAAAATTTTAAAATAGTACTGAACAATCAAAAATGGTACCAGAAAGCTTCAAATCGTACCAAAATGGCTAAATACAGTACCAAAATTGATAAGTTTGATAAAATATACAAAATGGCGTGACAAATCATACCATGATAATACTGCTCATTGACAATTGTCGGATCAAACGGCCCTTTTCCGTCTTGTGCCATTCAGAAGTTGGTTGTCCCCGGACGACCGATCCGTGCCACGTTCTTGACTACTAAATAAACGTCTCAAGTAAACGCAAAGTAAAAAGTAAACGGAACATTGAATTTTACGTGAAATCTAACCAAAACTTTGCATAACTCTGTGAACATTTTTCTAAAATTTAAAAAATAACAAAAAATGAATAAAAACTTACGCAATCATCGTTCTGAAGGTTCAGATTTTGCCGGAAGAAGGTAAATAACATTTTTTTATTTTTACAAGCATCAACTGACAATTCAGTACCAGTTTTTACAACCTTTATGCAAATAAACAATAAACATCACCGTATCAAATTAGTCCCACCGCGAAAACAAGCACAAATATATCGGCCGAAGAAATAGTGTGTTTGTTAACTTCTCCGCGAAAGAGCAATATCTTGACAAAATCAAAGTTATACGGAGTTATATTTATACTATTTTGTACGGAAATGAGCGCGTTTGGTCAACAACTTCAGCAATGTAAGTTCTGTTTTATTTTCTCTTGTTTTTACCGCAATTTTTGAATGTAAACAACTTTTATATTGATTCTTGTGTCGTTTATAATTTTTATAACATTGTTTTAGCACTATCAATCTTGAAAAGGGAGCTACAAGCACGAGAAAATGAGCTGGAGATCAAGAAACGTCAAATCAAGCAAGGTAGGAGTTTCTTTGTCTTCTATGTTTTAGGTAACAAAATAGAGATAAATGGAAGCTTTTGGTATTAAATTGTAGCTGAGGCGTCAGGCTAGATTTTTTATTCATAAGTGTTTAAGTAAAAACAAGTTTGACATTAAAAATAATCGTATTTTAGTATCCGAAGGGATTGAGAGAGAGAATGCCCGTATTGCTCAACATGACGCAGAATCTGAAGCTGTTCGAGCTCATTTGGAGTCAATGAAGGGTCAGAATGATCTGTAAGATGTTTCTTTACATTTTAAGGGTTCTTTTGTATAAAAATTAAAGTTTCAACGAGTTTTAATTGTATTTCGTTTTAGAATCATGGATAACACGCGAAACGACTTTTCAACCACTTTGCGTGGACTTCATGCTAAAATTAATGAAGAAGAGCTAGAGGCTAGAAAGTTGAAGGATATTCAAGAATTTGGAGGTTTGAATTTGCCGGAAGATGTGAGTTTTGAGTTGTTTATATTGTTTTAGGTATTAGGTGAATGGTTGATGAAGTTTGCAGAAAGTTTAGCTATTTTTAAGAGATTGCTGTTTGGAAAAGTTAGATTATAATTGTTTTTGCTGATTTTGATGTTTCAGGGGTTTCTCACACTTGATACTCAACTAGAAACTTTGAAAGAACGATATGAAACGGCTGTGTTTGAATGTAAGTCAACGTTTTTGGTTAAATTTAAGTATTTTTGTGTTTCATTTGGACTTTTTTAGATTTTTAAAGTTGTGATTATATTTTTTAAATGAAATTCAATCAATTTATGCCTATTTTAGGTCAGGAATATCAAGAAAAGTTGAAGATTCTGCGAGAAAAGCGTTTGGACGCTGAAGATGCATTGAGAGCAGTGCCATTTTTGGAAATCACAGTGGAATTGAGGGAGATGATCACAGAAGAGCTTGTTGACGCTCGTCGAACTTTGAGAAGCCGAATTCGTGACGAAGTTTTGAAAAGCCATCAGCTGAAAGCTCGTTGAATATTGTTATGGATGTTAACGTTGATTTTATCAAGGTTTTGTTGTTTTATTATTGTTATATTGTTTTTATTCTTTAGTTAGATTGTTTTTTAGTGTATTATTTTGTTGTTTATATTTTTACTGTTAAAATAAAACTTGTTTAAAAGATTTTCGAGTTTTTTTATCAAGGTTAACATCCATTATCTTGATTTTTTGGAATGTTTTGATATTTTTTTGAGTTTTGTAATTTCTAATGAAATGTTTGTCCTAGTTATGCAAATTATTACCCTTTCTCAAGATTCGATTTGGTTGAAGGGATGGGCTCATTTCTCTGTTGTGAACGCTTACCAAACCGGTCGACTGAAGGCAATCTGAACTTCTGAATGGCACAAGACGGAAAAGGGCCGTTCGATCCGACGATCGTCAATGAGCAATATTATCACGGTATGTTTTTTCACGTTATTTTGTATATCTTACTATGCGTATTAACTTTGGTACTGTATTTAGCCATTTTGGTACGATTTGAAGCTTTCTGGTACCATTTTTGATTGTTCAGTACTATTTTAAAATTTTTGGATAAAAATAGTCATAGTATAGCTAATACATGGAAATGGTGATATAATGTTGTAGGCTTACTTCCTCGAGAAGACATCAAGGCTATGTTAAAGACGAATGGCGAGTTCCTTCTTCGAACCAGTGAACCGTCCAAAGAAGCGACCAGATCCTACATCCTGTCAGTTATGGTCGATGAATCTAAAGAGGACCTTGGTGTAGGTTCATTTTGAAGTTTAAAACATAATTTTCCGTATAAAATGATCTGAAATGGCCTTTTTTATCGAAAACAAGATTTTTTGGCTCTTTTTTGCTTGATTTAGGGTCAAAAATGACATTTTTAATGGAATATAGATACGAAAATTGAGAGTTAATGTCTTTCTTGATATGGTAAATGTATAAACTAACATAACAATGCTTTAGATCAAGCACTACGTCATTCAGAACCACCAGAACCGCTGGTCCATCGAGAAGTACGGCTTCGACAGCATCAAGGCCATGATCGACCACCACGTGACCAAGGCCGACTCCGTCTCCAAGACCAACGCCAACGTGATTCTGAAGACTCCGGTGGTACGACAGGGCTGGGAACTGTCCCACTCGGACATAGCCACCACCAAGAAGCTGGGCGAGGGAGCCTTTGGTGAGGTCCACAAGGGTACCTACAAGCAGAAGGACGGCACCACCGTGAACGTGGCCATCAAGCTGGCCAAGCTCGAGGCCCTCACGAAGGAACAGATCAAGGAGATCATGCGCGAGGCCCGTCTGATGCGCAACTTTGATCACGTCAACGTGGTCAAGTTCTACGGAGTCGCGGCCGGAATGGAGCCCTTGATGGTACTGATGGAGCTGGCTGACAACGGAAGTTTGGATGGATTCCTCCAGAAGAACGAGCAACCGGTCGAGAAGAAGAACGAGATGTGCATGCAGTCAGCCTGGGGCATCGAGTATCTGCACATGAAGAACGTGATCCACCGTGACATTGCGGCCAGGAACTGCTTGTACGGTGGAGGTCAGGTCAAGATCAGTGACTTTGGGCTGACTCGGGAAGGCACGGTGTACCAGATGGACCCACACAAGAGAGTACCAATCAGATGGTGGGTTCGGTTAGCTTGGTTTTGCATTTCAAATTTTTGAAATTTGAGTTAAAAATATGGTTTTCATGGTTAATATCGGAGTTTTATGGCTTGAAATTGATCTTTAATTGATATGATGGTAGAGTTTGTGTTGCTTTTCTTTTAGAATTGAATGTTTTATGATATGTTACCTTACTTTCTTAACGTCTTATGTTGATTTACCTTCAGGCTGGCCCCAGAAACCCTTCGAATGTTCATTTACACCCAGAAAACGGATGTTTGGGCCTATGGAATTATGTGTTGGGAGATTTATTCGAATGGAATTGAGCCCTACCCAGGAATGACTCCCGGCGAGACGTTTATGAAGGTAAGTTTTTGTTGATTTTGGGCTTGCTTTAGGCATTTTTGCTCTATGTTTAGGGGTTGTTGGGGTAGGTTTTGGTCTTTTTTTGTCATTCTTTGCCTGTTTTTGCTGATTTTTTGAGTTTTTTTGTGCTTTTTACCTTTTAAAATGAGTTTGAAAACAACCTCATTTTAGGTAAGAGACGAGCAGTACCGTATGCCTCTGCCAGCCTGTTGTCCACCCGAGATGAGCAAGTTCATCATGAATAAAACTTGGGCCGAAAGTCCGAACGATCGCTTCTCCATGGCAGAATTGACCCACAAAATGGAGTTGTGGCTGAAAATGCCACGCCCAATCCAACCCAGCAAAATAGACACCACGCCGGGCGGTGGAACACCCGGCCTGACCGTAAGAGATAAGAAGGACAAGAAGAAGAAGCAAAGAACCAAATAGAGGAAGGAGGGTAGTCTTGGGGTTGAAGTGCTTGATTGGTTTATAAATAAATGAAGCTTGATTAGATTTTGTCGGGATTGATTTTTTAATATTTTAAAAAGGATCAAGCTGTAAAATAATCTCAGTTATACTTGTACGTGCATTATTATATCATTCCCAACACCTACTTTTACTTTATTTTACCGTGCCCGCCTGTTAACTACTGGTAGTTAGCCGTTCCATCTCCGTCAGATTAATGTGCCTTATTTTTACAGTACGTAATTATTCTTATCATTCTGTAGTCTTACCCAACCCTAAACCACTTAGGTAAGAGACGAGCAGTACCGTATGCCTCTGCCAGCCTGTTGTCCACCCGAGATGAGCAAGTTCATCATGAATAAAACTTGGGCCGAAAGTCCGAACGATCGCTTCTCCATGGCAGAATTGGCCCACAAAATGGAGTTGTGGCTGAAAATGCCACGCCCTCTACCCCCGAGCAAAGTGGAAAGTCTGGGCGGTGGGGCTGGAACGCCTGGCCTCACCGTGCGCGACAAGAAAGCGTGCAAGAAGAAGTTGGGCCGAAGGCCCAACTGAGGATGTGTTAGTGCTCAAGAGGTTCGGATCTTTCAGTGCTATGATAAGGTGCTGATTGCCGGTATAAGGTGGTGATATTGTAGATATGCTGAATTGAATTAAATTTTATAGATAAATGTTTGAGATCAGCCTTTCATCTTATTATAAGGTTTTTTGGCCTTTACGTACTTTTAGAATTGGTAAAAAAGTTTTGTCGTTTTTTAAAACTGGTTTACACGTCAAAAAACGACAAGACTTTTTGGAAAATTTTTACTTGAGTTTTTGGTAGTAAAATGCACATTTAATGTGAAAAAAGTCTGATATGACCTATTTCTCCCTTTACTGTACCATTAGTACCAAAAAATATTACCAGTTTTCTTTACTGAGTATTACAGTACTCTTCCATCAACACGTCACAAAATGTTTAAATATATTTATTCGTACTCTACACATTATCTTTAATATATCCGGTAGAAGTGAGATGTGAATGACAAAGAGAAATAGAACATTTTCGGTACATATACAGTGCATAAATACCGTCAGAATAAAGTTACAGAACAGTAATATAATTATAGTACAATATACTATTTTAAAATAATTACAGTATACTATGATAATAAAATTTACCATATTAGGGCTCTACAAAAGTTTTGTCCTTTTTTTACATTGTTTTGTAGAGTAAAAAACGACAAGACTTTTGTAGCGCCGTAATAACGCTATGTTAATTACAGTAGACTATTGATAGTAAAATTACAGTACGCTATAGTATAGTAGAGAGAGAGAAATGTCACTGGGGGTGGGGTGAGATCAATAAAATTGAAAAATGTATAAAACAACATGTACAATATAAAGTATTCGTTGTAAATATGACTATGTGACAAAATGGGCATTTTTGTCCCAACAAGATCCTTAACATAATATAAACATTCCCAATACAAAAAAAGGCTTGTAAGACTAAAAGCAGACTGTATAAGCCCAAAACAAATCAAATGACATCCAATGTACAACAATATCAAATATTTCAGTTATGGGTGGCGGCGTGTGAGCGTAGCGCGTCAATCGTCGTGAATCCCGCGTCACAACGTTGGCAAACATGAGGTCGTGCGTCAAGTTGAGAGAGATGTTGTTCTACCCAATGCTTTTGTAAAAGTACAGTGTCCGAGAAGTGTTGCTGACACAAATGGCACGAAATCGAGGGTTCGGCCTGAAAAAATTGAAGTTAGGGAGAGATAACTTGATGAATAAGTATTGAAATTGATGTCGAAACATTCCCAAGACCATGAGCTATCTTAATATTGCCATAACGTTCAAATGGCATCAGCTACTTTGACAAAAAATTTAATTTTTTTCGAAATTTTTGCTAAAAAACCGGTTTATTCTGATATTTTAAAATTTTTTCAAAATGAGAACATGTTAAAATTGATGCCAAAAGGTTCAAAAAACACTGCTCTATCATGATATCAACATTCCATACAAATCCAACAAACATTTTTTTTTAAATTTCAATTCCCTTCGAAAAAAACCCATCAAAACCTAGTATTATATAATATAAACCTCCTCAACATCCTTTTGGAATGTCCTTTTAGCTCTGACACTAACACCCTAAAATATCAACAAGACTTTAAAAAACCCTTACCATGCTAGTTTTCGGCGGTTCTTCCAGTTTGATCTTTTTACTTTGCCTCCAATCAGCGATACCAATCAACGAGTCGGGTGTTCCGTTCATTGAGCGTTTATGTGGTCGTTCTGGCGTTCTGTCCCGTGAATCTGATCGTGCTGAAAAGAAAAATTATGATTTTATTTTAGTATACTATAATATTTGACATTTTTCGGCGAATTGTGAAAAAATATTAATTTTTAATATTACTAGGTCAGGTGGGCCTAACATAATATAATTGATGTTTTGTAAAAAGTTGATAAGATTTTTCTCTGTAACTTTGGGAAATTGAAAATAGATTTAAAAATAGATAGAAAATATAATTTTGGTTTAAAATTGACCAAAAATTACATTACGGTAAAAAATTTTTCGATATTATACTTGTTTATCACCCCAAACTGTTATAACACAATTTTAAACCCCAAATTTCCAAAATCCTTACCATTCATAGATCCCATCGCCGAAAAATGACTATACAGATGATTTTTGAGCGTTTGTTTGGTCGAAAAATATTGGTCACAGTTAGCATGAAGGCATTTGAAGTCAGTACCATCCTTTTTGGCGCAATGATCAGCCAGATAATGAACTTGTAAGTGAGCACCACTATCATAGTTAACTTCGCAAATGTTACATCGTACTGCGGCAGCTGATGTTGGGCTTAATGGAGTGTAATTGACATTAAGTTGAAGGTTTCTTTGAACTGGCGTTGAGGTAGCGGATCGACTGGTCGATTCGCTTTCTTCTGTTGATCGAACGCTGGCCGCGCCATGATGATGATCTTTTTGATCCTTGGATAGCTCTACATGCTTTTCTAGTACTTTTTCAGAATTTTTGTCAAAGTGCCTTGAGGATTCTGAATTTCTGTCACCGTGCTTGGATTCTGAATGCTTATCACAATTCTTTATCAATTCTGAATGTCTGTAAGAATCCGAATGTTTATCACCATGTCTGATGCCTTCATGATGCCTTTCTCCATATTTATAAGCAGCAATTGGCATCTCTTTTCCATGATCTAGTCGAGGAGGTAACCAGACATTATTCACGATAAAAGTGCCACTTGGAACATTATTTTTGGATGTATTTAGCTTGAATGGTAACTTTTCGTGTGTTAGATCAGTTGATGTTAGCTTTCGGGTTGGTGAAGAATTGGAAATACTGAGCTTTTGGATTCTGAGGACTTTTTGGAAGTTTCGGCATGTTGTAGTAGGCTTAGGCTTTGTTCACTGATTCCAATAGCTAATGATGGTGTATCCGACTTTTGTTCTGATCGAAGCTCTTCTAGTAGTTCTGAAAATTGTTGAGTTAGGGATTCTTTCACTTTAAAAATTTTTTCGATTAAGAAAAAATTTCAAATTTAAAAAAAATCGGCAGGAGAAACCATGTAAAATATTTTCCCTCATTTCTTCCCAAAAAAACTATTTTTAACCCGCCAAACCCATTAATGTTACCTATTTCAATCCTTCAAACACATTAATTTTGACCTATTTTAATCCCTAAGGCACTAACAAAAGTATCATTAACTTTCTTGATCACCCAACCCATCATCCACTTACGTATGATTGTTTTCTTGGCCTGAACGCAATCGGATGCGTCAATTTGAGCCAGCTGGTTGGTGTGGTCTTTGATCAAACTCAACGCGTCTTCAGGAATTTTGCCTTGGGCCGCGAGGGTTTTCACGTGATTCTTCGACCTCAAGTGCTTGATCAAAACGCCATGAGTGCGGAAGCCAACATCACAATCACTACAGTAATAGCGTCGCATATTCACATTGGTACTGGTTTCTGGTGCATCGGTGTTTGCCAGTGCTATATCATCCTTATCATCCGTCTCTAAAGCTTTATTGTGAGCTTGTTCCATGTGTTTGATCAACAGCGCTTTCGATCGATGCACAGTACGGCATTCAGAGCATTGATACGCGCGAGTACGAGCGTTTTGTTGCTCAATCAGATGCGTTTGCTTGTGAAGGTTTAGTTCGGATTCTTTGCGGAACTTTCGCTCACAAATGTCACAATAAAACGGTCGACATTCGGTGGCCAAGAACTCACCAACACTCGTGTTACTGATCTGTTTCAAGTTGTCCAAGGGGAAGAGGACTGAACCGGCTCGACTAGAAAGCTCAGCTAAATTGGCTAGCTTTGACGTTGCTGATGAGATGGCCAAGGTCTCTTTGACGCTCAAATCAAAAAAGTTTTTGGCTTCTGAAGAAGATGAGGCTAGAACATTGGCTTCGGAATTTGATAAACCAAGGATCTTGGCTTCAGAAAGCGGTGTGCCAAAGATTTTAGCTTCAGAAGGTGTAGATCCGAAGATTTTAGGATCATAAGAAGAAGGTACAAGTTGCTTAGAATCTGTGGAAACAAACCCATGAAATTTAGCATCTCCAGAAGCCGTTGACAACAAGTTTTGATCAGAAAGCGAGGCAAAAACAGCTTTTTTCAAGATTTCATCGTTGATTCCATTCAACGATGCCAAGTTGTTCTGTAGCTGAAGGGATAACGCTGAATCTTTCAACAAAGCTGATATTGGAATTCCTGAATCCTTTAACAATGAAGCTCCAGAGTTGTTTAGCAATGAAGCTCCAGAATCCTTTAAATATGATGCTCCAGAATCCTTCAATACCGATGGTACAGAAGCTCCAGTAAGCTGCTCCAACAATGACGGTATTGAATTCCCAAAAGAATTCAAGCCAATCAACGACGATATTGTGTTACGTTGATCTTGGTTCAAAAACGCCACTTTTTGATGTTGATCTTGACCCAAACTCATCAAGCCTTTGTGTTGATCTAGGCCCAGATTCACCAGTTTGTTGTGCTGATCTTGACCCAAAAAAGCCGCTGATTTAAGCTGATCTTGATCAAAACCAGCCATTTTGGCATCTCCACCCAATACAGGTATCGTCGAGTTACGAAGTCCACTAACCAAGCTTAAATCTTCATTTCCAAGATGTTTTAACCTTTCTCCTAACAAATTCAAACCCCTTGAGTTGCCCATCAAGTTCGCAGTAGCATTCTTGGCCGCCAAACTTCGTTCAGCATCTTCCATCTCTATCGGTCGATTCAGTTGAAAGTTGTTAAAGTTAAATTCACTGCTTGTACTCGGTTCCGTGTCCAAAACTGATATCTTATCCAACGCCGACATCGACGAGATCTTCTCCAGTCCAGGCAATGACTTTTTGTCCAACGATGGCAACGACTTTTTGTCGCTTTTCTTCGGCAAAGTCGATGAACATGCTGGAGGTGCTGAATGACAACTTCTCTCCGGATCGTCAGCTTTTGGCCACTGTGTTGGATCGTCATTAGGATACAAAGTCCATAAGGTTGGTGGAGTGTGAGCTGTACGTTCGAACAGAATGTTCTCTTGACCAAAACGACGGTACGGAATGGCAGCGCTACATGGAGGTAACGGTGCGGAGAATCCAATGATTTCGTCTTCGTTATCACTGTCATTGTCGTCGTTTTTGTTGTCGAATTCATCGTTGACAAAACGACTTTCTAGTTCACTCAATTTCAGGGCATCCGCAGCTTCTCCTTCCGTCGTGTAGACTTTGAGGGCGTTTTCTTCTTCATTATGAGGTTGAACATCTCCACGGACACTGAAATTGATTAAAACCAGTAAATAAGTTGATGCATATTGCAAAATAAGAGAATATTACTAACATAACATAAAGGAATCCATAAAAAACAATATTTTGTCGAAAAAGTAGCAAGAATAAATTGGGCGCAGCCCGCAAAATGATTTTTGCAGACTGCAAAGACGAAATTTACACAAAAGTAAGATTTTTCGGAAAAATTTTATTTTTTACAAGAAAAACAGTAAAATAACTTACTTTCCGACCTTCACCCGATGCGTTTTAGAGAACAGATGCTTGGTAAGATTTCCCTTGGTCTTAAAAGCAAAGTTGCATGTTATACATGAGAAGGGCCGAATGTTTGTGTGTGATTTTAGATGCTTCTTCAACATGGATGGTTTTTTACATCGAATTCCACATCGTTCACACACATACCGACCTCGACCACGTCCTCGAACATAAACTTCAACTTCTTCTGGACGTTGTTTGCCAATTGGCTTCAGTTCCATCTTTTCGATCTTCTCCAATGTTCGAGTAGGTGATTCTCCATCTTCAATCTTTAGATCAGATTGGGTTATATGGTCAACTGGAGATGGTGTTTCATGTTTATCGACGATTAGTTCAGCTGTTTTTGATGGCTCTGGCTTCGTCATTTCTTGGGGAGTTGAGATTGGAGCTGGCATTGCCGAGGTCTATAAAAATATAGCTTAATATTTTGGTAAGTTGAGTTACTTTTATTAGATTGTTTTCATATTTTAGGAAAAGCAAACAGATATAATTATTCAACTTTCCTAAAGTTTTCAAATGAATGACTTGGCAGATAAAAATTTTATGACTATCCATGCCACCACCATGTACAATATAAGAAAACTCACTGTGTTAGTGACAGCTTTAGCTTCATAGGCTTTCCAGTAGCTTGAGTGGGTAGTACGATATGTAACAGCTTGTGATTGACTATAATGCAATAGTTTTGGTTGATTTGGACTGTGACGCAGCACTTGTAACAGATGTTTTTCTTCTTCAGGACTTAGAATTGGCTGTAATTTCTATATTATTTAATAGAATTGTGATCTAGTTTTTACATACAGTTAGTAAAAGCATTTTTATGCACATATTGTTTGTTTTGGATTAAAGTATTAACTTTAAAAGTTATTTTATGGTTTTGGAATAGAAAATCTGGAAGGTTTTAAGAATGTTTTGAATTATTTTAGGTAATATGTGCATAATTTTTGTTATTATAAGCAGCAGACATGAGGTATTGCTACGAAGATGTGTCAAAGACTTCAATATTCAAGTAGGTAACGTTTTTGTTTTGATTTTTTTAGGTATAAACCTGATGTTTGCATTTGAACTCAAGACAAAACGATGTTAATGATAACTAATGTATTGTAGTTAGTCTAGACTTGGATATAATGCATTTTCCGGCTACACACAGTAACAAGATAGACATATTCATGACACATCTTCGTATCCACTGTCTGTGCGAATAAGTGCTTGTGCTTTATATTGTACCTGAAAGTGTTGTAGATCATAATTCGACTGTCCATTTGTCATTTCATCGAGAGAAAAGTAAATACGATCGATGGTCTTTTTCATGTATGTCACATTTCTTTGCTGTGTTACCATCCACGGTACGTCGTCCGTTCTTTCGCCTCTAATCGTATTCAACGTGACTGGGTATGGCATTTTGAGTGAGATCTTGGCCTGAATGTAGGAGTTGGCGTAGAGAATGGAGTCGGGTACGACGGTGGTACTGTTTGTTGATTGGGGAGTGTTAAGGAGTTGATTGAGGACCTGTTCGGCCGATTTATTCACGTTTTGTTGGAGTAGATTGAGGAGATCGGTGTCCTATAACAAGAGATTGACTAGCTGATGTGGGGAGACGGATTCTGGAGAGTTTCAGCTCGCTATTGGTTAGAGAGAGAGTGTGTTATTTTATGGTAAGGTTTGGTATTCAAAGAGTGATGTTTAGATGAGGTTTTAGTAGTCAGTGAGTGATGTTGAGATAAGGTTTTAATATTTTAAAGAAGAAGTAGTCTAAAGGTAATGCGTCTTCTACGGACTTTAAGTCTTTTAAGTGTAAAATACGAGCCATAGTTCGAATTTAACTTCAAAAAAATTTTTAATTCAGATTCAGAATTTTCTCTTCTCTATCACAATACCACAATATTTACCTCGAAAAGACGTCGCGCCAGCTACACACATGCCCATTATAACACACAGTTCCATTAAAACTGTCTGTACATAACAAATTAAACACAAATCGCATTGTGTGTGTGTGATAAGTAATCGATAATAGTAATATGTTGTGGTAGAAAGGGGGGTTAAAGAGAGAATTATTTGTATTTCGTTGCGATTCGTTGCCTCGGTTTAGAACAGCAAAATATCGTAGGTAAACTTAACGCTGTCCGGTACCTACAAAAGCGGTCAGTCAGTTTTTGCCAATTTTTTCTTGCACTACTACAACCACAACGATATTTAAGATACTGCACAACAGTTAAACGATTAGTTTTTTGAGAAATTTGAGGTTTTTATGGGAGTTGGCTTGGTTAGCGATATTGTAGTAGATGAGCTGCGCTTGGTGAGGTCAAAAGTTTTTGAATTTCTAAGAAAGTGCGGTATTATAAAGTTATATTACTGCTGCTAGGGGCTTCAAAAACATTTTTTTGGGTTGCATGCAAAAAAAAATATTTTAGGCTTATATGAGTTAGTCCTAGGGCTAAAAATGCCAAAGAATTAAGTCTACTATGGTCTAATATGAAGTTATTCTGGAGGTAATGATAAATGTTGCATCGATGTTGAAGGCTATGATGAGTTTAACTACCATAGTATATTAAAAACAGTACGTCAAGTCGATAAAATATAATCCGCAAAATAAATGAAAGAAAGGCACGACAGTACAACACAGAATTGAGTATGGTATTTAATGTGCCAAAAGATACAAATACTATAACTGGTCCACAAACAAGAACAAAGGTACTAATGACAAGCACTAAGATATAATACTGATTAAGAAACACAACGACTGATTAATAGTATATTAACGAACACTACAGTTTGGTACTAATATCAGTATTCATATCAATAAGAAAGTACGATGGACGTGCTGAACTATATTATCATACTGATAAAAGTACCAATAACAAACACTATACTACGGAACGCAACAACAGACTAACTTACCAATTTGGCCATCTTGGCCGGCGATTGCTGAGCTTCAGAAGTGTCCATGGAGCTACAAGCCGAAGTTGGTGTTCCAGGTGAGCGATGGTTCAAGTCCATGTCGCTACTGTGCCGAGCAACACTCTCCAGAAGCCGCTTCTTCAGCGGATGCCGATTCTCCGAGCAGGTTGAGGACGTACTGGGAGAACTGGTACCATTCTTGCTGCCCAAAGGTGGCGATGGTGCTGAAGTTGTGGCAAAACTACTCGTCATAGCTGGGCTACCAAAAGTTGGAGCTCCAGACGTGGTGGCGCGACTAGGGCCTGGACTAGAGCTCATTGGTACCGAGTTGCGGCCGCCAAACATGTTATTGGCGAACAGCTCCGGTGCTACACCAGCACCACCTCCGACTAACGCTGCAATCGTGCTTTGATGTTGCTGTTGAGCCATCAGCTTTTGCTGCTGTTGCTGAAGTTGCTGCTGTTGCAGAAGGAATAGCTGTTGTTGTTGAGCATTCAACAAGGCATTATTGTGCCAAAGTTGAGGTTGTGACTTTTGTTTTTGAAGCAGAAGCCTCTTCTGAAGCTGTTCCTTCTTGCTACAACGAAATTCGTGGGCTTTTAGGCCGGCTTCATTCGGGAATTTGAGGTTGCAGAAGTTGCAACTTGAAGTGGTGTTGGTGGCGGTTGATGGTTGGCCGCCTCGAAGTGGTTGGCCTGAGGTTAGTGAGCCATTGTTGTTCATACGATGAACGTGCTGAAGCATTTGGCTTTCGTGCATCGACTGACTTCTAGTTGTTGGGAGACGGTGATTTGGAACGTTGTGGAAGAGTCCGGGGGATTCGCGTTGGGAGGCTAAAAACATATTTTTGAAATTGACAAAAGATGTCTATCAGCTTTTCTACTTTACTATCAAGATTAAGTAAAACATTCACTATGAATATATATATATATCAGTATTAATAGCAATATGAATCTACAGGCTGTGAGCTACGGATACTTATGAATCTACTAAATAGAAAAAAAACTCACGTCCAACGGCTTCAGAAGTCTGCGAAGTGATTGAATTGGACGTGCTCTGCCTATGGTAAGGTCGTCTTTTCAATAGCACGGGATTCGGCTCCACGATAGCCTCATTCTCACTGATTAGCCGGCTGATATGGTCCTGAACGCTTTCGGCCCCACTCAACAGTCGATCACTCGACGCTTGCCGCTGGGCTGGTGCCGGAGGGGCCGGTTTCGGGGTGGATATGTCGGAAGTGGGGGTGGATGTGTTGGGTGGGTCGTTGCAAGGATTGGAAAATAATGAGCTGCTTGACGATTGACTAGTTAGACGAGGCTGTTTGTGTTGGACGGCTGCGATTGCGGCCGCAATGTTTTGTTGGGATTCTTGCTGACGCTTCAGAATCTCATCGTAGGAGGGCTGGGGCTTGGCAAGGGCTGAAAATAATTTTTTAAAAATTTTTTTGATTTTGAATGTTTTTTAAATTTTGAAATAAAAAATGTAAAAAAAACTCAAAATTTGGCTAAACTCACTCTCCGAAGTGATAATCGGCGGACTCTCCTGCTCTTGCTGTTGTTGCTGCGACAGGTGTGTCAACAGATTCAATGTCGCATTCGAATCCACGTTTTGTTGTTGAGCAATGATCTGCGAAGCCAAGAGTGGGTTCGTTTGCATCAGTTGCAGGATTGCGGCCTGATTCGGTTGCTGAACAACTCGTTGCGCTTGTTGTTGTTGAAGAAGAGCGATCAGGTTGGGTTGAAGCGCTTGCCGAGCCTGATTTTGAGCATTTAAGACGGAGGCAAGAAGATTGGGCTGGGAGGGGAGCAGGCTTTGCAATTGGCTCAAATCTTGGCCATAGTTCGGCTGGGTGGGGCTGGAGACAATCGAGGTTTGGGGGGAGACCGTGCTGATGCTTGGATTCTGAAATTGATTTTTTGGTTAGAAGCTTAAGTTAAGGTTTTTAGGCTTATAAGCAGAGTTCCCAAATTTAGAAATCCTAGCTCCGGCTCCAGCTCCGGCTCCGACCATTTTCAAATTTTAGCTCCGGCTCCGGGCTCCGGAGCCGACATTTTCGCAAGCTCCGGCTCCGGAGCCCGTGGGAACTCTGCTTATAAGGGTATATTATCATCGATGGTATGGTAAGGTATGGTACAGTAGGGTCGGGTAAAGAACAGTATAGCTAAGTAGGGTCGGGGAGGGTAATCATTGGTAGGTTAGCTAAATTATCGACCAAAAAACCCACCACAAGCAGTGTCTGTGCCAGCTGCTGGACCAGGTCATTGGGTGAGGGTTGCGATGAGACGGCCGGCTCACTGACCGGCGATATGTGTAGGGCTTGGTTTTGCTGTAGTTTCTGGGCCAGTAAGAGCTGATACAATTGTTGGGTGGTGTTGGCGTTGTTGGCCGAAACGGCCAACGGGCTCGCCGTACCGTTCAGTCCATTCATGGCCAACAGTTGTTGTTGGAGGCCGAAGAGCTGAAAGTTGGGAGGTTATTAATAATGTCATCAAAATGTGATTGGAAATAGTGATAAAGTGGGAAGTTGTAGTAGTACGGTAAATTTTGGTACTAAATAGTACAGTAATGTAAATTTTAATACACTTTTACAGTATGAATACTTTTATTCAAATGCATTGGTACTAGGGGTCGATAGCATGAGTATGAGGCCTCATTCCAAAAGTACTAGTACTCAACATCACAAACATCAATACTCAATAGCACGCCCAATATAGCATCACAGCAATTAGTTATGTAAGCGGAAGACAGTGCTCTATATTATATTGTACTTGTGTTGTAATGTTCTAAAGACTAAAATGTACGTATTTGCATTGTTAATGCACACTTATATGTTTAGAACGTTTACGTGTAATGCGAAAGAAATTAAAGATTGTTTGCACTTATGGCTAAATTTAGATAGAACGACACTTTTTAGGCCAATTCAAGCCTTTGAAGTGATAATACTTATATTAGGGTGGGCTGTGATATTTGAAAAAGTAAAGGTTTGACAAGATTTAGTGTTGGAAATTAGCATATGATAAGCTTTGGGGTTTCAAAAAACTCTTAAAGGGTAGAGTAGGGCAAGGTAGGCAAAGCTAGGGTAAAATAAGGTAGGGTAATGTAGGGTAGGATAGGGTAGGGTAAAGTAGGATAAGTTAGGGTAAAATGATGCAGGGTAATGCAGAGTAGAGTACGCTAGTGTAGGATAGACAAGGGCATCCCTTCAAAAAGCCTATAAAACCAGTGCAAAGCCGAAATCAAGCTAAACTAAGATAAGATAATGAGATCGAATAATCATAACCCGACCTTATAATCCCCACCAAACCCCCCTCCCTAATGTAACCCACTTCCAGACCCGCAAAAATGACGTCGCTCAATGTAAACAATGCAAAAATTTTTAAAAATCAAACCCGGTTCATGTTGCTTTAACCCCGAAACGAAGGGAAAACACTCGTTTCCAGGAATTTAATTTGCACGCGAGAAACAGTTGGCCGCATCACGGGGAGAAAAAAACACACAGAACACCCGAATTATAAAAACATTTCGTGAACACGGCGGATAAAGGCCACAGGGTTAGGGCGAGCAAAGGAACGAGCAGCGGACACATTTGGGACTATAAGTGGGGCTGGACGTGCGGTGGGCTTCTGGAGCTATATTTAGGTTTAGGGGTGGGGTAGCGTCTTGGAGGTGTGGATAGGCTTGTCATAAAGTGGGAAGGGCACTTTGGTTATGGTACAGTAGGGGTAAGGTAGGGTAGAATAGTATAGGCTATGCTATAGTAGGGTAGGGTACGGTAGGGGAGGGTATTGTAAGGTAGTGTAAGGTAGGGTAGGGTAGGGTAGAGCACAGTACAGTAAAGCTCAGTAAAGTGGAGTAGTTTAGGGTTGTGTATAGTCGGATACGGTAGGGGCAAGATAGGGTAGATAATATAAGCATTGAAAACTAGCAACAACAAGCCTAAAAAACCCGACCATGCCCAACCATACCCAAACATTAGAACGCCAAAAAACGACTTCAAAATCCGGCCGGAATCCGTGAATTTCCTTACAATTGACTAGTTAACCAACTCGGCGGGTACAAAAGGCGGGGGTGTACGAAATTCCGGTAACACGCAAAACCAAAGCTTATTGGGGCAGAGACAGGAAAAGAGTAAAAGAAGCGAATTGAATATGCGTTGAGGCCGGAAACGCGAATGACGAGCCGGATACGTGAGTTCAAACGGCAGAATCTTAGGGTTCGTTTAAGGGGGGGGGGAAGAGAGGAGGGGTGGGTTTTTTTGGGTTAGTTTAGGGCTAATTGGCATAGAATAGAGTATGGTAGCGATTTTGGGGTATGATAGAGAATGGTAGGGATTTTTGGTTATGGTAGGGTAAGGCATGATACGGAGTGGTAGGGTAGGAGTGTGCATTATTATTGAGTTGAGCACAAAAGAGTAGAGTATGGCAGGACATGATAGGATGGAGTGGGAAAGAGTATACTAGGTAAGGATATGGCAGGGTAGGGTAAGGTAGGATAGGGTAGGACACAAAAGAGTATTGTAAGACAATGTATGATAGGGTAGAGTAAAGTAGGTTAGAGTAAGCTAGGGTAAGTCTGGGTAGAGCACTGCTTACTATACCTTAGAAAGTCAAAGACATTACCTACTAAGTCTTATAAATGATCAAATTTCAAAAAGCCAGCTAAAACACTACAATTTTTAGAATTTCCAACTGATTTTTCTGCCCATAACAAGCTCAAAAACTATAGTTTAATACCTAAAACTATATATACACATACTTAAAAGTACCACCTAAGAAAAACTACGGACAACTACCTTACAATTGTCAACTTTTAACCTTTAACATAGCTTTTCAAGCCACTAATTAGAAATAAAGGATGGCTTATTTATTTTTGAACAACCAAATATATTCCAAGCATAATATTAAGTTGTTCAAATAGTTCTGAGCATAATATTAGGTTGTTCAAATAGTTATGAGCCCCTAACGCTTAAAATTTGCTTTGAGAGGAGCGCATAATTATATGAAAAACCTAATAGCTGATAGTGAGTTATTTAAAATTCCGAGGACAAAAAAGGACACAGAATTCTGTTTGGCTTGGTGTAAAAGTGCAAGGTTTTATAACAAAAAACAAAGAACAAAACGCGGGTTAGGCTACGAAATCTGAAGAGATTCTGCGAATTCTGGCAGGACAACAATTTTTGAATTTGTAGCTAGTCACGTCGTTGGGTAAATAAATAACATGCGTAAGATGGTGCTAAAGATGGTTAGGAGGGGGTAGATTAGATTACCTTTTGGATGATTTTGTAGGGTATAGGCCCTATTATACTTATTAATGTTAGGCTTAGGCTTAATAATAGTCCAATTTTTTATAATTGCTGGGCGGGGTAATTTTTTTTTTAAATTTTTTGGGGGGAGAGGGGGGGGGCACAAAAATTTTTTTTTCAGAAAGTCATTTTATGCTTTTACCCTACCCTGCCGAATCCATTTTACCTTATTTTACCTTACCCTACCTCCCCACCACCCTAATCCACCCCTACCCTCAAGCTTAAGATTCCAACCCAAATATTACCATGGTAAACCGCATTTGTTCCGCGTTAACACAAAATTACAGAGTTACGTACCATTTCCTAATGACATATGATTGTAAGCAGTAAACAAGGTAACACAACATGCTATGGAACACCGTGTAACTGTGCATGAGAAAATGTAAAAAAGTGAAATTACATATTTGGAAATAGGTAAAAACAGACTTACATTGCAGTAAAAATGACTAAAAAACAAGGTAAAATAATATAAGTTTGTTCACATAATTCTGTGCTCCTTAACCTTAAAAATTTGGTAAAAATTTGAGATGGGGCACAGAATTAGTTGAACAACCTAATAGACCCAGTTAATCTTCAAATGTTATCCCCATTACCTATAAGACCTGTTGTAACACATTACTTGACAAATACTACGAAATAGGGGTGGAGTAATTGCATGATAATACAATTCAATATTTGTTTTCATTTCCACCTGCTCATTAAGCCACAAACTTTGGTTTACTCACGCAGACTTCGAGGTGTATTTATAAGCACATAGGTTATGTACATAAATAGTTATATGGTAAATTGCGTGAAGGTAATCGGTGTAAATATGGCATGAGTTTTAATTGAAAAAAGGTGTGAATTTTGAGTTGTATTTAAAAATGTGATCAACCTAGGGTACGGCAGGGCCTAGGGTACGGCAGGGCCTAGGGTACGGCAGGGCCTAGGGTACGGCAGGGCCTAGGGTACGGCAGGGCCTAGGGTACGGCAGGGCCTAGGGTACGGCAGGGCCTAGGGTACGGCAGGGCCTAGGGTACGGCAGGGCCTAGGGTACGGCAGGGCCTAGGGTACGGCAGGGCCTAGGGTACGGCAGGGCCTAGGGTACGGCAGGGCCTAGGGTACGGCAGGGCCTAGGGTACGGCAGGGCCTAGGGTACGGCAGGGCCTAGGGTACGGCAGGGCCTAGGGTACGGCAGGGCCTAGGGTACGGCAGGGCCTAGGGTACGGCAGGGCCTAGGGTACGGCAGGGCCTAGGGTACGGCAGGGCCTAGGGTACGGCAGGGCCTAGGGTACGGCAGGGCCTAGGGTACGGCAGGGCCTAGGGTACGGCAGGGCCTAGGGTACGGCAGGGCCTAGGGTACGGCAGGGCCTAGGGTACGGCAGGGCTTAGGGTTTTAAATTAAAATCTCTATCTAATATACTACTATAACTTTCCCAAAGAATGACAATAAAGCCTTATAAGACGAATACTTGTCTACCAATACCTACAAAAACGTCAAAAAAAACCTCAAGAACTACAATATAAACACTACATTCTCCTTTCACGCAAAATACCAATCCCCTCGAGCAAAGCACAATGAAAAGCCTTACAATTGGTGGTTTAATGTACTAGATTTCCGTTAACACGTAACACCCGATTGTACATTCTCGGCCCTTCGGCCGTCGGCTTTGTGTGCAAATTTACGGCCCGAGGCTAATTACAAAAATACAAAAAAGTGGTGGTTTTGAAGGCTTCTGAAGCCAGAAAAAAGTAAAATTGTTCGAAAAAAAAAGAATGGAAACACCGTTGATCAGTGTAAGATGGGTTGGTAACAAAGAAAGGGTATATGAACTATTAGAAGTATATGTACTATATATTATTCTATATATAGTATCATGTAATAGAGATAAAAATGTATAAACCCTACCCTACCTTACCCCACTCAACCATGCCTTACTCTACTATGTTGTACCATGCTTTACTCTGCCTTGCCCTTCACTACCATGCCCTGCTCTGCCCTTTCTTGTCCTGCTCTTCCGTGCCTTGCCCTAGCATGCATTGTCCTGCTCTGTCTTATCTTGCCCTGCCCTCCTGGCCTGCCCTGTCGTAAGCTGCCTTTCTCTACCCTACCTGACCCTTTACTTTATCTTCTTCTTCAATGGTAT